TTGCTGATGTATCCCCATCACGATCGGATAATTTCCCAACTTTGTCACAAAACATGATGCAGTGTCTCGATGACCATGAATATCTAGCGAGACATCAACAATATGGATAATCTTTCCTGACTTGATGGGTCTGCCGTCTATAACGTCTACATGGCGTGGTATTTTGAGTGGGTCATGGTGAGATTGTTGTGGCGTGCAAAAGATTCATCGATGAAAGCATATCCTGAGGCTCCGGTATCAATAAGGGCGTAGGTGGGTACAAAAGTATTTTTATTCTGTGAAATTGAACAGGTTACTACAAATTGGTTCCCATCCATTTCCTCCTCTGATACCGAAAAACCAGAAATATGCATTTCAGAAAAATCCTTAAATGGTCCCTGGGCTAAACCACTTAGTGCAGGGACAAATCTTTTGCCGACTCGTTATCACTTCCATCATTTTCCTCTACTCTCAATGCCGCTCCTCTCATCACCGGTCTCCTTGGTTGGTTTCCAGTTGCCCTTGCTTGAGGGCAATCTCTAACCATGTGGCCGACTCCTCCACAATAGAAACATCGGCCCTCAGCTAAGCGGGCATTTCTTTCGGTAGGGGTGGGGCGACGACGTCCCCCGGACAGATCCGTCGGTACATCACCTCCCGGGCGGAACGAGGGATGGTTTTCAAGAGCAGGTACATTGGCTGTCGGGGCAACAACACGGGGAGCCGGGGCAGGATTCATTGGTGGGGGACGTAGGGTCGGAGCAGCAGTAGTATTCCAAGGCTTTTTACTTCCTCGCTTAGCTTCTGCCGCCCGACGGCGATTATCCAACCGTTGCAAGAGCGTCTCACATGGGTCTACCGTCGCAGGGGTCTCATGGTGTATCATTGATTCGTCGAGTTCTACATTAATACCCTCCATCAAAGCCTCAATCCGAGAGACTTCATCCATCCCTGACTCGGCAGCATAACGTTGAAATTTGGCAAAATAATCAGCAAAGGTTCGATTCCGTTGGCGGATGTTCCTAAGGTTTCTCCTAGCCATGCGCATTCGATCAGGATCCCCGAACGCAGTATCTAAGATTTCATAAAACCGCAACATGGAAGGCAAAGCGATGCCTTCTTCTCCGACATATTGTAAGAACTGATTAGCGGCAACACCCTCCAATCGACTGAATGCGTAGGATAACTTGGACTGTATTGTGGGAAAGTGGTCGGCATTTCCTAATAGTTTGATCCTCATCTGTTGTTTGAATAGGTGTAATCTTTCTCGATCGCGATCTCCCCTAAACACCTCAGGATCTGGGAGCTTTTCCGACCGCTGGGTAGTAGCCACAACGGGTGGTATTGGAGGCGCGGGTGGGGCATCATCACCACCAATTGGTTCTTCATCAGGGGCAACCACTTCAATAGCAACTCGGTGGCCCCTGGCAGCGGCTAGGTCTCGCTCAAACATCTCCCTTGCATTTCCAGCCTCCCTCTCTACCTCCTGTAAGTCCGTTGCATACTGAGTAAAACCGTGTTGTGCCCGTTGAAGAAGGGCATAAGCTTCAATTCCAACATTGCCATCCACCTCTGGATGTTCTTGAAAGAAGGTCTGAAGAGCATTGCTTAGCTGTTGATAATCAATAGGGAGATGTGTCGCCATGGTAGACTATAGTGTTGTATTGGTTGGCAATAGAGGACGCAATATAGTGTAACGGAGGTCTATGGACGTAGGGACTATGGTGCCAAGGAATACAACCGAGACGAAGACGTAGCAATAGGTATTCTTAACTATGGGCTATGAGGTGGCTCTACCTGGTACGACAACCAGTTGAGCCCTATGGTGAGACTTGGAACGAAAATAGTATTTGTGGAGTAGATACAGGATATTGCGTGAAGAGAAAAGGAAAGGAAGGAAAACATGAAAAAGCACGAGACAACACCCCTTTATATGTCCAACCCCTAGTCCGTTGATGACTCATACCTCGCGTAACGGAAACCAAAAGAACATAACAGAAAACCCATTACAAATCCTAGCTCAACCGTGCAATACCTCCTCTTCACGATCCAGCCTATCATTTTAGCCAACAGGTAATATTGCCGTTACAGACTTTTATACAAAGCCATACCGACGTCACTGGATGTGAGGACACATCCGAGGAACTCTATTTCAATCTGGTTGAAATATGACCACCAACTGCTCGTGCTTCTCTCGCAACTTGCTGTAAATTAGGAGATCGTCCAAGTAAACCCACACTCCCTGATCTAGGGACTCTCTGAGGATGTTGTTCATCATGTTCTGAAAGGTGGCCAGGGTGTTTGACAAACCAAAAGACATGAGCAGGTACTCGTAGTGCCTGTAACGGGGGTGCCTTGAAAGGGCGCGACCGTGACTTCGATCAGGTAGATAGGCAGAAAGGAATTCGACAAGCTATCCTTTCGGCTCGTTCGATGGAAAGATAGAGTTTCATTTGTTTGATCGTTATTTGTAGTCTAGAAACTTAATAACTTTAAGGGGGCTCCTCGCTGGTAAAGACTCGCTGATCCCCCCGAAACCAAGCTGGGGCAACCGAGTTCCTTTATGGAAGTTCGGCGCCCCTTCCTTCATTACCTCTTTCCTTTTTTCACTGGCCGTCCGCCTTTCAAATAATCTGGGGGCACCACCTATTTTCTATCCGGGGGGAGGAGAAGAGTTGCTACCACACCGCGGACGAATTTTCGTCCGAGTCAAATCTCGCAATCCTTGCCAAGAAAGGGTCGGGATCCTAGGAACTAGAGGAAACAGCCGACCAGACAGCAATTGCTTATTCAGAGTATTTAGAATAGATTTGGGTGTTTTTAAAGCAAAGGTTTGCTTTGGTAGTTTGGGTCGCACTCTTACTCCCCCCAAAGATGCACCGGGCTGAAACAGGAGGGTTCCGGCGGTTCGACGCTCCGGGGGTTATTTTTGGGGGTCTAAAACGTGTTTATTTTGCAGTGTTTCCTCAACTCCGCAATGCGTTCATTCAACCACCCCAAATGGACCGGAGCATCGCCAGGATCCTTTCTGACGTGGTAAAGCATATTTTCCGGGCATCGGCTGCAAAGTTATTGCGCCTCAAAGGTTGAATGCCAAGGTAGGGTAACTTATGTTTGGGGTTACCCTTCCTTATTTGGTCTGCTCGTCCTGCTGCTCTAGTTTTGGTCCAGTCGTCTAGCTTGACTTGTAAGACTTCTTGCTCGCCAGGATCTCTACCCTCTATACCAATAGAGGTAGGGGCTCATCTGCCCTTCTCTTCACCCATCGATGAAGAACCAGCTGCGGTTAACCTAGGGCCGTATGGCTTGACTGGTAGAACAGGTATTTTTGTAACAGCCCTACTGTGGCCCTGTTACACTACTCCTCCCTCCGGTAGACTCGTCCCGAGTCTAACCTAGGGTTTTTGGTATGGTACGTTATGAGCATACAAGAAAATGTAGCTCTAATAATCATTCCATACAAACTCAATGTAACGGGGACAGCCTTTCCTCGTATCGCTAGAATCCGAGAGAAAGGATTTGGCCGTGCAAGATAGAAATCAGGAAATCGGATAGTTGGGCGGGAAGGATCCTGAGTACTTATACTCCAAAGGATTCCATTCCCTGCTCCTACTCCCTTACTAAGTTCTGGTGATCCCTTCTAGCGGAAGGGAAGCAATACCACCGCTACCCCGCTTCTCTCTAAGCGTTAGCGGGTGCTTCCGGTTCCGAAGGCAACCACCCTTAGTCAAAGCCTTTGTAACACCTGCAGTCTTGATTGTCGCACAACCGGGACCTGCATGAATGAGCTACCGCTCAGGCGTAAGCTTAATCATTGCTGTAGAGCTCTTCACTTATTGTAGACTTTCCCAGGCATAGTCCCTGCCACTACCGGCGGACTTATCATGCTCAGAGGATGTAGAGGATCGCCGAGCACTCAGAGCTTCACTCTGGCTGGCCTTCTAATCATTGGCGAGGCATAGACTCGTCAATCATTGCTCCCATGAATAGATCCTCTTCCTAGCGCTCAGAATGTAGTTACTCTGACAGCTGGTAGCTAACCACACTGCCGGTACTTGCATGTCACTGTGCAACTGGCTTCTATCAATAACTCTCAGCATGTAACCGGGCCCTGTGTGTACTCATACACCAGACAGTTGAAATGGCTCCGTTACACTCTATTTTTTGCATCCATTTCTATTGACAAAGGAAACCTCAAGTGAAACGTGTGACCTAACAAGGGGAGACTCGTTTTCTCCACGCTTATCCCAGAACACTCCGTCGTCTCGGTTTCCCACACTTTCCTGTATTACCATGCGTCCCATGATTTTCGGGGATACTTCGCATGGAACTCTCGGAGTGGCTCTTCTGCCATTCCTTACAACAATTTGTACGGTTCCCAAGAGTCTTCTGAGAGATAACCCTCCCAGGTAATCCGATATTGCACGAACTTCTTCCCACGACCAGCCTGCTGTCATTGGCTATCGGCTATTTTCTTGAGAACGTAACTGTCTTCCCCTTGAACCTCATCCGGAGGTGGAAGCAGTATAGCTCGTTGAGGGTCCAGCAGAGATATATGGAAGATATCATGAATGTTCCACTGAGTGGGTAGATTCAGCCTGTAGGACGCGACGCCAAGTTTCCCGACAACCTCAAAGGGACCCAATTTTTTTTTTTTTTTTTTTTTTTTTTTTTTTTTTGGTGGTCTAGCTTATTTGAGGGTCACTTGGTTAAGATGTTGCATCGGTCCAGCATCACCTCGTCCCTAACCTTCAGTTCTGGAGCACTCATCTGTTTCTGATCATACCATTTTTTCTGCCGTGCTTGTGCCGCGCTGGACGCGTCGAAGTTGTCTAGTTTCCGTTTAAGTGAGGGCCAAGTGGAATCTGGTTGAAACCTATAGTTCGCGTAGAATGGCGATGCTTTGGTTGACTCTTGGGTGGCCGTGTTGTAGGCGTACTTGGCAAGCGGGAGTAACTCTGCCCAATCGTCCCGCTGACAGAAGCAATAGTTTTTTGAGATACTGTTCTAGCGTTTGGTTGACTCTCTCAGTTTGCCCGTCAGTTTGAGGACGATATGTTTCGAATCTAGAGTCCTGATCGGAGAGAATCTCCTCAGGAAGTCCATGCAGTCGCCATATCTCCCGGAGGAAGATTTGAGCAAGTTCTTCGACGGTTGCTTTGGTGATAAAGTCCATTGAAATGGAACTCCAAGGAATAGAGAGGACCTCTAAAGGTTGCAACATCCCTTTCTTCTTGTGTGTTTGAGGCTTTAGCGCGTTGACATGTATCGCAACTCTGAACGTATTCTTCCACATCGTTGTCCATCTTTTGGCAAAGGACAGTGCCCGAAGGCGTTCTGCCGTTTTGAATTGTCCAAAGTGACCAGCAGTCTTCGAATCATGTAGGGCGCTCAGGATCTTGAGCTTCAGTTCCCGATGATTTGGAATGTACCACCTTTCCTTATAGAAGACGTGTCCGTCCTTTAAAGTCAGGTATCGGTTCACCAGATTCCCAGAGGTGTTCTCAATGGCTTTTTTCAAAGAAAGGTACTCTGGATCTAAGGCTGCTTGAGCCCAGATTTCATCCAGGAGCACCGGTGTGAGTTTGCAGATTTGGGCTGACCTTGCACATGCTGAGTTGATCATAACGATCGGGTGTTGGACAGAACCCATTATAAGTTGTCCTGGCTTAAACAAGAATTTCAGGGTCTTGATGAGCCTTACCCCCCTCTTTAAGGGCGTGGTCCCAACGCCGCGACAAGATGTCTGGTTTGGCGTTTTTAGTTTTCCAGGGCGGTATACAACTTTGAAGTCAAACTCCGCGAGGTTGGCCGCCCATCGAGCTTATCTCGGTTTCAGCGCCCCCCTTTTTTTTTTTTTTTTTTTTTTTTTTTTTTTTTTTGCTGGTTGGTGACGACCGTGACCGTATCTTTGTAGGAACGCAGAAGGTGACTCCGGGGGTGGTGTACCTCTATGGGATTCCGGGGACAACCCCTTGGCGAACCCAGGCTGGAGGAAACCCAGAGGTGTAACGGAAGTAAAGCGAGCCCAACTCATGCCTAGGTTCGGAAATATGGGGACTGAGGATCTTATCATCCACTAACTGACCCTTGGCTGTGAGGGTAAGGGCCTTCCATTGGGCTACCGCATCATCCCTAGAGATAGCTTCGCCAAAGGCTGCTCTGAGAGCATCCACAAAGGAATCCCAGCACTTCCATTTCTCATCTAACACCACAGACATCCCAGCTATCCGGTTGGCAGAAGCTTGGTCAATGGAGCTGTGGTAAGCCTCATACCAGTTGGCTGGGGCTTCTCCTTCCATCAGGTTACCAGCATATCGGATCCTAACCTCTTCGTAGGTAAAGAACTGGCTTTCAATGGAGAAGACATTCTCACATTGCCTGATGAAGGTCTCCACATTGTTTGCTTTGCCATTGAACTTGGCCTGAGGGTGTGCCTTTGGTTCTCGGGCCCTGGAGGCAGCGGAGGGGTGTGAGGGGGCCGGAGGTCTCATGAACTGTGTCATGGAGGCCAGGAGCTCTGTCTGCTGCTTCTCCAGCATCTTCCTGAGGTATCTCCGCCATCCTCTCCTATCTCCATACTCAGGCTCCGAATCTGAACTATCTGAGTCCCCTCCCGGGTTGGGATCGCCACCAACCGGGGGGACTATTCCATTTTGTCCACCATTACCCGCTGGTTCTGGGTTCTGGTTTTTTCTCCACCGGGGGTTTCCCTCCGGCTGGAGGTTTACCTCCGGCTGGAGGTTTCTCCTGGGAGACTTCGCTCGTTGAAGCATGACACAATGGCACCTAACTCCTTGTCGTGAACGTCATAATTCCGTTCGGCTTGTGACATCATTTTGGAGTAAAAGACTCCTGGATACCACTTGTTGTCATCTCGGTGGAATTGGGACGGTATGCTAGATTTAGCGAAGTTGGAGGCATCGGTCTCAATCTTGGTAGCTAGCTCGGCATCAAAGTGGGCTAGTACGGGGGCGGATGGAAGGCCTCTTTCAGGACTTCGAACGCATGCTCCTATCCCTTAGACTAGGTAAACTCGGTGTCCTTGTCTCCTTCCACGGTTAGTGCCGGGTTCGGTTAAAGCCGGACCGAACTCCTGCTTCGGCTAACCACGCTGATTCTCGGAACTGGAATAGGAGTTCGCTTATAAAAGCGGGGTATCCGTCGAACTAAGGAGGGTAAGAATTCTTTTCCTTCTATTCATTCTACACTCCAGGGAGTTCGATCTTTCCACACCCAACACCAAATTTATCACCTCCTTTCAGCAATAATGTTTTTCTTTATTCTATTCCTCTCTTTGTTCATTGCGATCAATTCGTCTATTGTACAAGCGTTTTTATCTAACGCTAGTCGATCTCGGCGGGGGACAAGGCTTAGATCCTCAACTGGTGCGGTTGTTACTGATCTCCTGGAGCTGGATGGTGGTAACACCATCCACGCTCGGAGAGTTGCTCGTAAAGCCGTCCGATCACGGAGTGCTATGAGGTAGGCATGATCCAGCGAGTTGTGTAACCTCTTCTTACTACCGCTAATGCTTCCACAGGCATGCTGTTCCTCGGAGTTTGGAGACCTCGACCTTCGATGGCCATTTCAACCAGGTCCCATTTCTGACTCGGGAGGATTACCGTCGTCCTTATCCCTTCTCCCAACCAGGGGACAGAAGTGTTGGTCAGGCTCGTGTCCGTGCGGCACTGATGGAGAAACGGGAACAGGTGCGGTGGATGCGGGATGAGATTGCGCGAGATGGAAGGGGAGCTGAGTGGATGCGGCAGCGAGTGGTCCAAGAAGAGGCAAGGGAGAGACAAAGACTGGCTCTCCAAGCATATTACGAGGCATGGTGGCGCCAGAAGAAAGCCAGTTATCCCCCTCTTCCGGACTCTTCCTGCCGTCATCGTGGACGAAGTAACGTTGACTTTGGTTGGGACTGGGGCCCAGATGGGGAATGGGGGCCGTTGGTCAATGGGACTATCAGGATTTTCTAGGAGCGATCCTGAATGTGGTCTCCTTTCCGAGCGAAGCTGGGCGCTATAACCCTTTGAGCGAATGTGGGCGCTATAACCCTTTGAGCGAATGTGGGCGCTATAACCCTCTGACGGATACAGTGGAGACCATAGTAAAGTGTTAGCCTCTCCCATGCCAGCCTGAGCTGAAAAAAAAAGCTAACTGCTCGGTTATTTCAGCCTTGAAAGTGGTCCTAGGTGTTCAGGTAGGTTTTTTTCTTTCTCGTGGGGTTCTTTAAGCGAGGAGCTTAAAGTTATACTGTAACGGGGGTGCCTTGAAAGGGCGCGACTGTGACTTCGATCAGGTAGATAGGCAGAAAGGAATTCGACAAGCTATCCTTTCGGCTCGTTCGATGGAAAGATAGAGTTTCATTTGTTTGATCGTTATTTGTAGTCTAGAAACTTAATAACTTTAAGGGGGCTCCTCGCTGGTAAAGACTCGCTGATCCCCCCGAAACCAAGCTGGGGCAACCGAGTTCCTTTATGGAAGTTCGGCGCCCCTTCCTTCATTACCTCTTTCCTTTTTTCACTGGCCGTCCGCCTTTCAAATAATCTGGGGGCACCACCTATTTTCTATCCGGGGGGAGGAGAAGAGTTGCTACCACACCGCGGACGAATTTTCGTCCGAGTCAAATCTCGCAATCCTTGCCAAGAAAGGGTCGGGATCCTAGGAACTAGAGGAAACAGCCGACCAGACAGCAATTGCTTATTCAGAGTATTTAGAATAGATTTGGGTGTTTTTAAAGCAAAGGTTTGCTTTGGTAGTTTGGGTCGCACTCTTACTCCCCCCAAAGATGCACCGGGCTGAAACAGGAGGGTTCCGGCGGTTCGACGCTCCGGGGGTTATTTTTGGGGGTCTAAAACGTGTTTATTTTGCAGTGTTTCCTCAACTCCGCAATGCGTTCATTCAACCACCCCAAATGGACCGGAGCATCGCCAGGATCCTTTCTGACGTGGTAAAGCATATTTTCCGGGCATCGGCTGCAAAGTTATTGCGCCTCAAAGGTTGAATGCCAAGGTAGGGTAACTTATGTTTGGGGTTACCCTTCCTTATTTGGTCTGCTCGTCCTGCTGCTCTAGTTTTGGTCCAGTCGTCTAGCTTGACTTGTAAGACTTCTTGCTCGCCAGGATCTCTACCCTCTATACCAATAGAGGTAGGGGCTCATCTGCCCTTCTCTTCACCCATCGATGAAGAACCAGCTGCGGTTAACCTAGGGCCGTATGGCTTGACTGGTAGAACAGGTATTTTTGTAACAGCCCTACTGTGGCCCTGTTACAGTGCCCATACCTCGTACGGAAAACTGTTTTCCACTCGTCGCCTTGCTTGATCCCGATGAGGTTGTAATCCTCCTTCAGGTCGATCTTGCTGAAGATAATCACGCCTACTACTCGGTCTCGCAACTTGTCCATCTATGGTTAAGAATACCGGTTTTTAATATTGGCCTGATCTTTCCTAGATGGATCATCTTCACAAGATATTCCCTAAGAGTTTTCAACTCAATCTCCAAGAGGGGGTAGACGGGACCCCAAGGGGCTTGCTGACCAGACTCCAGATGCATCGCGTGGTCGTAGGGCCAGTGCCGTGGTAGTTTGTCCGCTTCCGAAGGGAGAAAGACTTGAAAAATTTGTGGTAGGCCACTGGTACTACACCCTGGAGGTATATCCCTTCATCGGCTACAAACACGATCTGTCCTAGAACTGGACCTTTAGGTTGTTCGATATAGCCTGTAACGGAGCCATTTCAACTGTCTGGTGTATGAACACACACATAGCCTGGTTACATGCTGAGAGTTATTGTTAGTAGCCAGTTGCACAGTGACATGCAAGTACCGGCAGTGTGGTTAGCTACCAGCTGTCAGAGTAACTATATTCTGCGCGCTAGTAAGAGGATCTATTCATGGGAGTAATGGCTGGCGAGTCTATGCCTCGCCAATGATTAGAATACCAGCCAGAGTGAAGCTCTGAGTACTCGGTGATCCTCTATATCCTCTGAGCATTTTTAGTCCGCCTGTATCGGCAGAGATGATGAATGGGAAAGTCAACAATAAGCGAAGAGCGCTACAGCAACAATTAAGATTACACTTGAGCAGCAGCTCATTCATGCAGGCCCCGGTTGTGCGACAGCCAAAGCTCCAGGTGTTACAAAGGCTTTGATTAAAGGTAGTTGACTTCGGAGGTGGAAATACCCGCTAACGCTTAGAAAGAAGCGGGGTAGCGGTGGTATTGTTTCCCTGCCGCTAGAAGGCATCACCGGAAACTTAGTAAGGAAGTAGGAGCAGGGAACGGAATTCTTTGGAGTATAAGTACTTAGTATCCTCTCCGCCCAACTATCCGATTTCTGCAGTCTTCATCAGAGTTATCAAGTATTCTACTCGGTAGCAGATCCCTTAAAGATTATTGACTTTTAAGTGATAAAAATCTTTGAATAATCTAAACCTGATTTCTATCTTACACGGGCACATCTTTCTACCGGATTCTAGCGATATGTGGAAAAGTTATCCCCATTACAGCAGCGCCTTGAAGCCTAAAGAGATTTGCAGAGGGCGGGTTAGGTGAATTACAATGTAAGTTGCTTGAAAAGGTTATTTGTACTATCTTGAAAATGAACGAAGGGATTTCCCTAATTGGCCACTTTCCGTGAGAATTGGGCAGATGCTTTGGAAACAGATTTCCGAATCTGGAATGTGAATGCTTTCTCATGGCGAACAATACTTTCTAGATTTTTAAGTACTACTTTGGTTAGTGAATAGCATCAGAACCCACTCTGTTTATATCCCTTTTGACCCCTCAGCTTAGTTCTTGAGATTTCCGGTATATTTCTCCACCTACTCTCTTGATTTATATTCCGCTAGTCAAAGCTTTCTAGTTACTGGGAATTCCTGTTATCCAAGTTTATTCGGGAGCTGGCCATTTTTGTTTGGGTAGGTTAATTTTTTAGTCAAGATTAGGATTTCCAGCTAGCTCTCTCGGTCAATGATTAAGAAATATTAAATTTATAAATTTATCTTTAGTTTGATTTGTGCCCACAGTGATCCAGTCCCAGTGGTATTACGGCTACGAACTTCTCTCATTTCACTGGCTCCGTCTCATCCCTTGAAACTTCATCTACGTGCATCTCACCACGATCATTTTCCTGTCTCCCCCACAAAGTCCCGAAGTGCTCTTTGATTGAATGCAGTACCAGTTCACTTTTTGTACCTCGTATCTATTAGATACATCACTCTACCGAACAGATCGCAACGCCAATCGCCTGCCACAACAGTTATCTCGTCCACTGCGAGTCACCCCCCCCCCCCCCCCCTCTTCCGGCTTGAATATAAATAAGAACTCTTCGCATTCCCTCTCTCCACACCCTCGACTTTTCTTATCCTCATTCGCAAGATCTTTGATTAAAAAGAAAGAACATTGCGAAAAGCATCCCCTATTGTCATCTCTCGGTGCGTGTGTTAGAACAGCCAACACACTTGTCCTTCGTATCTTCACCCCACCCTTCACGATCCCCCTGGTTTATCTTAATCGTCATGTCTGAGCCCGTACTACGCAGAAGCGGCCGTAACTCCGCGAAAAAAATCGTCCCCTTACCCCCCTCTCCTGCCTCGGAATGCAAGAAGCGCGCATCCACCGAGCCGAAGAATTCTACAGCCAAGAAGATCAAAACCGCTACCGAGAGCACCGCGAAAGCTGCTCTCACCAAACCCGTGGAAGTTGCCTCGTCTTCCAGGGCTACAGCAAGCCCTGAGGAGGTCGAAAAAGCTGAGAAGCCTGCAAAGGCTACTTCTAAATCTGTTGCAAAAACTACTGCCAAACCGACGGCGGTGAAGTCTGTCGCAAACCCCGCCAAGACAAGAAAGGCTGATGAAATGTCAGAAGGGCTAAAGGACGGTGATTTGGTGCCAACCGATCTTCCTGAAATTCAAACCGAGGATGGTAGTAAGACCACAATAGAAAGCCTGCTTAAGAGTGCACAGAAGGGAATCATTATTTTTGCCTATCCTAGAGGTATTTGATACACCTGTTCTACTTACCTGCACAAGCCTTTGCATATAAACGCTTCTTTCTCAAAGTCCCTTAATGTTCTTCATTTTCAGATATTAACTGTTCATGTACAAAGCCTCTACTCCGGGCTGTATTGCCCAGGCATGTCTTTTCAGGGATAGCTTCACCGCGTTTTCGGATGCTGGCTATACCGTTTATGGGCTTTCTGGTGACAGCCCAGCAGCAAACGAAAAGTTCAAGTCTAAGCAAAGTCTCACATACACCCTGCTTTGTGACCCGACCTATGAGCTTCACGAAAAGCTTGCTATCAAGAAAAAGCCTAAGGGAACAATCCGAAGCGTCGTTATTATTGAGAAGATATCAGAGGATGGGCATACAGGAAAGGTTCTTCGAATTTCTCCAGCTAGTCCGCAAATCAGCCTTCAAATTGCGAAAGAAGCGGTAGGGATCGATCACGCCTCCATAATCGCCGCGAAAGCAAAGGAAGCTGAAAAGAAAACATCTAGCAATGAGACTAACTTGCCTATATCAATTGTCTCAGTCGATGCTGTCGCATAAGCGTTGCTCAAAAAATGGTTCTTCAATCCTATTCTAGGTTGTTAAAGAGTTGCAAATTTGAGAAACCAACATCTGTTTTGGGAGAGGCTAGTTTAGGTGTCAAATAATTGGTCAAAGCACAGAAGCTTTCATTAAAGAATCATAGGGTTCTCGTGTTAAGGTCGTAATGCAATATGGTTATTCATTTGTATGGCAGGGCGTTGAGTGCTTGAAAACGACGGTTGTTCAGGCGCTCTTGGGGTTTTCTTTTTTCTTTATTCTAGTCACTTTCCCTAGGTCTCCATCCAATCGCTGTCAATTTTATTCTCTTAAAAGCTTTTATTGAAAAGGGTTTCTTTTATCGATACTAAGCTAATTTGTTCACAATCAGAAAATCTCCCACCTTCGTAAAAAATGTTCAAGTTCTCATACCCAACTGCGCGAAATCATGTATCGTGCATTCTTGCGGTTAAATGGTTTTCAAGTGTCTTCTTTTGCCGCATCCTGCTGCGCCTTGAGGACCCTAAGCTCCTGTTCCACCTTTTCAAGCAGCTTCTTAGTATCCAAAAGTATTCCCACATTGCTTTGCAGTTGCTCATATTTCTGAATCGTTTTGGATGTTGGCATGGTCAACCTTTGTGCAATTTCCAGTTGAGCCAAAGCCTGCGAAACCTTCTGTGCTGTGCCGCCCTTGACATTTGTCGCCACCAGTGATGACCGAAATTTGATTCCCTGAGAAAGTTTATCGTGATATATCACACCATACTCTTTCATTTCTTCACCTGAGAGTTTCCTGGCCTGTTTCTTCGGTTGTGTTGCTTCCTTCTGTGATGCAGCTATCGCTGTGCTAGCCTTCTCGGATATTGAAGCCACGGCAGGACTTGGTTGGGAACCATCGGCACCAGTATTCGTTCCCATTGCAATCGATTTTCGCTTCTTATTCTTGTCCGAACTATTGACCATAAATTCTCTTAAAGCAGCTAAACCTTGGCTTCCGGTATATCCAGCGATTGAGCCTTGTGAGGACGGCATCTCGAGACGATTAAAAAGATCCTTTCGTTCTTCCAATGTTCGCTGTTGGTTCGTGACTATCCTCTTAAGTTCGGCCAACAGCATTTCTTCTTCCTTCACCTGTTCGGGTGTCCTCGCAAAGAGTACGTTTGCCATTTTCTTTCTTGAGGTCTCTCGCTCCTTGTCGAAATTGAGCATATTAAATATCTGGGTTTCCTCAGGCGACATTCGGTTGAGCGGTGTTCTCAATTCCATCAGGCTTCGGCACACTGAATAGTAGCGCGCTTTTAGATCCTCAACGCTTCTTGACTTGCCATTAGGAAAGTCATAGCGGTCCCATATGATGATAAAGCGGAGATCGTATTCACGGCAGAGATCGAAAAGATAATCTGTTTCCTCTCGAGACCAATCCAGATCTTTCAGAATTTCATATTCTCCGTCAGAGTATGTGGGGATATCGACCTTGACATCGAATTTTGAAAATCGGTATTCGAGATCAGGGGGTTCTTTGCTCTTTCGTTCCCAATGTCGTAAAATAAGACTGTCTGTTCGCGCCGGGTTGGTAAAATCCTTCCATTCCCTATATATATATCTAGGTTAACTGGCGGTGATCTACCTTGCACAGAGATATTCACATACCATGGGTTAGCCTTTCCCATCCATTTTGGTTTCTCCTTGAATTTATTTTCGACTATAGCTACTGGCGGAGGATTCTCTCCCAGTAACGCGAAAAGCTCACGAGTAATGCCATCTTTCGGTTACCAATAAAGTTAGCATAAACTCATAAAAAGACAGTAATGGGTACAATGAGTGAGTTAATGAACACACCTGGTCGTTTTTCGACAGTTTTTTGTTTCTTCAAGGGAGGAGCTCGTGGGGTGCTCTCAGAGGGACCACTGATGTCCATCACATCGCGTACATCCTGAAATCCACTCATCCTTCAAGGAGCTTATTACGTGTACAGGAATGTGGTGATAATTGATGTCTGCAGGTTGTCTTTTTTTTTTTTTTTTGGACTTGTTGTAGAACTTGCGTGTTGATTCAAGCTTGCTGTTGGCGGATACCAGCGACCGGGGCTCCGCACCAAGTATAGTACAGCGACTGTATGTTCTCTTCATGTGACCCGAAGAGATGCCCGATAAGCAGATAAGATCCTTCTGTTACTACAGCAACAATCCACAATGGTATCTGCGTCGACCGCATATAACAGCACACAAACAGAGCCTTCTCTCGCGAAAGTCTTTCAACCCTTCCATCGACCCAAAGTATACACACAACCGTCCATTTAAACCCATCTATGGCTACTCTCCCTCTGATCAATTTTGGCTTCGATGAGCTCAGAGACCGCATGGTACGTTTTACAGTCAATTTCGACGAGTATATTGAGAGAAACCGGAAGCGTATCTTGGAGGAGAGAAACGAGTTTGCCAAAAACATTGTCGAGGATAAAGGTAAGTGCCCTCTCTCACATTTGCGCTACATACGAACTGAGCCTAGAAAACTAATCGAATTGCACTGATGAAGATACCCAGCGGATGTTAAAGAAAGAAATTGAGCACTATAAGCAAAAGGAGAAAGATGTTGCTGAGAGTAAGTGGTGGCAATAGTTTGATCAGTATTAGTATTGGAATGTTGTTCCTAATTCGTCTTTTCTATTTAGTCGTTGCAAAAGAAGACCAAGAAGCTGCCGAGGCAGAACAAGCCATTTCTGAGATGGCCCGCAAAAAACAATGTAAAGAGGAACAACGCACACACCTTTTAGCACAAATTGAAGAGACTCGAGAAGCTATACGCAAGAAGAGAAAAAGTACCCAACCTTCATTCCATAAACCAGTACTGTTTCCCAGGTTACTAACCTCAACTTCCAGTGAGAGCTGCTGAACGGAAAATCCTGAGTTCTCAAGCTTCACGCAACGCCCCAGAACTCTTGTTCTGGGAAGATTATCTAGGCATGCGTATAGAAGGGGCAGGTGTCACCGACCACCTGAAGTTTGTATTCACGCATATTATTGATTCCGATTGGACTAAAGAGTTCTCTTTCATTGTCAACATGGTTACTAGAGACTATGAAGGTATGAATCACTGAGCAACCTCGCTATCGACTTAACTATCTCAAGCATCGCTTAACTCTGGCTCGTGTAGTCATACAATGTCGGCCAAAGGTAGACAAGACGAAAATAGACGATGTAGTGGACAAATTAAACGAAAGTAGAGACTTTTCACTATTTCTCAAAGGGATGAGACAGCTTTTCAAAGAATATGCCGACGAGTCTTACGCGTCAGGGTAGGCTAGGCGAAGTATCGGAGTTATGGCGTTTTAGGGGTGTTCGAATCAGTTTCTTGAGTTTCTCTCTTTTATATTTGGTATAGGCATCTGGTTTTTAGCATGAATTACTAGCAAGACTGAAATCTCTTCGGTGCTTCGCACTCAGGGCCTGATCGGTTCCAAACAATTATCATTGTATTTCCTCAAAATTAGGATATCGATGTAATATGATGTTACGTTTATTAGGGAGCTACCAGAAGCAATTTTGAGATCAGAATCCAATATCGGGCGTCGGCCTTGATTTCTGTTGATTATATTGGATAGTTCCAAGATCGAGTGATCTCCTGTGTAGCGGATGATCCGCATCTTCACGAATCAATACCAAAGTGACATACCTAGAATCCCATTATACCCTTTCGACTAGAGTTTCTACCCGAAATGCTAGAGTACGTTGGGAGATGTTTATTTGACCAGTTGTCATTTACCCGTATGTCACGGAGATTTGGGTTTTATTGCGAATCACTACGAGTCAACTGAGATAATTTCGCACCACCGACCGCCGCTTCCAGCTGTTCAGTGGCGAGCCACGAAATGCCACACAAAATTCTTACTCGAAGCATCAGTCGACGGTGTATCGCGGGAACAGACGAGAGCATAGCCGATTTTTATGTACCTACATATACATACTGTATGTATGGCTCGAGAAGCTATGTGTAAACTTCGGCGTTTGCAGCCAATCAATCTACTAATTCCCATACAAAAAAGTTCCTCTGACCCCCCTATGCCTTCTCGCGTCATAGGTACAAGGAAGGGTGAGTGGCAACCGTTAGACTCGCACTTCAACCTCAACGATAACCAGGAGGGAAACACCTGTATATTGGCAACAATAATTACCAAGCATAACAAATTGCGTTGCGTTGCGCTGTTGCGGCGGGTCGTCCTACACTTAAAAGTTGGGCACATAGGGTCATGATGTCATGCAGTCTTAACGGCCTCCTCGTACTAGTATTTCTCTGACGTTTTTGAACTGGGCCATTATTGCATACACCCAAAATCATGAGCTTGGCGTATTTTTGTATGGCATGCAATATCAGTCGCGTCCACAAACGTCAGAGAAATACGAGTATACATACATGTACTCGTAGCTTTATAGCGTTTCCGAACACGACCAATATTGTATGATATATAAAAAGGTGGATTTGGCGCTTTTTTGTATGTCATGTAATATTGGTCGTGTTCGGAAACGCTATAAAACTACGAGTAGGTACATCCCTTCGAGCATTTTCATGACCGGGAGCTATGGTGCAACCAAGACCTCTCGCACCATAGTAGGCAACTTTTACTCGGTAGTACACCTAACCCTCACTCCGTGAACCTCTTTTGCTGTGAAGTCACCTTCTGTGACCCCCCCCCCCCCCCCACACACTTATTCTGGTGTCTCCACAGTCTGTACCTACATTTACGTACATGTAGGAAGCTAGATAACCGGGCCGTCGTGGGCCTAATATGTCTCCCTTTTTGCTCTGACGAACGAAGGGATGTACAGGGTGTTCACCCTAAATACTGAGAAGATCGATTTATTGGTTCGAAATTGTATGGGCGCCACGCATGGCAACCAAAAGTGACCAACAACCTTCAGAGTTACAACACATTACAATGGGCTTAGCCACACAATTTGTATGTTGGAAAAAAGTCTGAAGAACTTTCACATATCTTCACTTAAAAAATCGAAATATTTAACTAAAAATACAAAAAAATAACTACAGAATAGGGCTCGCTCCCTGCTTGATCTGAGCAGTGTTTTGATGTTTTTAAAGAGATTTTGGGGGGAGTTCCAAAAGATCGGAGGTGAGAAAGAGTCAAATTGCGGTGGTGGAGGTTACATTGGGGCATACACCCTCAAATACCTGCTTGGCCACCAGGTTGTCACTTTTCGAAAAATTCAACCAATCTCGGACCGGTCCAGAATAAAATTTCCTAAATGAGGGTTCTTCACACATACCGTGAACACCCTGTACATGTAGGTACTCTACATACTACAAACCCCTCCGTGAACCTCGTTTAGCCGTGGGGGACCTACTCTATACTGGCGAGTTTATAGAATTATATTTAATATACCGCAAAAACTCACGAACTTTGCTAGCGGATCTGACCAAAAACTAACTTGTAGAAGAAATATCTGAAGCTGATCTCTGCCTTTCAGCCAATCATCAATGAAGAAATCCCTGCACGGAGATAATCAAGTTGGCGAGTTTCTGCGGTACTCTATATCACCGCGCCGTCGTAGGCCTAGCACGTCAACTGCGGAAGAGATGATTTTCACGTCATATGTACATACATGTACACGTACCTACACATATCTGTTTCCGAGTCTTGGCGTTTGTCATTAAGCTCATTCGACCTCCAACGTCATTTGATAACTGAAACCAATCATCACCATAGCGAAAATGGTTATCCGAACCACAAACTGCTGCCTCTTCTCTTCATCTTCGAGGTATCTTCTTCGTAATGCGTGCTCAATTCGATCGCGTAAAATCACCATCGCTCCCAAAACTGGCCAGGTTTTGACAGAGAGAAGGAGCGACCGTGCGCTTCCAGGTCAGATTCCATTCCTTACTCTCGATTATAGCTGGGACTGATAATAAGAACCCTAACAGCCGTGGGTCCCCGTCGCTCGACCCTCATATCCGTTCCTGTCTTCCTTGTCATCTTGGGTGCCAGTACGCTTGCTCTTTTCAATTACCAAAAGTCATCCACTTCCGTTGTTTCATCAACCCTTTATGCGCTCCGTGTCCACCCCGAAGCTCGACAGCTCCTTGGTGATGAGATTACCTACAAGTACAAGATGCCTTGGATCAGCGGGAAGTTGAGTCAGCTCCATGGCGATATTGATATATCTTATCGAGTCAAAGGAACGAAGGGTGAGGGCCTTATGCGTTTCAAAAGCGTGCGAAAGACGAGGATGGGTATGGTATGTTTCTCGTCCTATCCCATGAACTTTGTAGATTTCTTATTTACTTAACATGCCGTTATTGTAGTTCGAGACGCTGCGGTGGGACCTGATCATGGACGATGGACGTCAAGTAGTTCTACTTGATAATTCTAAAGCCGATCCGTTCCCCCAATTAGAATCTCTTCAATCCTGAGTTTCTCTCCACAACATTTTTCAAACTGGAGGATGTAGATATTATGTACATAGGTGTACATAGGGATACATTTACACCCTGGTCGAAGGAGGGGCTTCTAGAAAATGAATTCAGAATATCAATATCCCCTCAGTAATTCCATCTTCTACTCAATAGAAAGAAGGAATTAGAACAAAAAGATAGTAATACAGAAGTCTCCTCTTAGAAGTTCACATATCAATTGTCTCCTCAAACTTCAAAACCCCTTCTTTCCTTAGAACACCATCGACAGATGCGAGAATAGCTGGGGATGGATCATTTGCGGTGTGAGCAACCAAAACCAAGCCCGCGACCTTTACACTTTGTGCAAGGGCTGGCACAATATCCTACAAAGAAATGAATAAATTTACTTATTCCCTGCCATGTTTGGAGCTTGGAATAGACTTACTAAGAGTCGAGAAGAACATATGAGTCCCATTAAGTTGTTGTTTGACGCAAATCTAACAGCCTCCTTGATAGACGTACAACTCCTAGCGCTTGAGGCTACTTCGTTCAAATCGTCACCTGGCTCTTTCCCAAGGTCATTACAATAAAACACAGGGTCTACATTGAAATATATTAGCATCGACTATGTTATTCATGTTAATGACTCAAGTCAATCTCACAATTTGGTTGCTTCCAATTGAGCGCGGTGCAAACATTAGAATTTGATGAAGAAAAGACAATAGATCTTGTTAAATCATGTGATGTTAGCTTTAATGCTCTGGCATGATCAAATACGGTATTTAATATAGCGTCGACGCAGGTGTTAACATTCGGCGTGGCCGTCAATCCATACTCTTGTTCTTCGGCAAAGGTCGGATAGATAATGTTAAGGTCAAGGTGCACCTCACTGGGCAGAATTGACAGAACTTCGTTGAGGCCAGTAAACGAGTATGCCAGTATGAGATAAACTTCCGAAAGATTGTTGACTGCCAATAGCTTTTGCTTGATGCCCACACCAGATTGAGCACCAACCTTTTGAAATTGAGCGAAGCTAACCTGAGAAACAGGGACCTCAAGCTCACCGAAGGATATCGTCCACCTAGGGTATAATACAGGAATACAATCTCTGGTGAGCTGGATGTAAAGACGGACATACTCTCCGGATAGAGATGACCCAGTAATAAGTGCATTCGGGTGAGACTCAAATTGACTTGTAGCTTTCCAATAAGTTGCAAAATGGGTTATCTCCAGTGGAACACCTTGGAAAGGTTTGATTATCTGGAAATCGAAAGATATTCGCCCCATAGCCCGAAGGCGAGGGTCAAAAAGGGGTAAAACACAATGACCAGAGCTACTTGAGCTAAAGGTATTCGGTAAAGCAATCGTCCGCGCAATCACCTTAGACCCAAAGGTTGGGTATATGTCGAAATCTATGGTAAATTGATCCAATGTATCAATTTGAAAGGATATTGTTTTGAGATCCTCGCTGAGAGGAAGGAGGAGATTTCGGGGAATGAGATCCGATGACTTCGATGATATAGTGAGCCTAGCTGCGGGATATTTGTCGTCCTGGTAAAAGAGTATTGGCTCAGTACCCGCCTCGTGGAAAGTGAGCTGAACGAAGGTCTTATTTTCAAGGAAATTGTGCCCATATCGACGCAGAGGAAGGATGGGGGGAGGGAGAGAGAGATCGGGAATTCCATCGGAGTCAATAGTCATATGTGTTCCAGACTGCGTTGAGGCGATTGAAGCAGGTGATGGTTTATGAGGAAAGGTTCCGACGATACCAAGTCCTCCACCTGCCGCCGAAAGAAGTTGCATACACTCGAGATGACCCTCCCAAGCTGCATAATACATGGCAGAAAGCTCTTTCTCGTCTAAAATGTCACTCCTAGCACCGCTCTCTAGAAGAGCCTTCAGGCATTCTACATGCCCTTCGCTTGCAGCATGGAACACAGCCGTCCATTGAAATAACTTGTCCACCTCATTTAGGTTTGCTCCATACTGCTTTAGTAACATTAGAAGCCGTACTGACTCGCCAGATCTTGCGACTAAGTGCTGGGGATAAAGGCCTTCTGCGTCTGGTAAGATACGAGCATTATGTTTGAGGAGAATTTCCGAAATCTCGCAAAGGCCATACTGGCAGGCCAAGTTGAGCGGAATATAGTCCTGCTCATGCCTAGGATCTATCCGTGCATTGCAGGCAATCAGTTTGGAGACACACTGCTGTTTGTTCTGTGTTATAGCGTGTATCAACGGCGTGAAATTATCGTGGTCCATGGCATCGATCGTCGACGGCTTGACATCAACTAATATCTCTACCATTTCAACGTGTCCATGAATGCAGGAATAGTGTAATGGTATTCGACCATAAACATCAGCTCGAGCAACATCCACCCCTTGCTGTAATCCAACCTTGAGAATTGACATTCTACCAGCGTTTGCAGCTTCGTGAAGACAATTTCTCTCATTGATCTCATCCTCTGAATGATAATCAATTAGGTTGGTTTCCATAAGTACTCCAAGTGACTCCTCGGAACCTTCGGGAATAGCGGCAAGAAAGGCTCTAGTGACCTTCTCACGCGCGTTTCCAGATCCCTCCAATCGGGCTATCCATTCCTTCAAAACGGTGGTATTCTCGGAAAAGATAGCTCTCAGAAATTCGGCATCGGCATCGCTCTCGTCTGTGCCAAGCAAACGCCCGGTGAGAGCACCTTCGCCCCCTTTTCTGTCAAAAGAGATATTCTCCCCCTCTGCCCAAGCCTCGAGCTCGAGAAGGCTGGTTGTTGCCTGGTCCGAGAGCTCTGTTATAACATCTCGGTTGAAACATGGTTGAACTTCTACCGCTCTAGAAAGATAAAGCTCCTTTGTCCGTGACTGCGAGGCATTTTGTAAGTAGATTGGCCTCAGAAGACTCGGTGGGTAGGCCTAAAATACCTTCGACGATTTATCCCACTGCAAGCATTTTGTTAGCGACCTGATCCACGGGTACTGCAGATATATATATATATATATGTTTCTAAATCACCTTTTTTAAAATCTTCGAAAATGCGGTAGCGTTGACTTCAACAAACTGCTGTAACTTGCTTAGGTCATGTTGAAATTGTCGGAATCCCTCCTGCAAAGTAATGTATGTTGCTGAAATTTTAGAGGTAGTCTCGCTCCTGGATTGTATAAGTCTCTTCTTGTCTATCAATGTTTTCAACCGCAGTTTCAGCTGCCGCTAAGGTCAGTGCCTGTGTGTACAATACGGCGGGGTTGCGTCCTACTTCAGCCTCTTTATGCAAATAATACGTATTAACCTTCTCCAACTCTCTTTCCTGTATTAATTCCGCTCCTAATTCAGCTACTGGTCATACTAATAGATGTTAGGTCAAACTGACCAGTTTAAAAAAGAAGGTGGCTTTATTTGCTTGCAAGGTAGCCTGTGGGTTACTGAAGGAACGACCTCCCGGGCTTTGGAAAGGTACTGGAGGAGCTGGTGCCTTTACTCCAGCGCCCAGTGATTTGATAAGCTATGTATAGATAACCGTTAGATTCGGATTTAAGGAATACAGAATGAACTAAAGCAAGACCTTTTTGAGAGCTTTATAGTTGACAAAGCTGGCCGCATACTCGGGGATGTCTAATTGCCGCTTTGCTAAAGTTTTTCCGAACTTCCTGTACACACTCGAAATGTCAGTTTACTCTGTGCATCCCAGAACAGTATAAACTTGCTCAAGAGTTCCAAGATGCGGTTTTCTCACATGCTGTTTTATGCTACCGCCGTTGGCTTATGGTGAGGCTCCGGAGATGGCGGGGCGCAACTACTCGGGATGCCCGCTTCCTCCTGTCACGTGGAAAGAACTATTGCAGCCTACAGTCAGGGGATGGAAGGTTGAGTGCTTGATAACTGATGATGCGAAGTAGAGATGAAGAGGGGAGCGTGCAGAGACTGAAGGCCGAGCTTCATCAACAGTAGCTGTCAGTCACCCTGGTGGAAGTTGCTGGCATCCATATTGGAACGCAACCTACCCTCCTCTTTCCTTCACTCTCTTGACAACCTTTGCCCCTCTCTTCGAAAATGTATTTCGCGGTCAGAGAGCGCGGAGGAATCGCCCGTGGGTTCCAAATATCGTGAAGGGATTTATGGTTGAGAGCCAATGAGGGATCTGTAAAGACAAACGTGCGCTCTTCTACGGCTGTTGTTGTTGGCTTGATAAAATGTTGGCAAGGGCCGTATCCAAGAATCGAGCTCGATCTACAGGCCCTGAACCACCATTGTTTATTTATATCGATCTAACCGACTGAATCCAACGCAAGGAACTGAGGAAGAGTGAATCTCCGGTATCAAACTCCACCTCACCTCTTTATTCACTTCTTTGCTAATACATATGCATTCTACTCTGCAGCTCTATAAGCAGCCACAGTAAGTACCACATAATATGAATATCGACGGTGTTATCACGACATGTGGTACTTTCGTAAGCTTTGCCGTTTATTTGTGTTCGGTCTGGTGCCATCTGCAGGCTCCACAACTCAACCACCTCATGTCCTTCAATACCGCAAGATTTGGAGCGTTGCACCTGGGCGTTAGAGGAAATCCTGGTATGTAAAAAGCACCAATTTTTGCTCGAACTGTGGCGAATCCTTCAGTTTTTGGTGAGAGAAACTTACCAGGATCTTATTTAACACCCGGGTGCAACGCTCCAACTTTTGCGGTATTGATGTGGGCGGATGTAGATGCATACATGTAGTATTACCCGGATTTTAAGCGAGCCTTGGCCAGTGATCGGCTTCGAAAACGCAGGTCTCAGATCCAGCATCATCGTTTCTACCTCTGAACAGCAGTATCGATGTCAACGTGGCTGAAAATATCTGTGGAACCTCTCACGCTATTGGTCCCCCTAGTTTCGGCCTTTCACCAACCAGCAAACACCTACAATATATACATACCTAGAGTCCCGTACGTACCCATGGGAAATTGTTGACTTCACACCATTGTTCAGTTTCTTCAATTGCACCCCCACTGTAAGACGATATGAATAATTAGATGTTTGCACTTCAAGAGAGCAGCCTCGACAACATCAAATAAACGACACCCAATAATCTATTTGTATGTGGGCTCTATTAGCACTAGATGTAGACGTTAACGTTGATATATGCACAGAATTCAATTTCGGGTCTATGAAATCGAATCATCCGACCCACTGGTTAGAATAGATGCTTATGCATGCAGTACAGAACGTTAATTCGGCATCTCTGCAAATCCCTATAGATACCACAAAAGTATGGAAGTTCTCCTTTTCAATGAAAACGGTTTATAATATTATAAACACCGAGATGATCTTACAGTGCACTGTGATGTTCACCTGTTGAGCACCGATTAGAGACTCCTAGGTTGGTATATTGACATTGACTTAACTGGTGGCATACTAAAATTCCAATCCACTCATTTGACATGTTAATGGGGCTTTTCATTGTTAGCTAATGCGTGAATGACATATCGTAACGAGCGATCCGATATATAGATACTGCGTGTGCCCAAGTAGATTGGATTACTTCAGTTCAGGACGTTTCACGACTTTAGTGCATGCGCAACCAAGGAGCAGATGCGTGTTCGAGGTATAGTGGATGAAGCGGAGCAAATACATGTGAGATCGGGTAGGAACCAAACAAGGTACGCAAGTACGTTTGGGTAAACCGTACTGTAGTATAAAAGAATGCTGCTTCTGCTACTGTACCAAAATAAAAACAAAGATGGATGAAATCATGAGTCTGATTGCGCATGAGAATAGTAAATCGGACTCCATCCTCGCCGCAAAGCGAGTGACCGCAACGCCTAACAGCCAAGCCTATTGCAGTCGCCCTGGCCTTTGCAGGTACATACAATAACCCAGACTTGAACCCCCGCACCTTTTCAACCACGCATCACGAGAAAACCTGTACCCGACACCATTCGGAAGAACATACACTCAAATATTGCCATTTTTCAGCTAACCGGAGCAATTTTCAGAAAGGCCAATAGGGTCAATATCTCCAACATTAGAAAGGTTGATATTTCACCTTTTCGCCCAAAGAAATACAATATGTATAAGAGTGAGGAAAAGGGGCAAAAGAGAAAACAAGTAGAATTTAGAAAAAATGACAGATATGGCATAAAAGCACTAAAATCTGTACCTTTGGTAGATGTTTCAAATGCGTAGATGGGGGGGGGGGGGGAGGTTAAAAGATAAGATAAAAAAAGGCAACAGAACAAAAACCTCGGAATACAACGTTGTAGAATGATGTAGACAGAATAATGGTTGGTCTTAAAGATGTGCGAGACAAGTCGTTCTAGAAAGAAGGAAGGACAAAAAGAAATAACTACCAAGTTTTCAACAAATTTCTAGAAACCTCGGGGATTATTAACAAGCTTTAGCTCGTTGCGGTTCCTAAAAATTCTGGGCAATACCGCTATTACCCTGTTGAGGAAAGTGGGTGCTTGTGGGTGTTTCAATGCGAGTGTTACGTCTAGCAGAGACATCCCTAATGACAGGGGCTGGTCCATAACCATTATCTCCTGAATAGGGATGGGCGGGGTTCCTTGAGGAGTAATATGCATCCTCATACCCGTCATCCACACCATAGTATTGGGCATCGTGATGGGACATAGGTTGACCAATATCAGATTGATCTGACTGGGTCATTGCGGAATAATTTGAAGATGCATTGGAAATGCCTCTATGAATTCCCCCGGAATTTTCCGCCGCGGCAGGACCATTCATGGCTCCAATTACACTAGAGTCTGCTGTTAAAGGCCGACTCCCATGTATTAAAGGAGCATTTGAACCATCAACAGAAGGTGAGTTGCCCGCAGGGAAGGTAGATGTACTAGGCGAAGTCGCTACGCCCGTATACCCATCTGGGACAGGGCCAATGATATTTTGTTGCTGCTGTTGCTGTTGTTGCTGAGTGAAACCCCCATCCGAAAATGCCATCCCAACAGGGGACATTGGTACACTAGTCCCAACACTCGAGCCCATATTTGACGCTTTTCTCCCTCCGTTTGTCGACCCCCATCCTCTATAACCAGCCCCATCACTTTCTGTCATTTCGTAAAGAGTTTCTTCACCGTTACTATTACTCCGGGCGACCCCAACACCCGCCGCCGTTGATGCCGCGCCACCATGGGGATCATTATTGGGATTGTATCCGTATTCCTCAACCTCTTTCCTCCTGGCTTCTGCATCGGCCCTGGTCTTTTGTCGCCTCTTCCATAAAAACAACATAAGTATTGCAACAAATGCAACACCAATAATAGGAACAATTACGGCAACTACCACTTTTGCTGTTCCGTTCAACCCCCACCTCCGGCATTAGAGTTTTCCGCTGAAGAGCTGGTTGGTTGCTCTGCGGTAGAAGTGCCGGTAGTTGCGGCGCTAGATGTAAAAACGGATGATGATAGATTTGTCGCTCCTCCTGGGGTGATATTGGTCGAAGTGATGGTTTGCGTGACTGTCCGAGGAGTTTCATTTGATGGTGAAACAGTAGTTACAATGACAGTTTGGAAGGTACTTGTGATTGGTGGTTGAGTTGCGGTGACAATAGAAGGCGTTGTCGAGGTGGTGGATGGCGTAGTGGCTGGGGATGCTGGAGACGTTGTTGGTTGAGTTGTTGTGGTAGGAACTGTTTGGGACGTAGTGGTCGGGAGTGCCGTAGATGATGATGGCAAAGGTGTGGTAGAGTCACGCACTGAAGAGGTGGTGGAAACTACAGACGTCAGAGACGGAGGCGGGGCTATAGATGTCAGCAAAGAATCTTCAGGGAGCTTGTGGAGTAAGAAAGGAGGTTGGGGTGTGGGGGAAGGTGGAATTGAAGACAGAAACGCACTGGTAATATTGGAACTAGACATCGTTTAGATGGCAAACTTCACGACGCACGCTTGGTGTGCAGATCGTTAGGTAACGGGCTTGGAAGAACTTAAGTGATTCAGAGAAGCAAATACGATGCAGGTCGCAAACGACTCAACATGCGGGAAGAAATGTAAGTGTGGGAATATCGAGAGGAAGGGAGGGGGGGGGGGGGGGGGGGGGAGAGGGGTTGTAAATATCGAAGTGAATAATAAAAGGTTATGGGGATCAGAAAGATGATCGAAAGCAAAAGCGAGAGCGACAACAAGCGAATGCGTCCAACTAATGACTAAATGAGTGGATAGGGCCCAAGTTGACCCAGGCTGAAGAAGCGATGACCTGGCAGGGAGGCAACGGTTGAAAAGCCAGTGGAGGAGGGCGAGAAGCGGAAGAGGAAGGGGGAGGGAGGGGAAGGGGAAGGGGAAGGGCGAGAGATATGGAGTGAAGATGGTGAAAAAGAAAGGGACAGGGTAAAATGCGATGGTTATGCGTTTGTGGAGCCTAGCTCTCTATCCCGCTTAGAAAATGTGCACTTTCCACACGTGAAGAAAAAGGACGAGAGCAAAGGGACGAAGAAATATTATGCTCTAGCGTGGTGATATTCAATACATGTACCTACATGTAGGTTGTATGCGATTACATGTATTTAAGGGTGTGAATGGAGAGAGTACGGTGAGTACATGTATGTATACAGTATTGTATGTATGTAAGGACCCCAGTGCAGAAGGAGCTAAGGGTGGGCGGTAAGGGGCTTTCTCCTCTACCTACAAGCTGCAACTAATTAGCGTAAGCAGTACACAAGTAAAACTTCACAAAGACATTGACATCAAATTCGATATTCGAGTCGTGAAAACATCATCGGTTTCGATTCCTGGGCTCCGTAAATATTGGTTTACTATTTCTAGTCCTAGGTAGGGTATAGTTGCACTCCGTTATAGTCCGTTTGTTACAGCAGTTTTTTTTTTTTTGGGGGGGGAGGCTTTTTATGGCATATATATAGCATGCCATGTGTTGAAAAAAATAGTTTGTACCTTAGACAGTAACACCCTTGGTCATTTGAGTATATATGCTATTAATAAATTTTTGACGATTACAAGCTGCTTTATTACCTGTGCCAACGTCCGTATAAGATTTGCACTGAATTTATAATTACACATCTGAAGGAACCAATTCAAGCTCTCGTGATCATTGGACTCTAGCTCTCCAAATAATTTAAAAACAAATAGCAAACAGAAAAATTCTAGATCATGAGTATTCAATTAAAGTGAGCCTTGCATTAGTTAAAATTCACCCCGCCGCTAAGATCATACAAAGAAGATTGTGAAGTGAGCGATCGCGATGATTGAGGTTATCATTGGGTGATATTTCCTGATGTTTATTGGCTAATTATGTGATTAACTGATAGTTCGTTCGTGACGTTTGGTTAATTGGGTTGGTAGGCCGTCCCATCATCACCTTCCGCACTTAACTCCGTCTTTCTGCCAATATCTCCCCATATAGTTAGGGAAGACTTTAGTAATCTGTGTGCACCGCGGATTTGTTCATATACAATGAGCGTTAGTTTTAACATAACTCACAGTACTTTACCGTACAAACTGTAAACATATTAGTTATGATAACTTCTGGTAAATCGACGTATAATCTGGATCCTGCAGACCAAGAATACCGTCAAACAAATTAGATGAGTTTTAATGTCTACGGTGTGCAGCAGCTTACCGCTCACGGGGTATGGCCACAACACGGATCATTTATTATAATGTAGCATTCATGTTTGTCCTTAAATTTTACAGCACATGAGACATAGATGAAAAGAATGAAGTATGTATTAGCTAGTGCACATACTACAGTACCGTATTCATATTGTTGCCAAAGAATAAAATAAAATCCCGCTAATACTACAACCTATATTGTACTTACAAAGAAGAAAAAAGGAGAGAAAAAATACCTGGTAACGGGCTAATTTAATAGCATTGACCATTTTCCAGTTCAAGGCAGAAACCAGGAAACACCAGTGAGATGAAGACAAAATAACTGGAGAAATAGATAGGGAAAAAGGAATAAAATGAATCACCGCTAGATAAGAAAGAGACATATGTACCCATGATACCGAAATAATGCCCACAAGGCATCAACTCCCTATGTGACTTTGGCCCTCAACATCCATCAAGTCTGAAGTTGGACAAGCCGGATGAAAGAGAAAGAAAGAACAATCCTACTTCAAAAATGAGCGTATTTCAGAAACACTTTTTACCCCTGTACTCGAAAATTTCATCTTCCATCTATCCAGACAAAATAACAAAAGCACGCACTGCACGCAATTACATCGATTCAAACATAGCTTTAAAATTCAAAGGACCACCTCCGCTCTCATGACTCACGTCGTTATTGGTTGATTTATGCTTGCAATTGGCCCGACCTTGTGCTCGATATCACCAGAACCTCCAGAAATCGTGAAGAAAAGAATGTAGGAAATTAAGGAAATATTGCCGCTGGTCGCCTGCGTTCCTTCGGATTTGGAAATCATTGTCGAAAACGCTGCCCAAAGAGAACACCCGAACGAAAGAAATCTATATTGGATCCGAACACCATTTCTAACTCACAACAGACCACATTTCCTTACTTACGCATATCCCAGGTAGGTTTGAGGTTGGACGAAATCGCCTCTTTGGCAGGAACGACGTCCTGGGGAATGCGTGACACGCGATACGCGCCGTTCCTGATATTTTGAATTTGCTGAGCTGTTACGCCGCTATTATTGCTCCTAATGCTCCCTGCGTCGCTTACTGCATCATCGTTCTTAAACTTGCGTGGAGGAGCGAAATCAAGTCCAGTGAACGTAGAGGAATTTCTCAGACTATGAGGGTTGGGAAGAAGGGAGAGCTCATCGAAAGCAGATGCAAGCGGTACGTGTGGAGATACACTAGGTGAGTATGGGCGAAGCCCCCCACGAAGGCCAGGGGATTCTGTACCATCTCCTGGAATTCTTGATGAGGGCGCAAATATAACCGGTGAAGCGAAGGCATCTTCCTTAAGCATTGAAGGCGTGGGTAGAAGGTGAAGCGGTGCAGGGGGGGGCATTGGCTTTCGTTGAGGAGGGGGTCCTCGCCCACTCGCAGAGGAGAATGACCGTGGACCAGGCGGCATAAAGTGACCGCTGGCAGCAGACCCGTTCCTTGGTGGGGGCCCACCAAATCTTGGTGGCATGCGAGGAGGAGGAGTCATTGCACGTCTGGTTGGGGCTTCTGCAAATGGTTTTGCTCCAGGTATTACAAATCTACCAGTCTCTTGGTCATAGACTGCAACACTATCATCGTGATATTCCCCTTGATGTTCATCTTGTCTGTTGTGTCTGGGTTGCGTAGGCATGGGGGAGCAGGAGACGTATCCTCGAAATATTCCTTGTAAAATGACCTAATTCGCATTGCCCGTTCCTCTGCGTTCTCATCGGCTGTTCCTTCTGGAGGCAGGGGACGGAACCCAATCGAAAGCCTGCGGTCCTCAAACGCTCCTGGGGCCAAGCTCTTTCGACCAGCCGCTTGAGGAATTGGATCCTCCATTTCACTTCGTTCTGAGGCCATAGATAGGCGAAATTGAGGCCCTTCGCCATATTCACTCTGATCGTTTGAAAGTGGTCTTGAAGACTCCGTTAAATCGAATTGAATGTCAATTTGGGGGGGTTGTTTGGAGGAGCCAATTGTGAGCGCAGGAGGAAGTGCCTTAGTTGGTTGTTGAGGAGCCGGTGGCTGCACCTCGATCTCTTTAGCTGAAGTGTTTTGTTCCCCGCTTTCACGACTACTGGGTCCAGCACGAGGGTTTAAAGGTAGCCCGGAAACAGGGGATTTCACGGCAGCAGGAGACGGGACGGTAATCTGTGGGACACTGCGGGAAGTATTGGGCGTAGAAGGCCCCCGCGGGTGAGGAGGCGTGGACATTGGCATTGGCGAAGCTCCGCTAAGCAGCCCCCCATTCATACTTGTCCGAGAACCATCAGGACTGTCGTCTTGGCGTATGGAATGTGCGTAGATCGACGAATCCCTACCAGCTGTCATGGGACGCCCATATCTGTCATCATTGCTTGCACCCATCGTCTGTAGAGTATCGTGTGAATGGAGGCCTGCCGGAAGAAGATATGGTGATGCAACGTCGAGATCAAGGGAAACCTGTCGGCGGCTACGACTATCTGACTTTTCGCCGTCCGCAAGGTGAGCGGGCGGAATTTTGGAACGATTTCCACCACTACCACTCCCAAATTCCATGCCAAAGTCCATGCTTTTCGTCTTGTCCATGGCATCCTCTTTCCTCAGCTTCTGAGTATGTCTGCGGTGAAGATAGACCAAAACTAAACAGGCAATAAAAATGGGAACCCTACTCGAGGTCAGATAACTATAGATTCAATAAGCTCGCTCGATTACTTACATTGCACCTAATAAAATTGGCAATGTTTGATTAGTAGCATTGGCTGGAAGCTCACAGCGTGGGCTTGGATCTCCTTCGGTGCAAGTCGCTGTCGCAGCAATTATAGTTGTAGTTGCACGTTTGTTCAAGCTTGGTGTGGCCACATCATGGATAATGGTCGGTAGCTCTGTCGCTTTTCGACGTACAAGTTCGTGCAAACGGTGGTGCCCGCGGGTATGCATAATTAGAAAACGCTGAAGGCTTCTTAGGTACCAATGTTAGAGATTATACCACCGCAACTTCATCTAAATTCCCTTACTCACCTCGAACTATATATATATATATATATCCAAACTATCTGACTTTCACAGCACGGCCGGTTGGGGTATTCTATTATGTAAGAGATTCTTTGGAGTAAAGGTTGTTCTCAATTGGGGTTGTATTAATGCGAAATGGTGATAGTTAAATCAATTGATTTGGGCGGAGCAATATTTACGGATTAATCGAAGGAATGTGTTTGGCGTAATTAAGTGATGCTAAAGAGGGAAAGAAATTCATATAATAGTGAACTTGGACGGGAGGGGGAGTAAGGAATGACTGGTGCGAAAGATCAAAAGAGGGTTATGGAGGAAAGCCCTTCGAGGGGTAAAAGAATGACTGAATGGGCTTACTAGCTGTAGAGCAGCGTTGACTGAAGAGCCTCTGTCTGGTGAGCCCAACGATGTGGTGGTGGTAGAGGTAGAGAGAGGAAAGGGAAGAAGAGAAGGGAGGACGGTAGTGGTTATGGGTGGGAAACAACAAAAACGGGGAAAGGAAAGGAGAGGCCGCTTCCTGCATAGATTGGACAAGGGAAAGAATTGGCTGTTGTCTAGGCCTGAATAATGATGAGACAGCCCGCCCACCAGCGGCTGTGGAGAGATTACCAGCCAAGTTCACACAAGCATGAACAAGAACAGGAAACATGGAGCCTGTTACTTCCCTTTCTGCCTCTTTGGGCCTGCTTCTTCGTGCTTTCCACCGTAGACAAAACAGTCTGGTAAACCTCCCACGCATGTCGCTGCATCCTGCATCGGTGCTCCCTCATCGCTTCAGGGATTAGGAGCAGGTACAGAGAAACCCTGTGGTAGAGTAGCTTGGTCGTGCAAAGGAGACCAATTGGAGTCCATGCGAGCCGTCCAGGAATGTGCGAAAGGGGGCCACACCAACAAGGATCAAAGGCACAGTACCTGATCGGGTGGAGGCCTCCCACGGAAATTGCAGTACTTGGCAGGCAACCTGGTCGGTGGATCCTAGCACTCCAGCTATCGTACTCCTCCACAAATTACTGTAATATTAATTGTACTGTGCTAGATGATCTCTCTCTCTCTCTCTCTTTCTCTTTCTCTCTCATTTTCTCTCTTTCCACTTATAAAACCATTGATCCCTCCATCTCTATAATCTGTACCCATACCTCTTCCATCTCATTTTTCTCACTTTCGCGGGGTCTAGATCAATGTTCAGCCCGAGAAACCGTAAATACATGTATATGTATACATGCACTTACATGTACCTACATGTAGCTGTAACAAACGTGCTTTATGCGGCATATTAGCCGTTCAGAAAGTACACATGCCAGGACTACATGTGGGACTGTATGTAATAGGTATCGTTACCGTTGGAGGCTGTGGTGGCTCGGATAAGTTACCAGGCTTCTTCCCGTTCCGAACTATGGGTACAGCGATTCACAGTCATTTGGCGAATACACCCATTTGGCGAACAGGGATTAAGGCCAATAAGAATCAAGATATCTTAGTCAAACTCGAGGTTTTACTGGTTGCTGGCTGGTTGCTACATACAAATTCGCCAAATGGGTGTATTCGCCAAATGCCTGCGAATCGCTGTAGCATGAAATTACGGCCTCGCGGGACTACCATGTGGTTTAAATCCTCCCAAGAAACTGTGGCGAGTTAATTGGCAGTGTGGCATCCGGTACATAAGAGCCACATTTAGCTACGTGCCAAGGCACCTTAATCAGCACACCTATGTCAATAGGGTTACTCGGTCGTTATTAAAGCGTACCTAGATGTGTTTGCTAAGTGTCATTTTTGACAATTGACACTTCGGAATTGACGGTGACATGGAATGCGCAAGCTGCAAGAGCAGGATGATACATGTATGTAACTACATGTACTATGGTGTCCTCCAAGTATATTAACGTATTTCACAGCCTGACAAGCGACCCCACCCAAAAATGACACTTATGGATGCCACTTTGGAGAGTGGCGGAGTGTCGATTGTCAGAATTGACGGTTACATGTAGTAAATACATGTACGCTCTATTGCAACGCGATCACCCAAAATTAAAAAACTTAAAGTATCTATAGAACAAAATACCGATTTGGGGTATACGTATCACATCTGGGTTCAGCGTCAAGCCTTAGAAGCCAAATAATCAACGCTTCAATTGAGGGCACCGCGAGACCGACGCTTATTACCACGTCGCGATCTTAATCATGACAGAGCCTCAATTTATAAAGGATTTATGGATATCAGTTCAAAATCAAATACACAACTTTGTATCTACATACATGTACTCAAGGCCGGTATCCGCTCCATGTCAACCTCGATCTCGATACAAGTAGCCCAAGATTTTTTATCGAGTGAGTATGTACTCTATAAGCATCTTTGTTTGAGCACATGTACCTACTTTCCAAACCAATTATCCCTAGCCGTGGTTATGTATAGGGACGTTCTGTAATAAAGTCCTCACTACTATATGTAGTTTGCGTGGCTCACGGGTCTTACGTAGAGTTCGACAAAATGAGCCACATGCACAGGTAAGTGTTCACAATGTGATAGCTACATGTAGTGGTACATACATACATGTAAAGCCACAAATCTGCTATAAAGAATAATCTGCTGTATCGAACGAGAGATTTTGGAATATCCAGGTTCGTCATAACGGAGGGCAACTGTATATGGGTTTCTAATGTTTAGCCTAGTCAACGCGTTTGTTCTGGTTCTGAGCGTCGCTGTGTCGCCTTTGAGACTACAGACCTGATCGATACCTAGCAGCCCCAATGGATACCCTGTTCAGACTGCAATATTACTAGTAAGCTACATGTACTGGGCGTTGAGGTAAATACGAAGAATCTGATAAGGGAATCTTGCTGTGTTTATCTTATCAGATCCTCAGTATTTATGGTTGACCCCGGTACATGTAGGTATCTCATGCATTAGCGTGCCCTACCTAGGAAACGATTTACTGTAATAAAGCAGCAACTTGCGAAGTTTTTGGCATCTCTGAGTATTAGAGAGGTTTCGCAGCGTCTTTTCAGATAGGAGGTGCGCCTACAGGCTGCAGGACCTATGCGCAAAAATAAACAAACAAGAATAAAAATGAGGTTTTGCTTCCTTCGCATCCGACAATGCGCCAAGTATGCCAGAGTGAATTGACTACTCTCCTCTGCGAATTCTTGTAGGTGTACCGGGGATTAAGGGTAAGTACTGAGAACCTTATTTTGGGCTGTAAGGGCCAGTGGGCGTCTGCTATTGGTCGATTCAAAAAAAAAAAGGACACTTGGCGGCCAAGAGGTTAGACGCCTTCCCGGGCCACTCGAACACCCCCCTCACTCGAACAGTTAACTTAAAAAAGAAAATATCTGCGCTGTAACCGGTTTCTGTACCTCTTGAATTGGGCTTCTCCACCAATAAGCATCAACTGTTCGAGTGAGGGGGGTGTTCGAGTGGCCCGGGAAGGCGTCTATTTGAATTGTGTGTGTTGCAGCAATGCAACCTCCATTCCCTCTTTTCCACTGATGTTCTTTCTGAACTCCACGAAAAACATGTTTGAAAGTTTAGGATTGCTATTAAGGTGATGGCCAGAGCAAGGGCTATCATTTGGTTATTTTTTTGTATTTTTAGGAAAATATTTAGATTTTTGAGTGAGTATATATGAAGTGTCTTCGTACTTTTTTCCCCATACAAATTTCAGGGCCAAGACCAAAATTCATTGGCTGCTTTTTGGTTGCCATGGGCGGTTCCCATACAAAATCCAAGGCGTCTCGGTATTTAAGGTGAACCCCCCGGTACATGTAGTTATGCAGAAACTTGCATTGTCTGATGCAGCCTTTAAGCTGATTTTTTTTTTTTTTTTTATCATGTAGTTTTATTGATTCTAGGTACAAAACTCTGCATGCAGTCATAGACTATGGCATAAGCCCTTAAGCTGATACATCCGCTTATGATATACTGATGCTTGGTATCCGACAACGAAAAAATTGACCTACTTGCGCATATGAAGCCATATGCGTGACTTTATGCACCCTAACTATGCGAAAACCTCGTTGTCGGACGCTGCGAAACCTCTCTATTCCGAAGACCGATAAATGCAGCAAACTGCTTACCCGGACGTTTTCTCAGCCAAATTCTAGGTCACATGACTGCCAATTCCCGCTAATGCATGTATTTATCTCTGTTGCAAAATTCGTGGTTGCATACATGTATGGGTGTCGATCTAGCAAAAGGTACCTGGGTTGCAATGCAACGAGGCCTCACCAGTTGCTACCGTACTGTACAGCTTCTAATTGATGGGACAAATGGTTGAAAATTTGATTCTCGGCCTTCGCCAAGATTCTCTGAGCTTTAGGAATATTTGGAGTTTATCCGTTGTATGATTCTTCAGAATAAGGATTTGGTTGTGCGGACGGTTTTGCTAGATTGTCGCCGATATATCTATGTACCCCAAGAACTGCGGCTCTTGTGTTTACTGAAAGTGAGGGCTGACTCATCTCATGACCGATACAGGCCAGCCGCCCCGCCCTTTGCCCATCATCTACAGCCTCTCCCTCTTTGTCAAGTACTTCGCACAATTCTCTTGGAATAAATCGTGCATCTCTCTCCTACACGTCGAGGAACCTTCGCGTGTACGTAAAGCCCGTAATAACTGCGGAATTACTATTATCTTCGCTAAACCCTGGATGCAGTCTTAGGTCCCCTCGTCTCCTACCCCGCCATCTCAATCATTCAAGAAACTCCCAGAAACCTTCCCTTCCAGGAAGTTTGAACTTACACATCTGTTGTTCATTGCTTGTTCTGCTGGAGCTCTGGTATAAACATCTTTACCTAGACCCAAAACACAGATATAAACATGGCCACTATTTCTATCGATGAACTGGACAAGCACGTCCGCACCTTCTACGAGGGAAGGGGTTCAGACGTGAGCTCTTCTCTTCTAAGTTGTTATTCCCTATCTTCTTTGTACCTTTCTGACCTTCTACAGCAAAAAAACGCGCAATTAGTTTTGAATCAGGTAAACGCCTTCATGGCACCTGTTAAGTTTCCTCTCTAATGCTAATCCGACCAATAGTTTCGCGAGAATCCAGACTCTTGGATTCTAGTGGATAAGTTGCTAGAGTCTGCAAATTATCCACAAACTAAATGTAAGAATCTTCTTATACCTCTCTCGTCCATATCGTTAACTCTCTCAGTTCTTGGACTCCAGGTTCTTGATAACGTTATTCAGACCCGATGGAAGATTTTACCCAAAGAGCAACGACAAGGTAAGACCAAGACGCGGCGGGGAATGCAGGAGTGGCGGGCTGTAGAGCAATCGATTAGGCATCACACTAACTTGAATGTCTCTAGGAATTCGAAATTTCGTTGTTGGCTTCATCATCCAGGCCTCATCTTCACCAGAAAGTTTGAATCAACAAAGGATTCTAATCAACAAACTGAATCTTGTGTTGGTATCGATATTGAAGCAAGACTGGCCCCATGACTGGCCTGATTTCATCAACGAAATAATCAGCTCATGTCGGAGCAATCTCTCCATCTGTGAAAACAACATGGCCATTCTCCGGCTCCTTTCGGAGGAAGTATTCGATTTTTCGGCGGAGCAAATGACGCAGTCTAAAACTAAAAATCTTAAGACAACTATGTGTCAGGAGTTTTCTTCCATTTTCCAGCTTTGCTCTGAGGTTTTGCAAATGGCTGAGCAGCCAAGTCTCATCAAGGCAACTCTGGAGACGTTACTTCGCTTTTTAAACTGGATTCCTCTAGGTTATATTTTCGAGACTCCAATTATTGAAACACTCCGCACACGGTTCCTAGAGCAACCCGAGTTTCGGAATGTTACCATGAAGTGCTTGACCGAAATCGGAGGCCTTCAGGTTAACCAATATCAGTACGACGAGAAATTGGTTGAGATGTTTACCAACGTTATGACAACAGTTTCAAAGATCGTTCCGTTGTCTACAGATCTCCGCTATGTTTACCCATCAAGTAATAATAGAGATCAGGAATTTATTCAAAACCTGGCCTTGTTCATTTGCAATTTTTTCACCCCACATCTCAAGGTATTCTTCCAACATGTCTCAGTTTGAAGGTCCTATCAATATTGACTAGTAAACTAGCTTATCGAGAATTTACCTAACAAAGACTACCTTACCCATTCCCATTTCTATCTCATCCGTATTTCACAGATTGAAGATCGTGAGATCTTTAAAATCTGTCTTGAATACTGGAACAAGCTTGTTCAAGAGCTTTATGAAGAAATGCAGTCCCTGCCAATCACTGATATCAATCCTCTTCTTAGTATGGGACAGATCGGTGCTGTGGGGCTAGCTAGTGGAGGCGGCGCCCTTCATCCCAACCTACATGCAAACTTTCCATTGAGAAAGCATATGTATACAGATGTTCTATCGAACTTGAGACAAGTCATGATCGAAAGAATGGTTAGGCCAGAAGAGGTTAGTTCACGTTTTACAGGTAATGATTACAGTATCATTTGACCAACCACTAATTATATATAAAGGTTTTAATTGTAGAGAACGATGAAGGGGAAATTGTTCGTGAATTTGTCAAGGAAAGCGATACCATTCAGTTGTATAAGGCAACCCGGGAATGTCTAGTTTATCTCACTCATCTGGATGTAGTGGATACCGAGAATATTATGTCTGAAAAATTGGCCAAGCAAGTTGATGGGTCTGAATGGTCATGGCCCAATTGCAACACCCTATGCTGGGCCATTGGGTCCATCTCGGGTGCCATGAATGAAGAGACCGAAAAGAGATTTCTGGTTACAGTCATCAAGGATCTTCTTGGCCTCACGGAGATGAAGCGAGGAAAGGACAATAAGGCAGTGGTAGCCTCGAATATTATGTATATTGTCGGACAATACCCTCGGTTTCTTAAGGCGCACTGGAAGTTTTTGAAAACTGTGGTGAACAAACTTTTTGAGTTCATGCACGAGACACATGAGGGTATGTGCAAGGTGCCCTGTTATTTGGAGATAATTTGCTTACTCCTTTCAAGGCGTCCAGGACATGGCTTGTGACACGTTCATCAAAATTGCTCAAAAATGTCGACGTCATTTCGTAGCACTCCAGCCTGGAGAGAGCGAGCCTTTTATAGAAGAAATTGTGCGAACTATGCAAACAATTACGCGCGACCTATCACCTCAACAAGTTCACACATTTTACGAGGCGTGCGGTTACATGATCAGTGCACAAGGGCAGTCTAGCATTCAAGAACGCTTGATTCAAGACTTGATGGCTCTTCCAAACCAAGCTGTAATAAACCCCCAATCAAACTCGATTACCTCAATACTGACCCTTTCTGGTACAGTGGGATGCCATCATCCTACAGGCGACCCAGGATCCTAGTATTCTAGATAATACTGAGACGGTCAAAATAATCGGTAATATCATGAAAACAAATGTGGCAGCCTGCACATCGACTGGAAGTTATTTCTATCCTCAAATTGGTCGTATCTACATGGATATGTTATCCATGTACCGTGCTGTTAGCCAAATGGTGTCTGAAGGTGTTGCCAGAGATGGTAAGTAATAGAAAATGTGTATAATTATTTACCCCATTACTAACATTATTTAAGGTCCTATTGCACCAAAAAAGCCCCGTATTCGTGGTCTTCGTACTGTAAAGAAAGAAATTTTGAAATTGATTGAGACTTACGTGCAGAAGGCGGACAATCTCGAGATGGTTAACGACAACATAGTCCCACCGCTCCTAGATGCGATATTGGTGGATTATAACCGTAACGTACCGGATGCTCGAGATGCGGAGGTATTAAATGTCATGTCAACTATAATTAGCAAGTTGCACGGCTTGATGGAGGACAAAATTCCCATTATCATGGAAAACGTATTCGAGTGCACGCTTGATATGATCAACAAGGACTTTTCAGAGTATCCTGAACACAGAGTGGAGTTCTTCAAGCTCCTCAGAGCCATCAATTTAAATTGTTTTCCTGGTAAGCTACACGTGGCTTTGAGAGACAGAGGAATGATTGGCTAGCTGACGAATTTTCAGCGCTTCTTAAACTTGATAATCGCCAGTTCAAATTCGTCATCGATGCTTGTTTATGGGCAAGCAAGCACGATAATAGAGAGGTCGAAGCAGCCGGTCTGAACATGTGCATCGAGTTGATCAATAATATTGCCGAGACAGACCCTCAAACTGCGAGTGCATTTTTCCAGCAATTTTTCATCCCTATCTTGCAAGACATCTTCTTTGTTCTCACAGATGCAGATCACAAAGCTGGTAAGTCTTCTTTTCAAATGATCATGCGGGTTGTCATTAACGGCTTTAAAGGGTTCAAGTTACAAGCACTGCTATTATCAAGAATGTTCTACTTCGTAGATTCTGGAAAGGTTCAGACACCCCTTTACACACCGGACCAGGCACCAGTAGGCACTACAAACTCACAATTTTTGCGGGAATATGTGGCGGGGCTTCTCCGAAATGCGTTCCCACATCTTCAGCCGTAAGTCGTCCTGGTCTCTCCCATCTTACTGATCAGTAAACTAATGCTTACGCCATCATTTTATAGAACCCAAGTGAAGATTTTTGTGGATGGCCTTTTCACCCTAAACAACGACCTTCCGAAGTTTAAACTCAACCTCCGCGACTTTCTAATCCAACTTAAGGAATTCTCTGCAGGGGATAATACTGAATTGTTTGCCGAGGACCGGGAAATTGCTGCCGAAGAAGCACGACGAGCGGAAAGAGAAAAGGCAATGAAAGTCGGTGGATTGATGAAGCCTAGCGAAATGGATGATGTTGAGTTGTGACTTAGTGGGTACCGTCCAACGGATGAAAACGATCAGGCATTATTACAGCCTGGGCCGCACCGGATTAAAGGGGATCTACTGTGTGGTGTTAATGACTGGGCTGAGGGATGGTGGTGGGATTGATGATAGAGTGTCCATCTAAGCGGTGCTGTTTCTTAATTATCTAACCAGTATTGCATCTCAAACATTCCTCTCATTCTCCTCTTGACCTTAAGCCATAGGAGATTCCAATAGTGATATCCTGAAAACCTACGGTATTAAGCAGCCTAAGATTATACATCGAGGTAGATCAAGATCTTCTTGGCACAATGAACCATCATCAATCTTTTAGCCACCACAGAAGATTATCAAACAGGGCAAAATAGTGCTCAAGAACTATAAAAGAATATACAAACTTATTCCGTGTAGTAAACATCTAAACAAATGTCGACCTCTAAACCTGATATATTACATGGAAACAACTATGTGGGGCTCTGGAACCACTGGAGAAGGCCTGTGAATAGTATCTTGAATACTAACGATGCCACCTTTGGGCCCCGGAATGGGTCCTAACGAATGTTAATGAACAGGGGAGCTTATAAATGGGTTTACTTTACTTACCGTTGATCAAAACCACGCCCAATTCCTGGTCCACTTTCAAAACCTGCCTGTGCTGAATGGTCTTCGAGTGCCCACCCATCCTCCCTGCCATCCGCTTTCCCGGATACACACGAGACCCGCCACCCTGGGATTGACCAGCAGAGCCCATTGCTCGATGGGTTAAAGAGTTACCATGAGAGGCCGGCTGACCAGCCCATCCATGGCGTTTCATTCCCTGCAAGAAGCACCATATCAGTCTCACGAGGCGTTACGTTTTGAAGCTTCGAGAACGCACTCCCGCAAACCCCTTTCCTTTGCATGTTGCCCAAATATCAACATATTGTCCCTCGACAAAATGATCAGCGTTGATAATGGTACCAGGTGCCAAAATACCGTTCTCGTCCTTCACCCTAAATTCTTTAATTGTTTTCTTGGGTGCTACACCAAATTTTTCGTAGTGCCCCAGCATCGGTTTTGTTATGTTTTTCGGAGCTTTCCATCCCAAACCCACTTGACAAGCCCAGTAGCCATGCTCCTTCTTAGTTTTTGGGGCCACAACTTGGACTCGATCAAGTTGTAGGATTGTGCAAGGAATTCGTTGGCCGTTAGGAAGATAAACAGCGGTCATTTCCTTCTTAACAGCAAGAGTGCCAACGCGTTGAGGAACTCGTCGGCGCTCGAGTGCAGCGGCTTTAGAGGCTGCAAGGAGTGTAGGGGAGGTGGAAGAAGAGACTCTCTTCATCTTAACACCACCGAAAGCGGCCCGCGAAGAGGAAGAAAATTGCGAAGCATTGTTGATCTTGATGGGTGAGATAAAGTCAAAGAACGACCCTATTTTTAGATGTCTCCAGATCGATATTTTCGGCGGCATAATTGCAGTTCAGTATGGTGGTGATGAAAAATGGACATCATTTGAACTTTCTCATAGTGGGATGTGGCACCATACGATGTGGCTGTGCTGACTGTGTGGCTCATATCTAGCGGGGAAGTTGGCGGGGCAACGTAATGCGCAATCGAGGTCTGGAATGGATGACGGCACACCACAGCTAACATCACCTCGAAATAGTTTTAAAGATAAAAACAACTCAGCTCTTCTACCATCCATCATCCATTTGCTCTTATATCCCTCAACCCCCTACCAGCTCTGCTCATATAAAGTCTAAATACTTCTTGCTTATAATCTTTTGAAACGATCATGGAATCTGAACATCAAGAAAAGCTTCCAGAGGAGTTCCCGGTATACTATATTTTTCATTTATTCCATATAAGTAGCGTCTTAAGCTACTTCCATTGATTGCATGTATTTACTAACCACTCACTTAGGCAAACTCTACATTAGATAACTCTCCTGCTCTCGCTAAGAATTCTAGCCAAGCTCCAAGTCAAGCACCGTTGGGCCCATCCACTACCCTCGAAACGCCCCCAGCGAAGCCTCCACGCCCTATGTCATCTCAACAACAGGCTCAAGCTACATTGCAAGAAGCATTTCCGTCTATCGATGGGGTGGTGGTACGTGCTGTGTTGGTGGCTTCTGGTGGTCAAATAGAGCCTGCATTTACGGCATTACTAAGTAAGAATATCTCCATGTAATCAGATGAAGAACAATTTTGGGTCTGATATGATCTAGGCATGAGCGACCCTTCTGTTGTAGAAGAAGATATGCGTCCGCCACCTCAACCACCTCGCCCTCGCCCTAGTACTCATTCACCACAAGTAGGTACTACTACACTCCCAGGATTCCACAACACTAAAGCTCTACAGAGAGACTCAGACTATAATATTACTCAACACACTGAACATCCACGGCGCCAGGGTCCACAAGGTTTCGCCACCACTCCCTATATGACCTCCACTCCTCAGAACCAACTCGAGGCAGATGAAATATATGCCAGGCAGTTAGCCGAACATTTCGGAGCAGGTAACATAGGTTCTAGAAGAGGAGGTGGTAGTGTGGATTACAACACTAGAAATGTGGAAACTAGAAGAAGGCAACGCATACCACTTCGAGATGAGGACTTTGATCCAAATAAGGAAAGATCATTCATTGATGGTAGATACTCTCAATATATATTTGAATATATCCAGATAACTAATTCCAGCCTGTAAGACGAGCTCCCGGTGATTAAGGAAAATATCCTTAAAGGGTTTGCTGAGACACAAAATAAGTTCAACTCATGGATCATCGATATCAAAAAACGTCTGGACGGCGACTCGCCAGAGAACTCCCCTCCACCCTCTGCACGTAACAGCGCTCAGTATGCGCGACCTGCGACCGGTAGACGTGGTTCTAGGGATGGAGGGTACGATGCTGACCCTAGGGTTCTGACTGATGATTTCACTCATTTGCATTTGAGGGACACTACTACTGAAGGTACTGTAAAAGACTAGAGAAGCTCGTAAAATATCTGTTTTTAACAAATGCTGTAGCACCGCAATCAAGACGCCCTAAAGCAAACCCAGGTTTATTCGAACCGTCTTCGGCTGATAAAGCTAGTCGCAAGGTCTCCTTTGAAGATCGTCCTACAAATATTTCTGACGAAGACCTATATCGCCCTGCCCCAAATCCCCGCCCTTCAGCTGCTGTCTCACCTGTTAGGCAGCCATCACCAGCTACAACTAGCAAGTGGGAACCCTTGAAGAGCGTAGAGCCAGCGCCTATGGATAGGGACCCGTTCTCCCTTGGTGATAGTGATGATGAGCGAGAGATTCCGTTGAAGAAACAAGAAACGGCCAAGCCGGTGTCCATCACAGGACCGCAAGAAACAGGCATTACTACGCCTAAAGTCCCTAAATGAGCGAGTGCAGTGTTGAAAGAATATTGAGCAAGCTTTCTAGGAGCTTATTCCGCGGGGGTGGGGGGGTGGGGGGGTGGGGCAATGGTCATTTTTGGAAGCAGGGTATAATAAGATGTACGTATATGATTACCTCTACGTAGACTGTTCTGGCGTGCTTGAGGTTAACAGGTCAGAGAAATTAAATGAATTGCCTTATCTGTATCTAGCCTATTAAGGTGACGAGCATTTTGCGTGTTATGTAGAGAATACGTCCTTCTCTAGTTAAATACCTTAGACCTACAAATTCTTGACGAAGACACGCGAGTAGACTCATCTCACGTACAAGGGTGGTGGTCTGATTAACACCTATGATTTGTACCTACTTGCTCATGTTACTAAAAGTTATTGATTATTCTTTCACTGCTTTTCGAAATATATTATTTATTCAGGGGTATTTTTAACACTCGTCAGTATACTCTCATCCCAGGAACTAAATACTGCTACAGTTGCTTTTAGAGTAACGGTGAAACTGGTTGAACGGCGGGCGGGGCTATTGAGAGTCAAGAAAGGTGACACTCAGGCTAATATCTAGCAAATTGATTGGCTAAAACCAGTATTTGCCGCTGCTCCAGAAGTGACTGTAGTGCTTACCATACAATATCAGGATTCCTCGCTCCCGACAAAATACCGTTTGGTGGTTTTGGTGCGAGGGTTTTGGTGAGGACGTGTGGTGTAACGTGGAAAAGCAGTTCACCCGTACTGTGTTTCCCTGCTCAGCGAGATCCCTACTATCATTTTGCAACATATGGTACGATAACCAAACTCTGTAATTTTAGACGCTTTCCGTTTATTTTAAATTCTTTCCATTCTTGAAGTATAACTATCTGAAAATATATTTGTATTACTACAAATTCTAGCTTTAACTATTTGAGTATTCTCCAATGTATGAAAGGTTTTTCTTCCGAATTACGCTCTTCTATGCCAGTAGCATATGAAGGTAAAAGAAAAACAAACCTTGTATCAGGCATCTAATAGAAACATTTACAGTTTCTTCTTAAATTTCAATAATAGGATATAACTCCTCAAGTTGTTCAATAAAATGTTTTGGTTCTGGTATTCAGGGCATCATGAGGTTATTGTGGTTTTGAGCCTTTCTAACTTCAATCTACGTTCACATACTAGTACGACAATTAATACTACTTGCTAATCATCAAAAAAAAATTCCGAGGGTTTCCTAAAGCATGAACTGAGTGATACAGCTATATTAGCTCTGACTGCTTGTAATACATCCAGCGATCAAACCGTGTCCAATAGCTACATGAATCTATAGACTGTTGTTTTGTCAGGTTTAATACGATATATTTTCAATTATACATTTTTTTTTTCATTAATATAGAGCTTCAACCCATTCGTTCATCAGAGCAAAAACGGAGACATATTAGGCCCTCGACAGCGTAGTGATATTCAAAAAATCTAGCTACCTGCAGACTGTGGAGGGGGTCACAGAAGGTGACTTCACAGCAAAAGGTTCACGGAATTAGGGTTAGGTTTATTACCGAGTAAAAACTGCCCATTAGCGCCTGGTCGTGAAAACACACGAAGGGATATCTGTATTTCTTATTTAGTAGTTGCTTTATAAAAATGAGTTAAAGGAATGCACTAAAAGACAACGGTTAATTACCTTCCGTTGTGAATTTTGGACAGGACTTTAGGCCAAGCATTGATCAGTAGATTCACTTTACGTACAAACCCTAGAGTTAGTAAATAATCATCCAGATATTAAGTCGCTATATGACCCTAATTACTCTAATACATTTATGTGCCGTCGTGTTAAACAAGTTTTGACGGTCGCAACGGCTTCGACCGGCACTGCGCGCAACCCGCAACCACCCCGCAATCCATCACGATGCCAACAAAACCCGTTGAAAAAAGCCAATATGACACGAGGAGGGACATTATTGCCCTCCCAAATCATGGTTTGCCTGTCAGCGAAATTGTGAAGGAAACTGGAGCCTCAGAAAGCACTGTGTACCGAGCGGTTGCCAAATACAAAAAAGAAGGGCATGTCTGCTACCTACCCCGCTCCGGCCGCCCATCAATCCTCTCAAAAGCAGGTAAGCAGATACTTGTAGATGTGGTAGAGGAGCACCCTACCTACGTATTGCGAGAGATAACTAAAGCCTCTGGGCTGAATGTCTCTCACCCTACAGTTGACAAGGTGCTCAAAGAGGCTGGATACACCTTGCACATCAAACACAAGAAACCATACCTCAAACCAAATCACAAATTAGCCAGGTTATACTGATGTCACCGCCGTCAGAGATCTGACCAGAATTATTGGCGTCGAATGGTCTGGACAGATGAAATTCACTTAGAATACAGCCCCAACCCAAGAGGCCAAAAAGTGCGATACCTACCCGGGCAAGGGATGTAGGAAAGATACCTTGAACCTTCATTTGCTAGTGGGAAAACAAAGATACACCTCTGGGGATGTTTTCAGCACGGGTCCAAAGGTCCTCTTGTCTGGATTAAGCGACGTCCACCTAGTGAAAGATTTAAGAAGAGGGATGCAAGTGGGATGAATGGGAAGCAGTATGCAGAGGAGATTTTGCAGGATTCTCTATTCCCTTATATCACTATAATGGGTAGAGAGGGCTCAAAAACAGTTGAGGACAATACCAAAGTCCATGATTCAGAGCCAGCGAAGGGGACCAGAGATTTGTTAGGGATCAATAGGATGCCCTGGCCTGCATGCTCGCCAGATTTGAACTGTATAGAAAATGTTTGGCACCTTTTGAAGACTGCACTTAGAAGGAGGTTTAGTTTGATTGAGAAGAGGCCTCATTCCCTTACTGAACTCTTCAAGGCAGCCCAAGAAGAGTGGGATAAGATATCACAGGACAAACTCAATTCACTAGTAGATAGTATGAACAGGAGGGTTATGGCTGTTATTGAGGCAAATGGTGCTGCTACAAAATATTAAATTACAGATATATGTACCTAGCTATCACAAGTTCTCTCATTTTTAATTTCATAGCTATTACTTGAGTGGTCGTTGAGTTATTTCATTTTGAAGTGGTCTGCGACATCCATTCGTTGGTGGTTGCTGTCACAACTTGTTTAACACGACTGTACATCTTGGAGTAGCAAGCCTACTCTAGAATTAGCTCGTCTACGTAGTCACCTCTTGATTCTGTTAAAGTGAGTAAGTGATTATATACCTAGCCCCTCGCCAAGACTTAATCACCCCACTAAACATCTCACTTCACAATTCAGAGTCATCGATTTAACCTGATTTAAAAACCCTTCGGTATACAACGCTTGAAAGAAACACCACAAGCTAAGATGTCTTCTTCAGAACCTCCACCCGAACAAATCTCTGCTATTTCCCTCAATGATTCATCTGGGGAAATTCCTCTCGGGTGCGCATGTCTTCATTTTCTCATTGCTTAACAGTGAATAACTAACATCCGTGAATATAGACCTGATGGTCAACCTCTTACAAAGAATGCCCTAAAAAAGATTCAAAAAGAAAAAGAGAAGGCCGAGAAAGCAGCAAAAAGAGCTGCTCTCGAGGCCGAGCAGAAGGCCGCCCGTGAACTTGCAAACATCGATCATGCAACGGCAAACTATGGTGTAAAACCAATGATTCAATCAACCGAGCGTTCTGGTATCGAGCGTATCCAGCTTTCGTCGCTCACGGCTGGGGACAACGGCCGTGAGGTTGTGTTTCGTGCCAGGATGCAGAATGCTAGAATTCAAGGAGCAAAGATGTGTTTTCTTGTCTTACGGCAGCAAAGCGACAGTATCCAGGCTGTGATGACAGTCAATACAGATGGCAGTGTTTCGAAGCAGATGGTTAAGTGGTCATCAGCAATCAATGCCGAGAGCATCGTGCTGGTCTATGGTGTGATTCGAAAAACTCCTGAGCCTGTCACCTCAGCAAGCTTGTCGGATGTTGAGGTTCATATCTCTAAGCTATTTGTGATAGCCGCGGCAGAACCAGTACTGCCAATCCAGTTTGAAGATGCCTCGAGATCATTCAAGGAAGTCGAGGATGGTGAAGGGAGGTACCCGACTGTTTCGCTCTCTACTAGACTCGATAACCGTGTTATCGATCTGCGAACACTCTCAAATCAGGCAATCTTCCGCATATCATCAGGTGTCTGCATGCTCTTCAAGGAATATCTTCTACAGAAAGGGTTTACTGAAGTTCACACACCAAAATTGATCGCTGCCGCTTCCGAAGGTGGTGCGAACGTATTCAAGGTCACCTATTTTAAGAGCGATGCTTACCTCGCCCAAAGTCCACAGTTGTATAAGCAGATGCTCATTGCTGGTGATTTCGAGCGTGTCTTTGAGATCGCCCCAGTTTTCAGGGCTGAGAACTCCCAGACACATAGGCACATGACCGAGGTTTGTGCGATGTTCATCACCCCACATTGATACAAACTGATATAAATATATAGTTTACCGGACTCGACCTTGAAATGGCATTTGAAGAACATTACCATGAGGTTATTGAAGTTCTTGAGAGTCTCTTTGTCTTCATCTTCAACGGACTTCGTGAGCGATTCGCCAAAGAAATTGCAATTGTTCGAGAGCAATACCCCGTCGAAGAATTCAAAATTCCGAAAGACGGCAAAGTGCTGCGCATAAAATTTAAGGAGGGTATTGCAATGCTTAGAGAAGCTGGCTACGATGTCCCAGAGCTTGAGGATTTGAGTACGGAGATGGAGAGGAACCTCGGTAGGCTAGTATTGGCAAAATATGACACGGACTTTTACGTCATGGACAAATTTCCATTGGCCGTGAGGCCATTCTACACCATGCCTGACCCCGAAGACGAAAACTACTCCAACTCCTATGGTACACCCAACCTCGATCTGTAAGACTGAAAATAATACTGATCATAATTAGACTTTTTTATGCGCGGTGAAGAAATCCTCTCTGGCGCACAGCGTGTGCACAACTCTGAGTTCCTTACGGAACGCTTGAAGAGCTTAGGCATGGATCCAAAAACCCCTGGGCTGGATGATTACGTTGATGCATTTCGATATGGCGCGCCGCCGCACGCTGGTGGGGGAATTGGTCTTGAACGCGTCGTCTTCTTGTGGCTGGGACTGCAGAATATCAGGAGAGCGAGTGCATTTCCAAGAGACCCAATCAGGCTGAGACCGTAAAGTTAAGCAAGAACCAAAAGAATATTTTGCGAAGTAAACATACATTTGGGTTAGGCTTTAGAAGATAAAATCCAATACAAAAGGCAACCTTTTTCAGAATAACGGCCCAAGCAACGTGAATCTCCTCTATACCTAGACACAATTATGACTTTTCAATAGAACCCCACAACAGTATAGCCACAAACCAAAAAGAAGAGCTGAGGTTATGTAATCAACCACCAATGATAACGAGCATGGTTTTGCCAAAAGTGAGTGGCCTGACTAATGTTACAAAAATGAGAATAATAATATATTCTGAAAAGCATTGTTTTGGATTATGGGTTTTTGTATCGATCGAATAGCGGCTGACATACTTTAGATAATCCTGGATTCACTTCCAGTTGTAAGACACTTTTGGGATGATTAGACTGCATTTCGTTAGGCTTTATCAAAATAACGCACATTATTACACATTCTAAGTCATTTTTTGCAGCTATATGTAATACCTTATTTCTTCCTAAAATACACAGCAAGAGAGCCTGCCGTTCATTCATATGTTATCTCCCGCTAGTATTATTTACCGCTAAAGGCTTTTTGCGTTTGTAACAAAATTACAGCGGCATTTATATAGGCTTCGCGGAACTATATACCGGACTCCCATACTAGTTAGCTTGGGCTAAATGAGCACAACCCCTCTCCGTACAAAAGAACAGAAAACATAATAAAATATGTATAAACAACCAAGTTTACCATCATTGACACAAACCAAGGGTGACAAGTAATGAATCTCGTACTTTATTGAGAGTTGGGAGAATCGTGCTACTTGTCCTTCCACCGCCCCTATACAATTGAATCAACACGTCTCTTTATGTACTCATAGCTGCTGAAGAAGACAGAGTTCAGGAGGCATGATCTAGTCATAGACACCCCCAGCCCACGATACCTGCATGGCAGCGGAGGTTAAATTTTTATAAATAGGATAAACACGAGATCTGGGGGAGATTCCTCACATCCTACGATTAAAAAATCGAAATGGCCTTTTAGGTAGAGGTTCACCTGGCCGATGTGTCAAGACGTCCCTCTGATATATTGCCTTCGCCGAATCTATCGGGTAGATCTTCTACGGTTAGCATCAGGTAAAATTCGAAGAAAGTCTCCTTACAAGGACCCAGCTAAGCAAGCCGCACAGTCCACCAGAAGCCGCAATCGCCAATGGCCCAGCGCCGTTCGAGGAGGAAAACAAATGTTTGCCACTTTCATAAAACTTGCCTCAAAACAATCAGCCACCCTCTTCAGAAGCAGAGTAACATTAAGATATATTCCAGAATATACAAACCGTAAAGTACATTGCTGTTCCCAGAGTGTCACGGACTAATACTCCCAAGTATATTAACCCCAACCGTTCACACCCACCTACCACGTCCAGAATGATTCACAAATCAAAGATGTACCCACTAAAGTGAAGGTGAAACCCGGAATACAGTCCTCCAAATCCTCTCGCCTTCACGATACTACTAGCGCTCTGAAATGTCCCTTTTGGCTGGTACTTGGTGATGTGACTTGGGTCATCCACACTCGCCATCCGCGAGCGGGCCATCAGTAGTTCGATCTGCGATGAAAGCTTCGTAAACTCAAATGGGCCTAAACCGAGCTAGGTGTCAGTCCCCTATTGCATCTGACGCACATCGCATCAAGACACACTCCTCGCTCCCTCCGTCACGACATCAAGAAGAGGCACCCCACTAACACGCAATAACTGTGATGGCACCCCCGGCCGTAGCACCACTAATAAACCAGTAGACTGGGTTTAATGGTTTAAACGCTTCGCTCGGAGAAGATATAACCTTCGGACCTAGCATAGACTTGAAAAACGAGGAGTATGTATTTTTCGACTTTGAATAGATCGAAAAGGATATGGTCCGCACTAAGGTTACCGAGGCCAAAGGTGCAAGGCTTCCTATAGTACACAAATATTGTTGATTTATGAAACCTCCCCGGTAATATCAAATATAGAAGAAAGCCATACCTCGCCAGAAACCTCTTGTTCCTTCGGTTTTATGGGTTTGAGTAACGCAATCCCAAAAACTTCGAAATTTATACCTGAACCTCCATAAATCAACACAATGATCTGTTTCCCGCCTGTATGATTAAGGGGCGACTGCAACTTGGGTGAATCGGGCGGAGGTTGTGATGAAGGAAGAGCAGGTGAGTAAAAGAGATAGTAGTAATAACTCACGCTTGCATGCGCGTTTTGACGGAGTCGAGGGGAAACTAGTTTTACAGAATTGTAAATCTTGCATTTTCTATCTCCTCTAGAAACTTTCAATGACCGATCGTAATAAGGGCGATATAACTCACAGCAATGAATGTCGATACACAACTACTAGCACTCGCTGCGATCTCTGTTCGATACTTTTTCACGAAGAGCTCACCGGAGGTCAACAGTCTTTGTTGGCGCCTCTTCGCCAGGCCACCACGTTCGGGCACCGCCATTCCCGGTGGAGTTATTGTGAGAGTTGGTTCCTGGGAGTCAGGCATGTTGGTTTGTGGTGTTCTTTTTGTTAATCTTTTGATGAGGATACAGCCGAGGCTAACCAACGGGAAAGCTGTAGGAGATAGATAGTAACGGCCGGCTTATCTTTTCGCCTGTATCTATGAAGCCACGGAAACCCACTGGGATTCATTGAGAGTTCCACTAATTATCTATGTGACGCGGCTACTCGCTTAACCACCGGGAATTAAGGTTCTGGAAACAGGAGGATCCCGCGCGCCCAAAGATTTGGACTTGGGTGGAGAGGCGTTTAGTAAGACTCCATGTTCGAACTAAAGGTTGATTGGACACAATAAAACATTCCCCCTCAGCGGTAAGAAACAGAAATACATGTATGTACCTATTATATTTTATCTTGTTTTTACATGGCATTAGAGCGTATTTGACAACTGTCGATTTCGACAATTGACTGTTCGGCTTTGACAGTTGCGGGTCGCAAAATTGACATTATACTTCACGAACTCCCAAATTATTTACTAGATCTCAACCATTATCAGTGGTGACGAGATCGAGACATAAGGCCTTTTGCGCATTGATAGAGTCCAGCTCCAAGTTCCGGTACCATGTGCCGATACCCTCATCAATCAAAATTGACGGTTCGGCAAACCGCTATTGCAGCCGGCGAACTGTCAATCATCGGAATCGACAGTTGTCAAATACGCTCTATTGTAAACAAAATTTTTTTAGCCAGAAACCGAAAAAAGAATAAATAAACACGAAAATCAGAGATATTTCGAATACAAGAGAGAGGTTTAAACTACATGTATTTAAATGTTTCCATTCATGTACCTACAGTGTTGATGATTTGGCCTATGCAAATTGAAGACATTATTAATAAGCAAATAGTTATTAGGTACATCAAGTAACAAACGGAAAACCTTCCAGCATAAGGAAATCATACACTACTAAAGAATGTTAAGCATTGGGAAACTGCTCAGTTTAGGGCAACCGGTGATAATTGAAAGTTAACGGGTCAATTGCTATTTACTACAAAAATACAAAATGCACTGGTTAGGGGTCGGGGATCGGGGGGTAGAATACAGTCGAATCTAGGTCCAGGGGGGAAACAGTTGGGTGGTGAATCCAATGATTTGGGAATCACCTAAGGTTTAGCGGATGAACCGCGCAGTGATTTACACATTTACATCGCTCTCAACCCTATATCTTTTAGAAAACGAAAGAAATGCGGAAAAAGTTGGAGGAGAGGATGTCAAAACTTGGATTGAGAGAAACAGCTGTAGGCGATAGTGAATAAATATATTATAAATAGTAGTTTTCTTTCCTTGTCTAAATCCTCCTCTGCCTTAATACGTATCGGTTCTCCTGCCCGCGCGCCTCTCTTTTTCCTTCTCCTTCTGTATAATGAATACTTTGTGGTTTTATTTCTTTTTCCCCCCTCTTTTCCTCCAATTCATCTAGTACTCTTCTTAACTCTACTAGTACTGTATCGCGTTCTGGTAGATAGGCTTTATTAGAGTTAAAGTATCTCGTATCGATAGGTTTCTTTGACACTTTTTCTTTCTCTATAATTAGATTGCGATGCATAATTATTTCAGCACTGCTTCCCTCTGCATGAGTTTGTTGATTCAACAGATTGTGATTCCAAATATAGAGCATGAAGACTACGGCCGCGGAGAGTTGAGAGAGTAAGAGGATTAAATTGTGAAAAATTAATTGGGGGCCTGTAGATGAGCGAGAAGTTTGGTTATCTTGGACGGGACATGATTCAGTACTGTTGGTACTACCGGAAATGAGTCAATCAATACTGAAGAGTCAAATACGTATATTCTGGTCGCCTAGAAATTTGCTTACATATTGGAATTGGGAAAATTATTCTTTATTCCAGCTGTGTGGAGACTTGATACCTCTTGCTTATAGTACGGTTTTGAAGGAAAAAAATGCCGACTCACAAGGCTGCAAAAGATTCGATGCATTCGAGGGTAAGCAAAGAGGTATAGTTAAGAAACCCCAAAGCCCAAGGGGGGCCAAGGGGGTCCAAGAAGCCGTATCCTTATAGAGAGATTCGATCGTACTCTAGGTTACGAGTTTCATTTCCCAGACTTTGGGTACCACAAGTATGTATGCACCTACGCGTGTTTCCGCATCTGTCGATCCATACCGCTCTCACAATATATCGTTTACTTCAAAACTCTGTAGGGTCCTGCGATACCCAAGACTGTCTGCACTGACAGGCAGAGACATCGATTCTTTGTTTACAGGTAAAATTAAGGGCATTGTCACTGTTATTAAAAAACTACTTTACACCATAAACCGTTCATTCAACTTGCCAGAAAGAAACGAAGGCACAACCGCGCATTACGTCTACCGTCGACCGCCTACAACAAAGCGCCAGCGAAAGCCAGGAGACCAGCAACAGCTCCATAGCTATAGCCCGGAGTGATAACAGTACCGAAATTTGTTGAGGTGCTTGTGGCTGAGGAGCTGGTAGCGGCAGAACTGTCACCTCTAGTTGTGGTAGCAGTCGCGTCGGAACCAGCGGAAGTTCCCGTGGAAGATCTTGTGGAACTTCCAGTGGCAGTGGCAACTGAACTAGTACTGGCTGTTGCAGAGTAGGCACCGCAGTACGAGATTATAGTGTTCTTAATGGACGAGGCAGCTGTTAGGCAGATATTAGCCAAGCATATATCACATAAAGGCAGTAAACAATGACACGACTTACTCGGGTCATTAGGGCAGTTGTTATAGCATGTTGCCAAATCTGTGTACTGAAGGCAAAGACATTCATAATCATTTCCATTTTTGGCTGTAAAAAGAAATATTAATATCATATACTTTCGTGAGATGTGTTATTGGAAAACATACTGCAACCAGTGATTCTAGGCGAAATGAGATTAATGCAAGCCTCTGTCGATTAATTAGTTTTTATTTTTCTCGACAAAGTTCGGAGGAAATCAGCTAGTCTTCACGTACCGACAATACTAATTACGAGGTTTAATTAGAACTCGAGCTACATCCAATAGGGAGATGGATAAAGTACTTACTTGGCAGCATCACAGCTTTGATCCACGGTCCATTGGGAAGACTGAGCCGCGACGTATCCACTGAAAGTAGCGATCGCGAGAAGTACTCCGGTGGGATGCATATTGTCGTGTGCTGGAATTAAGGTATTAGGTAGGAGAGTGAGGATTGACAATAACCGAAACTAAAAAAAAAAACTTGAATCCGAATTTAACGCGTAGCGACAGTATGGAAAGTGAAGAGGTTAGATGGGAAGGAAAAAGGGGGGGGGAGGCAAAATATATGGCGCTCGTCAGGTATGTAAATTTACCCTATTACGAGATTCTTATTTTGGAGAATATGCATATCTCGAAGTTGGGGTGCCGAAGCCGTCCACTAGCCCCTGCAGGGACCGAGTTCCCTGCCAAGAGAATTTACCTACGTTCCACCCAATCAAATCATACGTATCGTCTGGGGTAGTCTGGTTGTGGAGATGGGTTGAGACAAATCTAGGCATGCAGGATCAATCACAGTTTGACCTAAATCCAACATCGGGAAAACACCTTGTTGTGGCAATCGCGCAAGGGGAAATAAATAACACTGTTTACCCGAAGCCTCATCTAAAGTCTCGAGAAAGCTACTAAGAATATTCTTAATTGCAATGAAAAACAACCCCTTATTGATATTGCAACGCCATTGGATTATATTAATCCCAGCTTGTCTTCTTTCCTTCCAGATTCCACATACAAATTCAAATCCAAATACTACTACAAAAGCTCATCTATACGAGCAAGCCTTTTCTCAGATCCCCCAACGAATTTGATCACATATCAAGGATGACAAAATAATGCTGAAGGTTCCCTCCCAGTTTTGATTTCAATATTGGGAGAAGAAACATAAGTCCAAGCTGCTCGCATAAGGAATAGACCAGACCACCATACCAATTATCACACACCCTCCAAGAATGCAAGGAAAGGATAAAATGAAAGAGAAAAGAAAACAAGAATCCTTAAGAGATTATGAAAATAGCCTCCAATGTTTTATTCTTGCCCAAATCCCATAGTTTCTTCAACTGCCAACGATAGTTTCTGGTTAAGAACATCATAACTCTTATATGGGGGCAAATCTAATCGATTGAAACTGGAAGGAGCAAGAGGGTGGTTGTTAGTTTATATCCTAATGCCACAGAGTTCGACTTGGACGGCTTACCATGTATGAGACTTCGGCAATTGCTGAATTTCCCCTGCCTTCTCAATAGTGAACCGACGTGGTCCATCACTGCCTTGCAAGTCCTTGAACCCATTGACAGGTATACGCGATGTACCTGTGGTGAATTGAAGAAGTCTCGACTTTTGTTCAGCATCCCAGCTTCGAACACACTGTTGCAAGCCGTTAGCGCACGAAATAAGCAAGTGGGATTAAAGTAGCAGATCAACAACTTGCCTTCCAGAAATTAACGATTACATCGTCGCTCTCGGTGTAACCTCTATAGTCTGTATGCTTCTTCCAGTCCTCAACGTCGATATCCGCGATACCTCCGATCAACAACTCCAACTCCCTCTCATCGAAAACGCCGACAAGATCTGCCGGAATGAGCTCATGAAATCCTTCAACAAAATTATCGAACTGCTCCTTAACTCGTTTTTCAATACGCCATTCGGTGACAAGACTAGATAGTCAAAGATTTTAGCACATAATACTCAACAAATCCATGCGTGGAGTTTAAAAGGCCAACATACTCAACGTATTCACGTTTGTTGTCGTTCGTGACTTCGATCTCACTACCGCCAGGTTTCAAGTCAATCGTTACCGTTTCTCCGAATCGACTATCTTCTGTAGAAAATGTTAAGTCTAGAATATCTGTGATGTCATTTTCCCTATTTATAGCACTAGATTAGTCTCCTAACTTTTTAAAACCAACTCCCAGCGCCCCCGGGGGGGGATTATGCAATAACATACAACATCCATGTTAAGTTTCTATGAAAATCTGCATCGACACCCTCCATATCCGCCAAGACCACTTTTTTCCTTAGAATCATCTTGTAGAAGGCACCAATGAAAAAAGCATCCAGAAAGCGCCTGTGGAAAATTGCTAGGCCAACCACGCGCCCAATGAATTTGAAGTACGCAAGATGTTCCGGATTTATTCCAGAATGGGGGTTGATTTGAAGGGTGTAATTATCGTGGGCTGAATATTCAAAGAGACAATAGAATGGATTGAACATCTCGTGAGAAAGGAGGAAGAAAAACTCCCTAGTAACAATTGGTCAACGGATTGCTGGGAATGTCCTGAAGAATAACGGAATTACCTGGATAAACCACCATAGTCTAACCCGTCCTCTCCGTCAAACTTGACCATTAACCGCTTCTGGAGATCAGCAGGGGATTGGCGCATGATTTGGGCATAAGAATCTTCAAAAATATGATTTCTGCGGACTTTGATATGACATTGGCCAGACAAGATACGGAGTGCAGGCTGTGAGCGAAAATAAATGAGCTTCCGCCTGAAATCGCGCTTGTATTGTGGTACGTTCTGATCTAAGGAAGAAGGAAGTCGAGGATCATCCCATGTAGTTGTTTTAGTGTTATGGTCGACAAAATATACCCTTGCCGTATTGGTCAATCTCATCTCCCATCCGCTTGGTAAAGGTCCCAACTGGGAGACTGGTTGTTGTTGAATACTTTGTGCACCTGCATTGTTCCCATACATACGAATATACTGTTGCCTCCTAGGGTCTACCCATGTTGTCGTGCGGGTATTGTGATCAACAAAATAGGCCCTCCCCTCTGGCGTGTGTCTCTGTTCCCAACCTGGAGGAAGTTCACCAGTTCCAGCTGTAGTGGCCCCCGTCGCCATCATTGATACTTGACTAGTATTATTCGAGTGTGTTTCTTGTGACTGTGACGCTGATGGGGTGGGAGAACTTGCACCAGTTCTATCCTCTGGTAGCATTCGATTCTGATGCCTCGTCCTCTCAAGATCAGTGTTTTGTTGCATGGCAGCTCGTTGATCTGTTTCATTGTATGTGGTGGAAGGCCTGTTCCAAGTGGTTGTTCGAGTATTGTGATCAACATAATACGTTCTTCCCAAGTTATCCTGTCGTCTTTCCCAGCCAGCAGGTAGTCGTCCCTGATTGTCCTCAAACGAGCTCATATTTCTTGCGGTCCCATTGGGTGCAGCAAGCTGTGCTGTCGTCGGTGCTCCATTTGCTTGCGTCTGCGACGGCGCCCTTTGGGGTGCTGGGCTGGCCACAGAGACTGCTGATTGCCGACCCAAATCTGAGTTATATACAGATCCCCCAGCTGGAGAAGACTGCCCATTATTCGAGCCTCCTGGCACAGGCAAAGTCGGTCGAACCGCAGTGGTCTGGTTTGGTGCCCTGATGGGGGTATCGATGTTGGTAGTGAGATTGACTATTAGTTTTCCATGAACCATGACATTTTCGTTCGATTTCTTCAAATCTCGAGTGAGCATTTCTGAAATTGCGAGTCATGTCAGTTGCGTTTTCGCAGAAACTTGCGAGTAAACGCCGACGTACCTTCTCCACCCAGCCCGATATCTAATACATCCCCAACCTTGATATTGATTACGCCGAGAAATCCTTGGTCTTTCTTTTTCCATTTTCTGTGATCAAATATCTGTACGGCTACTATTGATGACTCGGAAACTTGTCTGTATATTATCGGTAAGCAGAATACCCAAGCTACGCCAAGGACGACCATACAAATCAAACGACTCATTCCAGTATGGATTTAAAGTTTTCTTTATCACTGCAGTTGAACGAGTCTGCTCTCCATCAACGGTGACAACAGCAAACGGATCGGGAAATCCTGGTGCCCAGTTAACGCCCCACCCCCGCTATTTCTTCCGGTAAAAGTTAGGAACCTACTAAAGACATCTCTTTTATAAAGACCATCCGCGGCGATGACTATCCGAGACACGTTAACAGCCGCCTTATTTTTCTCTTACTCTCAAGGAAAGAGCAAGTGTGTTAGAGAGCGGAGATAGCGGGGGAGGGCGGGGAATGGGAATAAGCTGTGATTGTTGGGAACGCACCTGTTATTCGAATCTTCCGCGGACTCCTGAAGATAAATTAGTTATCAGGTTTGCTAACACCGTTTGAACAATTCGAGGAGCGAGTTCAACGTACGCAGGCCCACCATCAGTCATTGTTCTATGTTTTATAATGATACTCGCTTGCTGACAGTAGATAACTCAGAAGACGCTTATTCGAATGAGAAAAGAGGGCAGGCACAAGCTAAGAAGAGAGAGAAGTTGGAGGTGGAGAAAGACAAATGGAGGTTGCAGTCAACGAGGCTGGGTCACTTGTATGCTTGCAGGTGTACGTCAAGAGAGTGGCAGTGCTTCGCCCGTAAGCTCCAAAGAGAGCGGTAGGAAGCGGCTGTGGCAGTAATGAACGCAACGCAAAGCGAAACGTCTCACTAATAGGCTAGAAAACACGACAAGGAGAAAAGCGTATAGCCAAATCGTAAGCCTTTACCAAGCACAATAAAGAAATCAAGTAAGGCTGAGATAGGGAGGAAGAAGATAGGAGGTAGAGATATGAGATGAAGCAGAAGAGGAGGAGAGAGAACTGAACGCAATAGAGAGATATTGCTAATGGTGATGGTAGAGGAGATGGTGAAGGTCCTAATAACACGAGTCTTTATCCGGGGCCTGTTGCTCCTGTTGCCACTTCTTCTTCTTCTTCCTCTTCTTCCTTCTTTTTATCCTTCTTTTTCCTCTATCACCTTTGCTGTTATTTGATGTGAAGAAAGTTGTTTGTGGAGAGGTTCTGAGATCCAGTGCCCATGTATGCAGGCAGAACAGGCGAGGACCTCGCAGAGAGACTATGTGGCGCCTTGACTTCACTCGCCTCGTTCTCAGCCCCTTCTGAGTGGTGCCAGGGTCCTCTTGACTTTCATTCTCTCTCCCTCTCCCCTCTCCCTCATCCCTCATCCCGCATCCCGCATCCCACATACCACATCCCACATCCCGCGTCTATATCCGATATCCCATTCCCTTCTTACAACTCACGAACTACTGATACATAACCCCACCATATGTGCGCAGACCCTTTGCATGTACATCCACCAATATCACATCTTCCCACATACACATGTACTCCATGTAAGTACATATAGATAACAGCTTCTCCCGTGACCACAACGACCCTTCACCTAACTGTAATCCCACGGCCTTTTATTGTACTGCTACTACAAACGTCACCACTTCCCTTGACTTGCTCTACCATTTTCTCTTGCCCCAGATTTTCTGCTCTCGTGTGCTCCCTGTTAATATTCTATCCTGATCTATTTGATCACAACGTCCCAGGAATAGCATCCACTGTCCCTCTCTTCCCACTCTTATATCTCCTGTACTGGTGCTGGTAACGCGAATACAGACATTCCAAGACCAATCAAGTGGTTCATGCGATAACGAAACAATATTATACAAAGCTCAAATATCAATGAAAGGTAAATGCAAGCGAAGAGAGATAGAGAAAAGGAAAGAAAATTGGTTGTTCGAAATCTCCACACCCCGCCCGTGCCATTTCCTCTACTTTTTAACTCTTCCCCCCGTCGGTACTCATTCCATCTGAATGAAATAATAGATCCTTGCAGCTGCTAGCCATTATCATACTGCTATTGCTGCAGAAAGAAAAAAAAGAGAGAAAACGAGAGAGAGAACGAGAGAGAACGAGAGGGAGGGGAGGGAGGGAGGGGGAGAGAGGGAGAGAGGGAGAGAGGGAGAGAGGGGAAAATGGACGCGTTCATACGATCGAGCTAATTCGAGGCTTTTTTAAAAAAAAAAAAAGAAAAGAAAAAACATCTAGTAAGGCGCATATCCTCTGCCCCTCGCCCTGTATCCGCCTCTGTAACTACCGCGGGGTGCATACCCACCGCGGTACGCGGGAGGAAACCCACCTCTCCCTCCTGGCGCACCTCTCCCACGACCCCGTCCACGATTCATTCCAGGAAGATTTGTACGCTTGGGAACAACCTAAGACGAACGTAAGAACTCTATAACATTGGGGCACTGCAGGTAGAAGAGGGCATTGGCCTACCTTGAGCGAACGGCCACGGAAGACGCTTTCATTGAGAACCAATGCTTGTGCCACTAAACTGGGCTCTGTGAACTCGACATAAGCATACCTAATGATTTATTTATATACGGTTAACATCTTTTGCACTCAGAGGGGAATATAGAAGGTGTAGGAAGGCTTGATTAACTAAACATACCCTTTCGGATGCCCTGTAAATTTATCCAACAAAATTGTCACTCTATTGATGGACCCGCAACTCTGAAAGTGTGCCTGAATCTCCTCTGGACTAGCTCCATAATCCACATTTCCAACGAAAATGCTTCGCGCGTCGATATCCTCTTTGTCCTCACGTAGATCATTATTCTCTTTGTCTAATGTCGCTTGCATTTCCCGTAGCTTCGCGGCTTCGGCTTCCATCTCTGCAACCCTTCTTTTCATGGCTGAGATTTCCTCCTATAGATGCGAAACCCCAACTCATCAGCTTTCAATAATACTCCGGATGGTGAAAATCTCCCGAAGTTGAGCTAAGGGGTAAAATAAAAATTTGCATGTCGGAAGGAAGTCTGAGATTTTTGGATATCTGATCTAGCGGTCGTCCATCCAGAGACTATTCTCAAATGACAGAAGAGAGAAAGTTCAAGGTCACTGATATTCCATACCTCCTCATCGCCACCTTCTTCATGACCATCTATGCGTTCTTCGAGCTTGCTTGGTTCGTCCATATTTAACGCGTTGCTAGTATCCAGAAGTTCTAATCCTAAAGGTTCATACGCAGGAGATAAGATCAGCCTCAATGCAACGCGACAATATATGAAAGGTGGTTAGGGGAAGAAAAAGGTGGGGCATGAAGACTGTCGGAAGAGAAATCGGAAACTTGAGACTAGCAACCTGGCAATCGCTGTTTAAGGATCACGATTTTTTTCGTACAGTGCTTGGGAGGGGGGACTCACTCGGTGGCTGCAGAGTTTGTGTTCGTCGCAGAATTCAAGTATTGGAAGTGAAGAGTAAATGGTGGATGAGTGTGTGTGGTGGTTGTTGTCAAGAGGCCGCAGCAACGAACTTCCTTCTCAGTTGTCGAGGGTTTACGAGCTTGGCTTTCCTGTGCTGGATCTGTTGACGACCGCCAAGCTTATAACATCACCCAAACTGGTTTAGGCTGCCCGCATTCGGTGGTATTTAGTTGACTTCAAAGCCAGTACATGTATCTACTCTACAGTAGGAACATACATTGACTCTATCGATTCTCCAACTATATGTCCTGTAACTACCACCCCCAAACTAGTTTTCGGCATATATCTAATAATTTACCAATCTCAAGCCCTTATCAGCTGATATATCCCTTCGTGTGTTTTCACCACCAGACGCTAATGGGCAGCTTTTACTCGGCAGTACACCTAACCCTCACTCCGTGAACCTCTTTTGCTGTGAAGTCACCTTCTGTGACCCCTCCTATACCTTTTTCTGGTGTCTCCACAGTCTGTAGGTAGCTAGATTTTCTGAATATCACCACACAGTCATGGGCTAATATCTCCCTTTTTTGCTCTGACGAACGAAGGGATACATGCATCCACGATACATCTGTCGAGATAATATCCCTTCGTTCGTCAGAGCAAAATCGGAGACATATTAGCCCATGACTGTGTGGTGATATTCAGAAAATCTAGCTACCTACAGACTGTGGAGACACCAGAAAAAGGTATAGGAGGGTCACAGAAGGTGACTTCACAGCAAAAGAGGTTCACGGAGTGAGGGTTAGGTGTACTGCCGAGTAAAAGTTGCCTATTAGCTAGCTCCCAGTCGTAAAAACGCACGAAAAGATATAATTAATAAGACATCATAGGTATTTTACTGTGTCTTAAATTACTTACGATATGTAGGCAAATACTCAGTCCGGAACCTTAGACCCTAGTACCTCATCATTTCTCCTGCAAATTTGAAAATATTGCTTTCTCATAACACTCTAGCTTCATAATCTACTGGCCACCATAAGCTGATCATTCTCTGATCAACTGGTTCCGGGTAACTTAAGTATATTCTCCTATCATCACAGTAGCGGTCTTTCCTTCCATCATGAACTCTCATCTTAGATTAGGTAAGTTTTCCTTTCTTTCTTTCTTTATGTTCTTGTTATTCTGCAATACCTCTTGTATAGCATCTCCATATGTATACAGGTGCACCCCGATCTCGGAAACGCCCCTACATTCCAATCTCGGTACATAATATAATTTAAGTATACGTGGCAACCCTTGATTGTAACCCACAATTACCAATAACAAAGAGATGACCTTTGAGAAATTTCTTATTGAAATAACACTATGCTAACACATAGTTACCCAGATTGAAAAACTGAGAGCAATCAAGTAATCAATCAAGTCTCTCTCCCGCCGAAGATCGAGGCAAATCGAGGCAAATCGGGTCAAACTATCGCGTTGTATTGAGCGCAAAACTAACGTTGTTGATATAATGCAGGGCCTTCGAATTCATGCGGTTAGCATATATGAAATTACATATATTTCTACCTCCCATAATTAATAACCATGGGTGTCTTCTCCTCGCAATGTTGTGCCTCATGAGCGTTCCTCGGTAGGGACTTTCTATTTGCAAGCTGCGGCCAGCATGCCAAACATCAAGAAATAAATACAAACCGTCCGGGGATTGGAGCTGCGAAGTCTATAGTGTTTTAAATTGGGTAATGTGCTGTGAGTTCAGAGGACATAAAGGCTTTCCAGTGGTATGTCGATTGTCTGAAGAGGGGATAACGATGGAAGGAGATATACAAGCAAACGGCTTCCAGCTTGCAACAAGAAGAGTTTGTAGCCGGAGATACAAAATATATCCATCCATAAGGGATTTGAAGTAGATACCAATTTTTGATAAAAACACAAGAAATCCATTAAGGTATAGCCTACTTGGCATCACCATTTCGAACTAATGGGCTCCATGACCTTATCATCCAATTGGTGCAGCTAAAAACCTCTATTGGGGTCAAATGCCTTTTCTATTCGGAAGAAGTAAACGGGGGGCCGGAAGAAAGCTGACCAGACAGGTTGGCTACTCTATCAGGTAGGGCATGGGTGCTTTTAGAGATATGAAGTTGCAGACTGGTTCGTCTATCCGATCCGTTCAACACAAGGCGGGAAGGGAAACCGGGGAGATAGATATCGTGGCAAGACCATGCCGTACGCTTCGTAACTATGCATGTCCTCAAAATGTACGAGCACGTATTATAGAGTACCTACACAGTACTCTAGAGTAGGAGGTACTCTATGATGTAGGTACAACAGATAGTGGGTGGAGCGCCTAGATGTAGATATAATTAACCCTGCAAGACCCCAGGACGAAACGAAGTAGACACAGAGTATTGGCCAACTGTGCTATATGCAGTGGGATATCGGTTGAAAAGCCTCATTCATTCTAATCGGGCAACGAGAAAATGAAGATAGAAAAAAAGATGCGTTTTGGTTGGTATCGTTTCACCCCTGCTATCTATCATGACAAGCGCTGGTTGAACATCAGTACTGTAGGTACGAATAAGTACATACCACGACTGTCGGTTGTAGAAACTGCTGGCAATGAACCACAGCCGCGACCCCGGCGAGCACATAGATGTACCGTATGTATCCATATGTAGGTACATATATTGTACTCTACACCACCTACTCACTCCCAAGTTCCTGTTAGCTACATGTATGTAGGTACCTATTACGAATCGCGTGCATGAAGGAATGGAAACTAATCTGTACGCACATGGGAGGCAAGGCCATACTAGTATCCACTCTACATGTATGTACACATGTCTGGTTGTTTGTCAAAGTAACGTTGCCATCTCGCTCAAGCGGGATCGGTTATTCGCGTGGCGATAGATGGAAGGTTCGGCTCAAGAAGCGAAGACCTCAATTGCAACCCGAAATCTTGGCCAAACGTTAGGGTCATCCAACTTACCTGTAATAGGATCTATACGGTACCAAACAGCAAGGTACGTGTTCCTGATGTGTGGTTCCTGAACTATCAATCTCCAAAAGGGGAATCGATATAGAATATGTATCCAATCCCCACCCGCAGACAGAAAGAAAGGAAGAAAAAAGGAAACATGGACTCGTCGCTACGGGCCCTGGTCCAGAGCCGTGGTTACTCTGATAGGTAGTCTAGTTCCGAGCCTTTCGAAAATTTCATTCCTCCCCACGTCAAGAATTCCAGAGATTCCATAATTTGCACAACTCAACACTTGCGATATTGCAATAATACCAATCCCATCTGCCGGCGCAGTGAAGATGGAGCAGACTTTTCCATTCCAATGCGTAATTCAATGTCTTCGATCCAGACGGGATGTACCCTATAGGATTTGACATACACAGCTCTGGGTCCAGTTTCAGCCGCTGTAGAGTACAGTCGTCTCTGGGTCAACGACGAAACCGGCTCGATGACGAATGGCTACTTTTTGGGCTGATAGTCAGTCAAACCAAAGGGGTCGGGACGCTTTTGTTGGTTTTTGTTGGCTTCGATTGGCCTATTCGCCATCGGACCGGTTTCATTATTGACCCAGAGACGGCTGTAAGGTACTGCCTACAGTCGCTCACCTACTGACGGCGGATCCTATCTGATGGTTCTGTTTACAGTAATTTACCCTTAGCGTCTAAAACCTAACTCTTTTATTGGCCTCAAATCCCTGACCGCCATCAGACAGGATCCGCCTTCACCCCGTGAGTGACTGTAAAGAAAGACGTAGCTCGATGACATCGCCGAACGGAGGACGGACGATGAATGTACCAATCAAACAAAGCAATTATCAAAGAGGCACCCATCCTACTGGTATTCTTGGGATCGAATTCGCTTCAGCTATTGCATCTTAGACTGGGAAGATGCAAAAGCAAGACTAAAAAGGCTGATCGATGCAGAAACTTGCGCACACAACACAAAAGATATACTGAGTATGTACTTCTAGGTACACATCAGCCCTTACTGTGTTATACCCACCCCCGTTAAAGTATGTGCATAAGTATTTTCTTGATCAGGGACCTGGAGTAGAGTAAGTAGAGTACATATATTCACCCGCATGTATCTTACTATGCACATACTTGAGAAAGATACATACACAGACTTCTAGAGTAAGTAGAGTACATGTACTTGTGTAGGTACTCTACATGTGGGTCAAGTACTCTAGAGTAAAGTATCCATAGAATAGGGACCTATGCTTACTTAGTACTCTAGACACATAATACGTTCTCTACTTCCTACTGCACGACTTGATACTTACTACATGTACTCTATGTATGTATCTCGGTAACGAAAACGTACTCTATACAATACATCGGATATAGAGTACATATAAGTAATATTTCTGCAGCCCTGCGGGGTACCTGAGTTGCTGACACTAGGTTTTCGCTAATCCATTTCGATTCCATGCGCCTCGGAATTCCAACTTGCGGGATCATGGTGCGTAAACATCTCGTTACCAAATGTCCTATCGTGGTGATCACCCGCAGGACGGTAGAATTTTGAATAAAGATCATAGTTTGCCGTCAGTCGGGGAGGGGTGGCCGGGGTTAGGTGGGCGATATCCCGGCTCGCATCGTCCGGTAAAGGTAAAACCGAATGCAAGGAGACTCGTATTCGGAAGTTTTGCGCATTAGAAATATCAGTAGAGACGAGCGCAAAGCCGGCTACCTGCACGTATACGGTTGTTTTTCGAGTTTTCAGAGGTGACAGTTGTCCAACGAAACAAATTCCAATAAACCATCTCCAGGCCTCAGCTAGGTGCAGTGCTATTGTCTGTATATCTGCCGCGGAGTAGTCCTGTACCTACAGCAGGGCGTACCTACATGTAGGAGTAAGTACTGGACTAACTGCCGGTCCAAAGAATAGAGTACATGTATTTCTCGTGCCTTAGGAAACCTAGGACGATTTACTCTTCCTACAATCAATCGCTACGTTAGAGTCCCAGACGGAGATATATTTTGTTTTATTTTATTCTTCCTCTTCCTCTTCTCTGGACACGGATCGCACATCGCTAATTGTTGTTTAATACGTACATGTATTCAATTTTTTTTTTTAAAAAAAAAAAAAACTCCCCGAGATGACTGGCTAACCTAGAATTTACAGCCCAGTTCTACTCTCGCATCTCTAGGTAGTGGCATGGCAGCTTGGTTGTGGTAGTAGGTACCTGAGATGTGGAAACGATTGGCTTGACAAGCTGCTTAAGCGACAGGGGCATGGTTTGGGCGAGGAGGTCTGGGTGTGGTGGGTGTGGTGGTGTGGTGGATGTGGAGCGGGACAGGCACAAAGGCACAAGATCACGCAGAAGAGCAGAACAAGGAAACTAGGGTTAGGGCGCAACTGTAATGTCAGGGGTTGTCCTGGGCAACTAGCGAAGTTTAGGTTTAACCAAGCACCACCAAATGGCACTAATAAGCATGGCCATTTCCCGAACCACAGTTGCGCCACACCAATAGGGCCGTTAGCGCACCAAGTGATGCAAAGCGAAGCAGACATCCGAGGATGTGTGGTATTTAAATTACCCCTGAGAAGAAATGCCCTGTCGCGCCATTTGGTACCTGAGTCTGACTAAATCTGGAAGCGCTCACACCCAAAATGATGGTCAACGTCAAAGATCTGGGACGAGGGAAAAGCCCTTGTTTGGAGGTACCTGGTACATCATAACCTTTGTCGGACAAGCAAACTAGTGTAGCAAGAGACTAGAAGGATGAAATTCAAAGAGAAAGGGAAAGGTTTGAATTACAGGGGAAATTCAAGCCAGACGGTCAGACATGCGGTTTGATCCACGTAAAAAGCCTGTCTGCTTCCCTACCTGCATGTCCCGGGTGTACCTCTCTTCTTTTTTCCTTTACATTCAATCACTCGCATCAATCACACATCCTTTCTGTTTACACAGAACCACACTCCTTGCTCATTACCTACGAGTAGTAATTTTTTTTTCTTTTCTTCTTTGCTGCAGCTTGTCTATCCCCCTCCCTCAGCCTCCTACTCTCGCTCATCCCACCCACGTTCCTTTTCTTACCGTCCTGCAGTAGAAGCATTGGAAAATTTGATCACCCTGTCCCCTGTCCCATCCCTTCCTTCCCCATTGCACCATTGCACCCCCCCCCCCACCTCTATTTTCCTACGCTTAGTCTATTGGGTCCACGTCGGTCCCGTCCCTTCACTTTCTCGCCTCCGGAATCTATATAATAGCTTCCTGGCTCGCTCGCCAATCGTTCTCATCCATCATAGACATCCATTGCTTCGGAGTAGCCATTCCTTTCTGCTCTGCTCGTGAAACGACGTTCCCTGGTGAACTTTGCTATTCTATATAGAACATCCACTCCCTCCCTCAGCTTATTGCTCTCCACGACAACACTCAATACAATTTGCAATCGCTAGACGATTGCATTTCACAGCTCTTACAGCAAAATCACAGGAATAGCATTACCACCCACCATTACTATCACCACCACTATCAATCATTATTATTATCACCATGAAGTTCTCAACCACCACCTTGGGCTTTGTCCTCTCCTTGTCCGCCGTCATGGCTGCTCCCCTCAAGGAGCGTGCTGTTGAGGTTGCCACTGTCACCGAGACCTACACTAAGGTAGTTCATGAAACAGCTGTAGTTTGGGTTCCTCCACCTGCAAAGAGTGAGCACCCTGCTGCGTACTCTGCAAAGCAATATGGGTATGAGCCCTCCAGTATTACTACTACTCATGAGACGGTCGTCGAAACGTCGACACCAGTCTCATCTATTCCGTCGACTCTGTCGACATCATCTACCTCCTCATTTTCATCATCATCTCTATCGTCTTCATCAACTGAATCGACTACTAGCTCCTCAACCGAATCTACCTCCACCGAGGCCACCACCACCACCGAGTCTACCTCCACCGAGTCTACCTCCACCGAGTCTACCTCCACCGAGGCTACTTCCACCACTTCCACCACCACCGAGGCTACATCTACCTCAACTACCTCAACTGCTGAATCCACGACTTCTACTACTGCAGAGCCCACAACATCTACAACCAGCCAGGAGCCAACCACTTCTTCCACATCGGTCTCAATCCCTTCAACTACCATCGAGGCTTCAACCACCGCTGTCATACCTAGTTTTACCCCATTATCCATTCCGACTACTTCCCAACCCGCTGCTACCTCTGCTGTCGCAAAAGCTGTAGAGTCAGCGGTCAGCAGTGGTTCCGGTTCTGGTATGTATGCGGGCCAAATGACGTACTATACGCCTGGTCTCGGCTCTTGCGGTGAAACGAGCGGTGAAGGCGATTACATCGTTGCTGCCGCCTGGCAATACATGTGGGAGGGTTATGGTTCGTCATTGAACCCTAACAAGAACCCTAAGTGCGGTAAGTAAGATCCTTCCAAATTGTACCTCCAATATCTAACAATGTTGCAGGTCAGAAAGTCATGATGACGGGCCCCAAGGGGAAACAGGTTCCTGCAACCATTGTTGATACCTGTCCAGGATGTGTGAGTAATTCTTAATCCTAGATATCAGTATTTCTTTTTCTAACGTCAACCTTAGAACGGCAAATATGATCTCGATTGCACCCTCGTACTCTTCAAGGAACTCGGATGCACTGAGGCTGATGGAAGGTGTCAAATGACTTGGTCACCCATGTAAACAAAAAAATTACTTTGCTTTGTTTATTTGGTTCTTCCATGTTTTTTTGTCGAGCTTTTCATTACCCCGTTTTGAAAACTGGGCAATGGAGTCCGTTCGCCTTGTGTGTGGCTTTTTTATGTTTTTTTTCCCCCTGGTATATGTTTGGTGGTTTCGGGGTAACGGAGGGGCTTCGGCGTAGTCGGCCTTTTTGGGGGCCTTTTTGACCTTCTTTTTGTCTGGGATAGTGTTTCAGACCTTTTATTTCATTTCTTGTATATCCATTCATTCCTTTACATTTTGGCTTACCATGTTTTCCTTCTACAGTGCGTCGTTTGGCGGCACTGCGACATATATCCCTCGCTTACATATGCGTTACTCTTCATACTATCATCTACATAGATTTTCTTTTCACTGGATTTCAAAAAAAACTCTGCTGTCTTTGGCACTGCGGACACACTTGGTTTTCTCTTGCTCTTTTACAATAAGCACATCTATGTAGACTATACTATACCTTAATCTATCTTACGACTTATGCTTTACTGTGCCACTTGCAATATAATGACAGTTTAATGTCCGACGATCACCCGCACACGACAACACTGCAGTGAATTGACCTGGCCCTTCTACATCCGTGCTTGGATATTAGTATGTATATACATACTCACGACAATTAGCCCCCAGATGATGCCCTGAACACGATGCGTGATAGGCCGGAGGAGTATGAGGGCGCATTATGCCCTGGAAGAGTGCACATATAGAGTATATATAATATATATATAACTACTACTACTACTACTAACTGGAGGGTATAAATGGAGACGGCGCAAAGGGCTGTTTTGGAAAATGCACTGTCTGCTCCCCATGGGGAAGGTGGGGGTGTTGAAGAGGAAACGAGGGTAGTTGTCGTATTCTAGTTATCGCTCCCCCCAATCACTCAATGCCGCTTCATGAGCGAACAGCTTGTCAATCCCAAAAGTGAAATTGAAACGTGAAAAAAAAAAAAAAAAAGATCTAAATAAGCGTGCCCAATACAATTCTCCTATCGATACCGCTCGCTAGCTAGCCTAAAATGGATGAGGACAGGCACCTTGGGAGCAGAGTAATTCGTACCCCATCCACCTACTCGCGGCAGGCAAAAAGTACCGGACAATGCAGGTTTTTGGTTCACCAATGGGTGCGCGTGCTAGGCGTGAACTACTGCAAAAAAAGCCCAGAGACAAAACTTGCATTGTCCGGTACTTTTTGCCTGCCGCGAGTACCCACCCGCCCGCCTGCACTGCATGCAGAAAAGAAAGGTACGCGCTTTCTTTTCTTTTTCTTCTCTGTATTACATACTCTTCCTGTGCGACCGGAACCGACGTGTAGGCTGAAACATGCCGACAAAGTACATAGAGTATCCCGTGGGAATGGATTTCGGGGGGTGGTTGAGTCTGGGATAGAGTATCTAGCACCTAGCATCGAGGGGTGGGGGGTGGGGGGGCGGCGCCAAACTTTACCCAAACTTGTGCATACACATATACAGATACGGATTATAGGTACCTAGAGGTACATACCGGAGATGCATCGCTCTTGCTCTTGCTCTGCTCTAGAACCCCGGGGGTCATGACCTCAGTATGCGTTTTTTTCTTTCTTTCGCCCGCTGCGTAATGTAATAGCGAGGGCGGTAATGTTGCGATTGTTGGAATTGGTTCGTTATTGCTTATTGCTTGTTGTTGCTATGCGGTTGTTGTTGCTGTGGTTGCTGCTGCTACTGCTGCTGCTACTGTCATGGCCCATCACTCGGCGGAACACTACTCTTGGCGCGCGTGTTCGTTGCCAATCATTATCGGAGATTAGCCTACAATCCCCTACCCTGGGCAGGATCCCTGCTTGGTGCGCAGAGAACATCACAACTAAACCCTGCGGCATGCTGACTTTACTTGCTTACTGGGTAGGGGGAAAGCTTGCTGGTAGGGTTGCTAGGGTACGTACTCTAGGTAGGGTAGAGAAGAAGAAGCGCATTTCGGCACTAGAGTCAACGTTACCTGTTTCTACCCCCCTCCGTTCTCGCGGTGGCAATTGGGGGTCGACAAAGTGCCGGAAGTCACGGAATGGTAGTACGAGTGCCTGTCTCTGTCGTACGCAAGAAGGTACAGACATGCTCGGGTAACTACCACTCATCCATCACCGTTGACGAAACTACATGTACCCCCCGGACAGCACGCGTGGATGGAAGCGCTTCTTCAGCTCGAATTTTCTTTCAGCTCGGAGGGGCAGGCGCCAGGCACGGGAAATACATGTAGGTACATATCTATCATTATCATTGCATATGTAGGTACCTGTAGGTACAGGTACCTATCGCTACCTATCTTGTACCTGGTACCTATCGCTACCTATCTCGTACCTGGCTGGCCCTTGGCCAACTCATTGCATTGCTCATTGCTAATGGTACATGCGGGTTGTATGCAGTTGGAACTTTTTTGTACGCATTATCATTTTCGATCCCATGAAACAGGAACCCTTCTATCTTCTCATTAATTCCACACACACACACACATGCTGCATACACACTCCTTTGGGTATTCCTCTCTAATTTTTCGTTCTCTTTCGGGAGAGGGGGAGGGGGGGGGCGTTTGCCATTTCACCGTAGCTCCAGTCCCATGCTCTCGTTGAGCAGTGCGATGTTCTCATTGTAGCTGTTGTAGGCGCTCTCGTACCCGTGGATGATACGGCTGGTTGAGCGAGCGAACGAATGTCAGTGAGCAAGCAAAAACACATACATTATGTAGCTGGTTAGTGGGGGCGCGAAATTCCAAAAACAAGGATCGATCTAAAACGCAGAAAGAAAGAAAAAGACGGGAGAGACGGGAAGTATAGAATCGGAATCGGGTGCTGCATGTACATGTACAGACTTTTTTTTCTCTCGTTGCTTTCTTTGTCGCCCCGAGGGAGGGCTGAGATGATCATGACGACAGCACATGTTGCGCAAGACGAGACAAGACAACAATCAACAGGGCAAGACAGGAAAGACAGGATAGGCAAAGACAAGACAGACAGACAGACAGACAGACAGACAGACAGACAGACAGACAGACAGACAGACAGACAGACAGGCAGGCAGGCAAGCCACAGCAGCCAGACAGGGCAAGACAAGACACACACAAAGCCTGGCGTTCCGAGACAGCAAAGAACAAGAGCCGTGTCCGTGGATAGAGAAAACAGAACAGAACAGCAGATAGACTTGTTTCACGCCTCACCAGACCGACAGCCAGACACACATCATCTGCTGGCCTGTCTGAGCTTGAAACGTCAAGAGAGAGAGCTGAAGAATAAAACCACCCACGTGACAGCACCCAATCAACTGCAATCAACCTAAAACACTCAAACAAGCCCGATTCAGACACCCCCAATCCGAACAACCCCCAATCCCCAATTCAGATTCAAACCAAACGGCCAAACAATCAAACAAAAAAAAAATAGTCCCAAACAGCCTCAATCCAAACAATCAAAGAAACAAAAATAGCCTACCTCTGCTTCCTCATGACCCTCCAATAATGCACCATCGTCAGATTCCTCACAATCTCATGCTCCACGCCCTTCCTGCGCGCCGCCGTGCGCAGAAACTCAACCGTATTATCGATCCGCTCCTGCGAGAACTGTTCCCTCTCCCCCAGCAGCTGGTGGGGCTGGCGGGGGTTGCGGAATGCCGCTCGCAGCTTGTCGCGGATGGCGTAGCGCGCCGGGTGCGAGTACTGCACGGCCGCGAGTCCGGCCTTGTAGAGGGCCCGGTAGGCGTGTGTTACTGTGGAGGGGGCGGGCATGGCGGCGGCGACGGCGACGGCGACGGTTTTGGGGGTGAGGGTAAGAGGGCGGTGAGGCGCAGGTAGTGCTGCTCTTCTGGGATAAGAGGCGAGGCGAGGCTAGGGTAAGTTGGTTAGTCAGCAACCGGGGTCCGGGGCTGGGGTTGGGTTGGGGTTGGCAGTTGGGGGGCTGGGGAGGTTGGCAACGTTCGTGCTTACTGGGCCTGGCTGCAGTGAGTGGGGTTCATCTCAGGCAGGTACGGGCATGTCCGCTGATTGGGCTGGTCCTTCCTGGAGTGAGTGAGGGCCCTGACGAAGTGAGTAAGGGAGTGGTCCGTGTCTGTCTGGACCGATATTTCCCAACCGTAATTATCGTCAGCAACAGCACCGACGCAGGCACCAACGGCACAGAAACATGGAGACAACAAAAAAAAAACACGATATGGAATCTCCCATGGCCGTCTTGTGCAAATTTTAATTTCCCCTCGGCAGCTTCCATGGGAGTTCAGTTAGTATGGGGCCCCGGTCGGGCCCTGAACCCCACATGATCATTAGAGGATAACGGTAACGAGAAAGATGAAGAAGAAGAAGGCTGTACGGTATACCTGCACCTGTGCCTCTAACAGCTAACTGCTTGGAAATAAGAGTGAGACATCGCAATCTTTTGTTTTGTCTTGGTCTTGGTTCTTCATGTCCGTTCATTTTTTTTTCTTTTCTTATTCTCTCATCTGCTTCAAGACATGCTCATAACCAGGTAAGCTATCTACTTGGAATTAAGTAACACGATATGTTTCCTTCACATCATCATGATCATGATCATCTATCTCGCTGAGCTGACACGCGAGAAAAATGAGATTGGAAAGGGGGGCAAAGAGCTCGAGGGTCCAAGAGCTTGCAAGAGGCTTATATACCCCCCCTGTATCGTATATAAACACCATTTCCCCCCCTCTAAATTCTCTCCACAGAGTGTACGACGTTTGTATACTTATTATACTTAGTATAGGTACCCTGAGCTGCATAGCCCCCCCGACACTATGAGGGAGGGCTCGTATTGCAAGGGATAGAGAACTGCCCACTCGTGTCATGTAGCCTATGTAGCTTCCTTAAATACCAATATAATGTCAGCTCATTGTAATGTACATGTAGCTTAGTAGCTATTTTATCACCCCTCCGCAGCTAGCTAGCTGGCTACCTAGTTGGCTGTGGCTCATGGTTAATTACATGTATTTAATCCCAAATCCCCCCTTTTTTTTCTTCAGGCAGGGAGGTAGTAAGCTGAGGGCGCTTCTCGGAGAATTTTTCTCCACTGGGCTATTTAATATAATTAATTAATTGCATGCTGTGCGCCGGGAGATCTTTCTCCGCGTGGTGAGCAGAGTGCCACTGCAGAAAAAAAATATCCTCTGCTGGTCCAGTATACGTAGGCTACATGGACCACCCGGCGCGTGGTAAATTTGTCGCGACCGTTTTTAGAGTTTTTGTGGATTGGATTGGATTGGATTGGATTGCAATTGTGATTGTGATTGTGATTGTGCCGGTACTGATGCCTTGTTTTTATTTTTTATTCTTTATTTGGAGTTGTTCCTTATTTTACTTTAAATGTGCTTTTTTTGATGTAAGAAGAGCGTGGTGATATATGATTATATATGTACCTTTCCCACGATAACGTATGGGAACCTGCAAGGACCTTAATTGCAACTTCCCTTTCTCTCTAGCTCTCGGGCTTCTAGAAACCTTACTGGCCGACGATAGCAACGGCCCAGTCGCTCGCTGTCCAAGCTTATGTTTATGGTTTGATCATTCTGGATCATCGACTGTCCAGTCAGTGCCCAAGTTACTGTTTTATGCGCATGGTTCGACTCTGGATCATCGACTCATAAAAACCGTTCATCCGCCCATACCATGCCTGCCATGCCATTCTCTGCCATCCATTCGTTCGTTCTGCGAAAAGAAAAATCGCTCATGCTGCAGAACATTTACGTTCCGACTTTTTTTTTCTTCCCCTTTCACCCTTCTCATTCGCGGCGTACAAACAGCGGGGTAGCTATGGTGTAGTTCGTTGGTTGGTTGTTGAAGTAGGTAGTGTGGTGGTAGTGGTTGATTGGCCATGGTTTTTGCTTAAGGTTTGTGGCCACGATGTTTATAGCTCGTCCGGCGCGCCGCGGGGCTGGCTATGTGGGTACTTGCATACATGTAGACCGGTACATGTATGGGTAGGGCTTGATAGCTCAAGTACATGTACTCGTATTTCTCTGACGTTTGTGGACGCGACTGATATTGCATGCCATACAAAAATACGCCAAGCTCATGATTTTGGGTGTATGCAATAATGGCCCAGTTCAAAAACGTCAGCGAAATACTAGTAGGTAGGTACTCGAGGCAGGCAATAAGAACCTGAAAATGCAAGCTGCAAGCAGGTGCTCAATTTGGTGTAGCTTTTCGCCAGCCGCGAATCAGAGGTTGTTACCATCAAAAGTCATTTTCAGGTTCTTCTTACCTGCCCCGAGTACATACATAGTACATACATGGCGCAATAAGAAAGGAAAGAGCGGGGCCGTAGTGGTACTCTGGTGGGGTGGTTTGGTGTTTGCCGCGCGCGCGCGGGTTATCGATAAGAGGGAAGCAAATTTTTCACTGACATGGATAGATACTTTAACTTAAGGCATGGAGCAGAAGCTTGTTTTTTTGTCTTTAATTAATCAGAATTAACTACTTTACTTGACGATATAGAGATGGCGCACGGATGGGGTAGAGATGGATGGCATGGACATGGCATGGTAGGGAACTGACGAATGATGGGGGAAGGGGAAGGGGAAGGGCTAATGACATACTGAAAGCTTAACTGCAAATCTAATTAGTTGAAACATGGCCTAACTTTGGAGCTCTGAGAGCCCCAGGTGTGTCGGCGATCATTGACACCGCGCGCGCTCTCAGCTCAAATGACCGTATGCACCCGGGTGCCTGAGCTATCGAACGAATGCATACGGATGCAAGCACCCCCCCCCCCCCCCCCAGGTACCACCGATGAAAGGCATCTTCTCGATCGTTGGCTGCCTGCATTGATAGAGGAGAGCTCTAGGTATTGTGTCATTGCCTTTTCGCGCGCGCGCGGACGGGTGGTGGCATAAGTCATGCCAGGACCCTTTGGGCCAATGAGCGGGGTTGCATTGCTGTTTCGATTGGTGTTAAACTGTATCTAGAGTTTCTGGGGGGTTAATAGAAGTGCGAGGGTAATTAGCATTTTATTTATTGTGGTCGCCATGGGAGTGAATACTAGATAGCGGTTTTCAGAAGAGGTGACTACTGTCGTTGATTTCGTGTCTCACCTAGACTCTGTGGCTTGGGAGGTTGCGTAATTATGCAGCGTTGCGGCGCATGGCATGATCGGTCCCGCTGTAGAGTAAAGTAGAATGAGAGTGTCAGAGCTTGGTAACATTCAATATTCCTGGGCGTACGTTTAGCTTGGGTGGGGGCAATGGAGGGCTTCTCTGATGCCAGGTGTTGAATGTACATCTATGTTTTGACTTCTGTGTGAGTAGTATGTAGGAAGCCGTGATATAGGGCGCCGAGATTTGGTGTATTATGCGTAGATATCTTTGAGTGGAGTATCTTATATACTCCTAAGTATCCAGTCTACTACCAGTTAGCATTCTTCCGAAGCTCTCGTCTATAGTCCTCACACAGGTGGCACCTCGCTGACTATTACAGGACGCTCTACTGTCAGATCTACCCGTAAATATAAAGGTGTCTGCAACTGAGTCATCGGCCCGTTGGTCAGCTATCTGTGTAGCCAGCGGTAGTTGAGAAAACGAGTCATGATGCATGATCGATGGAGAGATTTCTCGAGAATGTGGCCACATAGATAGGCGTTGTATCCCGTTGAAGTCGTATTGCTGGCTGTAGAGTTTTGTTAGTGGCTGTCTTGTAAATAGAATCAGAATGAACTGATATCTAACGGCAGGTAAATTCTCAGCGTCCAGGCTCTGGGGACGGGATTATCTTGTATGAGTGCTAATGTTGGATACTAAGCATAATCAATACCTAGTAGTCATCCTGGTATAGTAGTTAAAGACAAACAAGTCTTCACAGCCCTATTCTATCTTACCTTGTGTCAACATTCTACTGTAGATTGATTCGATTGATTAATTCATCCCCTGCCGTAGAACATGATGTACGTTCCCACACGGCTCCCTGCGTTGTGCTTCTACAAACACCCCTCATACGTATCTCATAGGGCAGAAATCCCCGAGATAAGTTTATCTTTAAATGAGAGCTTAGGCCCACTCCTTATTCACTGGCACACGCGCTGGTTACTCGAAACCGCGGTCTGTATCGCCTACATCATGAGTTATCACTCGATACATCTTTGCACAGCCCCTTTTGCCGAGAAGATGAAATATTTTTTATACTTCTAGACAAGTCTAAGTGCAATGATGATGAGTAGTATAAGTACCATGGATGCCATTGAGGTCTAAGGAAATGAGTTTGGTGTTAGTCGTGATCGGAGTAGGTTCGGCCGAGCACAGAGGTCTGAGATCTTATACACGGGACGTGCTTAAGTGTCTCTTTTCCAATGCAGAAAATGAGCGGTCGGTCCTCTAACACTAGGCCGTGTCTTTGTTGCGAGCGGGCCGGAATTCTATTTTTACCACTGGTAATATTATACATGGATGAACTATCAACTTGAGAAACAGAGACGTGAGGTGACGATACTGTTCTCGATCTTGTGTAAATATAGGCCAGTTTCTGCAAGCTACTATTCTTGGGTGTGCTCGGTCTTTGAGAAGAGCTGGAAAATTCTCAAGCGAGGGGGACAGGCCGAGCAAAAGATCGAGTTACCTCACGGGCAACATTGATATCGTGGGTATCGGTAAATTCTCCGGGATATGGACCCAGCACCCCAAGGTATGCAATCTTCCCTGTACACGCAAAGACCAAGATCGATAACGCCATGATCCTTCTTCGTAAGAATTCAGTTACACATAGTGATCATTTTTACGGACTTGTAACCCCCCACCCCCCCCCACCCCCGGTGCAGAGACTATGTCATTGCTTCATTGTTTCTGTATATTCCTAGTGTAGTAATAGTATTGTTGAATAAAGCTAGTAATCTTAAAATGTCTTTATATCTTTGATAGTGAAACTCTGCTGGATTGTAGATCTTGTTGCCGGAGAGCATGAACAGTCACACTGGCCAGAGGAACGCCTAGTCTCAAAAGTTGTCTCGGCGTCCTTTCATTTAGGGGCTTGTCGGCGCCTGTTAGGCATCGAAAAAGCTAGAATTAGAGGCAGGTGGTTTTGTGATGTTGCGAGTAGGCTTAATGTTCATAACTCCTCATAAATTCTTGCTTCGACAGGTGGAAACGGTGAGGATCAACTGTGGTGTTTTGATTATCACAGAGATCGAAGAACAGAGTCCTAAGCTATCCTTTTCCCTAATCCTTGAAATTCGGGATCGAACTTTGCGGGGAACCCATTCTTTAAAATCCCTTCTATCACAAGAGAGGGCTTGGCTCGCAGCCAGAATACTGCCTCGTTCGAAAACCAAACACCAAGGATTTATGTCCATATAAAGTATGTCCTCGAGCCGCATTTTGATAGAATTTCCCATCAGGATCTTCAATATGATGCGGATTCGTGATATAATGATATGAAATTCCGCTTGTCTTGATGTGTGCCATGGTAAGTGTTGATTCACCCGGAGGCCGGCCAATTTTCGTCGACTTCTGGGCCCAGCGCGTCATCGGATTGATGCTATTTACCAACATCAATGAGACTTTTCGGTAATTAGCAGCCGCCATTAGTGAATAAACTCCTAGATTTGATCAACAGGAAAACTGGACACAGTGGGTGGTGCTTGCATCCTTGCCAAGGACGCACACTCTTAGGACCTGGAGAGTTAAACCTTATAATACGATGGCTAGGTTATCCTTATCTTATCGCGTTATCTGACTGCTTGTTGGCAGCGTAACTTGACATCATCATAGAATATCACTCGCACACAAACTACATGTACGTGTTGGAAATAAATAGTAATAAAGAATAATAAATAATAATAAATGCGGAAGACTGTGACTTTCTTAATTGACTTGCTTAAGTATAATACAGGGGGCATATCTATACAAGAATATTGTGCCTAGAACAGTCTATATATGCCTACATATTGACATATATACTGATACTCATATGAGTATTAGGACATTGCTCCTAGGCTCAGAACACAATTCCAACAATACGAAACCATCTCTCAACGACGATAATGTAGGTTATAGCGGCGTTCAAGGTATTATACATACCATATTCAGGTATTGTAACTATAGAAAACATCCAAAACCTAGCTCGTACGAAAACGGGCGAGGCTCGAATACGGCACACACCCGTGGGGTTACAATATATGGGGGTTGGGAGACACGAGATTCGAATTCACGGCCTAGCAATCCCACAAGATATTTATGAAATCCCTCATGAATATACCGACACTGTAAAATGTCGGTTGCGATGGGCGATGAAGCCGGAATTCCTCGCCGGAATGCAGTCCAGTGATAAATTCCAACCGTAAAGAGGTCGTTACTTGACTAAACATGGCTGCTGGTTCTAGACTATAGCCTATGATAGGATATCTCTAAACCACTTAAGAAGGTCAAGACCTGGTATTTCCGTCTCACCAATGATCACCTAGGTTCCCACGCTTTGGGAGTTCTACTTGATTTATTTGGTTGGGCGTAGGGCACTGGAGTTCGATCGGAAGAGCTCACATTCCAGGTGGGCCAGAGCAAATTACGCCCAGTTCTCCGTCGCCTTCTCCTTTCTTCTTCATTGCATGCAATTAATGAATTAAACAAAAAAAAAAATCCTTTCTTCTTCATATTGGTCAGTAGGGAGGGCTACTGAGGCGCGGACTAATCTGTCCATTAATGGTCTCTGGTGGTTGGTGTTTCTGGTGGTGACTGGGACAGAACGCCTATACATGATTCTGGCATTGAATTATAGAACCGAATTTTTAATTAAAATATACTCAGAGCGTTATAGGGCCCCGCCCCTCTAATAGGCTAAAAAGTAGGTATTTAATGGAATCCTATTGTGGTTTTGTATTTCAATAGCAATTTCAATATTGAAAAGTTTGGGTTTATAGTATGTGTACATGTAGTTAGAATTGTTGAGGTTGAGCGTCCTACGCTCCCTCTTAGTTTGAGGTAGGGGTAGGAGTCGGACTAGGGTAGGGCGGACGGGCGAGGAGGATGTTAAGTGCGGATCATACTTCCTAGGTTCGTGGTCAACAACCTCTCTTCTACCTTTTCTTTCTTTCTCAATTCTGTAATCAAGCACAAGCAGTCGATAAGAAGCTATCATCGTTTCCAACAAGAATCTTGCCATGGGTACGAGCTTCGTGAGTTATTTAGTTGACAACGGTCACTGAAGACTTCCGATTTTTTTTTGAAGTTGCACTAATTCGGAGTAACTTCGATCCGTTGGGACCTGCTAGGCCGTACTAGTAGGGTTGATATTTGCTGTCGACTGTAGTACTCTAGTCTGGCCTTGACTGGGTTGTTTGTTATAACAGAATTTGGACTAAGGATTTTGCAGTGAAACATGGGCGATAAGTCTCAAGCCCGAATTACATGTAAACTGATCTTGATAGCCACTGAAAGAGGTTTCCAGGTCGAATGATACGATAACCCCCTCTGCACTCAGAAAATCTCCGGAGAGTTGCACCCTAGTGATAACTACCTAGCAACAAGGAGTTTAAATAGTTTATAAGAGAATACAGGAAGTACCAGGCATCGGTGATGAGTTTTGTTGAAGTGACTGCCAGTGGGTAGAAGCAATGTAGATTATAGAAATCATAAACACGGGTAATTTTGCTTCTATTGCATTAAAAATATTAACGTTTGTATCTTGTATTTGTGATCGTGATCATGATATTTTTAAGATGGCTGTGGATAAACTTATTTGATACCTAATCGTTTTCCTGCCCGTTTTGAAATTGCAAATATGGTGGGGTATGAATTCTTGTCCTAATACACCCGGTGCGGACGATATCTAACCGGAATTTGGTGACTATAAATCGGAGCCCCGCCGGAAACAAACCGCCGAAACAAATGTTTGTTCTAGGGCTCTTTGGTAAAAGAGGCGAAATTTATCGATGCAGTTAAGGCATCTGCCAGACGGTTGGTCGGTTGTACCTACATGTTGTCACCGGTGGTTCCGTGAGATCTAGAATGCTTGGCAACGACTTTACCTAGTAAAGGTCCATCCTTGAATATTCTGAATCGAGGGAACCCAGGAACAGCTTCCTAGATGCTCCTGCAATTGGGCAAGACATCTATTCCTTTTTGGGCTATGTTCCCCAGCCAGTCACGATCTCAACTTCAACGTCACATGTAAGGTAAGGAATTTCGCTGAGTTGAGATGCATTTAGCGTGGGCTGGGCTGCATAGGGCCTCTACCTGAGGGGAGGAACCGAAGACGGCTCTAAGTTTGAACAGATATATAGAGTATAGGCCATCAAGCATTTTACTATATGGGTGATATCCTATGCTAGACGACCATACGGGAAACAAAGAAAGACCATGCATGGCTGATGATGTCTTTAGTTTTCGAGCCAGGGCCGGCATCTGTCTCCGTAATTGACTGGGGTGAAGAGCTGCTGTTGCTGCTGACTGGATGGTGCTCGGGCGTGAGTTCCCAGCTCCGTCTATCCCCGGTCCACTCCACTAGGAAGCATCTCTCTCTCTAGATACAATATGTAGGTATTTGCCTCAGGGTTAGAAATGGCTCTCTTTCATCAGTAAGCACTTCAAATCAAACCCCGTCATCCCATTGACACTGTAAACTCCGTGCGAACTTCTCCGCTCTAGCTGTTGCTGTTTCCCTCTTGTCTTTTCTGCCCTCATATCTTGTGGATGTGGATGTGTGTGTGTATGCGTGTGTGATCATCATCGTCAACTGGCCCCCCCCACCGCGTTATCCTTTCTTCTTTCTGCTTGAAACTTTCACCACCACATATCTCTCCATACTCAATACTCTCGAGTACCCACAGGCTCCTCGTACCCCTCCCCCAGGTTTCTGTTATTACTCTGCTGTTACTACTGCTACTCCCCACCTTCAGCTATCAAATAATACAATAATATAATCCCTCTTCCGGTGGTAGAGTACATTGGGCTGTTATTTCTACTCCACTAAATAGTTTGACTTCTCTACCTGCAGTCACTAGCTCCGACCCCAGATTATCACGACGATTGTCCTCGGTCCCATCCAGTTAGTTACCTTTACACGCACCCCTTACAGCTGTTTATATAACAACCAGAAAGGTTTACCCCCTCTATAGGAGTAGCCAGATAAGCACTGTAACACAACACAAACGGTAAAGTGCAGTATAAAAGTGTGCTGTGTAGTCAGCCCTTTTTCAGAATCTCTGATGGCCACCTACGCTACCCGACTTCAAAACGTTCTTGGGCCAGTTGTTGAGAGGGCTCGACGGTGGTCGCAGTCGTCGGCCGCTGAGGAGCGTCCTGCACCTCCTATTCCGGCCCTCTCAGATGAGGACCACAATTTCTCAGCCGCAGAATTAGCTATAGCGACACCACTCCATTCCCCTCGCGCCTTGGAGCCAGTTTTCGAATCTTTCGATGCAGACCCGGAAGACGGAGCTTCCGGACAGGCATTAGCAATCGGTGATCCTTCTTCAAGGTACCGACCACCCATGTCAGGTCAATCAAACGAATTCGCGAATCGGACACCCGAATCACCACCGCCGTCGTCAACATGGAGGTCGCCAATATCTTTCTCTGACTTACCTACCGCCTCATCCCCGACCTCGGAAGACAATTCGACGTCACAGAACCCCGCGAAATCTGCGCTCCCGGAAGATGATGGACAGAAGTTTTTGCGCCAAAAGCTTGTCGAGATCTCAAGACTGAATATTTCAGAGCGGGAGAGGGCCGTACGAATGCATAGTCTTATGTTGGAGAAATATAATGCCTCTCGTCGTCCCGGGGAAATGTTCGAGTTAGAATCTGCACAGTCGGGCCAGTTCCAAGCTAATGCAGAGGAGCCCTACATCTCACAGCATGATAATCCGTTCAAACTTTCACCTCTGGATATCGCAAAAACATATTATACAGGACCACCTACTCCAGATGTAGCAGCTAATGGGGAGTTGGTAGTTCAAGAGGAGATAACAACTTCTACGGATTTTGGAGCTCCCCAAGATATACCGCAGGAGCTTGGATGCCCGCATTACCGGCGTGGTGTAAAACTCCAATGTTCGACATGTGAGAAGTGGCACACATGCAGGTTCTGTCACGATGAGAAAGAGGACCATGTTTTGATTAGGAAGGAAACTAAAAACATGTTGTGCATGCATTGTGGGACGGCCCAGCCAGTAGGGCAGGACTGCAAGAATTGCGGCATAAGGAGCGCTAGATACTATTGTGACAAGGTCTGTTTCCTGGCCGTCGCTTTTTCGAAGAGGAAGATAGAAATACCTATTTTTTTTTCTTTCTCTTATTCATATTTATCACATTCTACCCGTCAAGGACTAAAAGAAATACCATACTCTCCAACCTTGGAAAGACTTATGCAATACTGACTCTGATTTTGTGACTAATAGTGTAAATTGTGGGATAACGACCCGCGAAAAAGTATTTATCATTGCAATGACTGTGGAATATGCCGGATCGGTGAAGGACTGGGCAAAGATTTCTTCCACTGCAAGGTCTCTAATCACGTGAACAAATTGTGTGGAATGAATAAAATTAACAAGTAATAGAAATGCGGTGTATGTATGTCCATCTCTTTGGAGGGCTCCCACAGGTGCATAGAGCGCTCAACGGAGTGTGACTGCCCAATATGCGGTGAATACATGTTTACGTCTACCATGACGGTCGTTTTTATGGTATGTGATTTGATATTTTCGATCTTTCCAATTCTATAATCCCAGATGAAACTTACTTTGGTGATGCAGCGTTGTGGACATTCAATTCATCGCAAATGCTACTATGAGCATATGAAGACATCCTACCGGTGTCCTACATGTACGAGGACAATCGTAAACATGGAAAGTCAGTTTCGCGCTCTCGACTGTGAGATTGATGCTCAACCCCTTCCTGCTCCGTACGATAAATGGCGGTCCCTTATCACTTGCAACGATTGTTCGGCAAAACAGAATGTTCCTTTCCACTTTCTGGGACTGAAATGCGACAATTGTAAATCGTATAATACAAGTCAAATTCGGACGATCCGGCCTGAAAATATGGCCGGTGATGTTGATAGAGACAACAACAACACATCGCCAGCCGTACCTCCCGCACCGTTAAGGACAATTTCCTCGAATTCACTAGCAACAGCACAACCACTGAATTCACCGCCACGCTTGGCGCGGGCCGAAGCCGGGCCCACAGATGGAGAGGCGGCAATTCTAAATGCAAACCGAGCGCTTGCAGCAGCCGAGGAGGCGATTGGTGTTACGTTGGATATGGGGGACGAGGACTTGATAGTCGATGATGGTTGGGAGACGAATAGTGATGCGGTTTCGGACCTGGAAGTGGACGACGAAGACGAGTTTAAGACAGAGAATGGAGATGAAGAAGACGATGAAGATGAAGACGACCCAATCCAGCTTATTGGGCACCCATAAATAGAGACTAAAGCTTTTTCGGCAGCTTTTCTTTCCTGACACCACATTTCATCTGTTGCACTAAGGGAGTTCTTTTTGGAGGATTGTTAAAGATGTTTTTCTTTCAGTGTTCCCTCCTCACCCCGGGTTCATGGAAAGATTGTGGTCTAAGGTGGTTGGGCCACCTAAGTGGAGTACGTAGTATTTTTTATTTTTCACCCCAGCGGTAAGGTCGTTTCGTTCGGCGGTGGCTTTGCAGGCGTTATCATCCGTTTCTTTCATTTGCACCTGGGGAGGAGTTTTCTGTTTATTTGATGTATATGCTTGCATTCCCGTTTGTGTTTTTATGACCGATTATTGACCTTCTACGTATTCAACTACTGCGGCCGGTGTATCATCGGCTACGGAGGAAATATTCTGTTTCATTATACCACATTCACTATCTGTATTATGATAACTTTACTGTATTATTTTATGAGAGGTCGTTCGTTGGAATTGATTGAGATGGTACATACAAATGCAAAATACTCATAGATATTATATTATATTCTGTGCTGTGGAAACTATAATTCGTGAGCTTACAAGTATTGAAACGTGGTTGAGGATCTATATGCACAGAGTATCACTCGTGTGTATGTCGTCATCCTTGGCATGTAAGGGTCACAGCGCGACACAAGACAAGCATTTTGAAAGAAGTCTATGATGACATCATATGTCAAGCGTTGTAGTGTGAAGGTTGAGTTTGATTTAGTAGTCGTCATTTCCACCCGAGTGCAGCAGTGCTTTCTGCAGAGGTGATGGCTCCAGACTAACCTGCAGGCTTAGTCTATTTGGCCATGTCCCTGGAATATCACCTTCCTGTAGAGAAATCATAAATCAAAAACAGCTCTTCGAGTATTATTTGTCCTGAGTTACTACGGAATAAAAAAAGGAACAAAAGGTACTGCAACGGCGGCCCGTTACTACCCCCACTCCTTGAAGGTTCGAACCTAGGACCTCGCGGTCCTGAGCAAACACACAGTGTCTCACCTGACGCCGGGGTCTAAACCGTTAGACCGCTTGCCCTTATTGGTATTGCGTGGGAAGTGATATTTATTAACCTTGGTAGCGTACCAAGATGGAGCGGAATACCAATTGCAGGTGATGCCACATTTGACTTCTCAGCCGCCCAAAAACTGATGTTTCAATTTCACATCCCGACACTATATTTAGGTATCATTTATCGACTGGTAACAAAAAACCTGGTTTTCATAGATATAATGAATAAGATGGTCGTCGAAACTTCTTGGCAATTAAGGTCAATATGCAACTTTGGACCCAAAGCTACATAAGTAATCCGGTCAATTAATTGTCGATCCGTTTGATTTCTTCATGCTAGCACGACTGCTGAGATATAAGATTATTGCATCACTTATTAACATCCCGGGGGGACGTTACAATCTCCATAGGGATATGATAGTGGAACATAAATCTCGCATCAATATATTCCTACAGAATACATTAGGCTCGTGCCCAGATATATTTTTGTCAACTCGTTCCTCGTTCTGCAGACTGGAGAATCACACCACAGGCAACACAAGGCTAAGGGCCCGTTCGGACAACCCAATAATCTAGATTATTGGCGATAATCTGACGGATTATCGACTTTTGGATTATCACAATAATCTATGCTGTTCGTGCAATTGAATAATCCAACATTCGGAACTCCTGATTATCCCAATAATCCGCCAAGAAAACAATCACCTTCGGAGGTAATTATTCCCACACAACACAGATATCCTGAGAGCTAACGTTATCCAGACATGTAGATTATCCACTTATTATGAGTATTATGATTATCACTTCCGCTACCTGATAATCCAGTCTGTCCAATAACCCGAAGAAATAATCTAAGGTTGTCCGAACGGGCCCTAAGAATACATGTACCTATCCTTATACCTATCTTTGTAGAAAATGTCTAGGCCGCCCAAGATAAACCATATCCGGTCCCACATATATAAACATCATTATTGACCAGATGCATAATACTTAAACTTCAAAGTTTATATATAGGTATATGTTCCGTCCTAGTCGCCAACATTGATTATCAGCTCCGTCTGCCAAGAGGAGAAATATGTGATACGTACCCTAAAAAGAGATGTTAGAAAACAGCCCTGGGTAAGTCTCAAGACTTTCACAGTTGACGTAGTATATTCCGCTATTATAAAAGAAACATTTACAAAGTCAAAGATTGCTCATGATCACAATTCCCTTGAAAATGTCAATGTGCCCTTATAGTTGAAAGTGCGTGGTAAGTTTGAAACCAACAAAGAACAGCCGGCCTCCGGTAATTAACTCAGGAATAAGCCAGTGCCTCCCTGATCCCCTTATAAGAGCTGGAATGGCGATGGGTAATATTAACTTTCCAGAATTGCTTTCAGTACAGAACCAGAACCTGGAAGTTGGTCGGGAATTGACTGTAGCCGAAATACCGGTGTACGTACAAGTCAGCTTAGAAGAACTCAAATAGCCATGCACAGACGTCGAATCTTGCTTCCAGAATACGAAAATATGACTCCTAGTGGCCGATCTTTATTTTTACTACCATTTCGGAAGTAGATTGAGGATATGATGCATCTTGGGGAATTTTCTAGGGTTAGGCGAGGAAATGATTGAAATGCACTAAATTCGATGCCAAGCCGTATCGAAACTTTACATTCATCGTTGACATCGAGTTTTATCATCATAGTCTGTCACTCGTGGCCTAAACAACATCTTGAAACGTTGAACTAGCCCACACAATACTTTCAAGTTTACAGCTATAGTCATTACGGACATATAATCAACCTTTATAAACTAAGCACTCCCTAATACGCTCTCTTGTTCTTATAACCAAACCCTTACTGTCACTATAACTAATACACATACTACCCAATAATACCGCAAATATATACGTAAACCCCAAAATCTATCGCCAAACTCGCCAAAATTCATACAACCATGTCCGAGTGCCAATCTATACCCGCAAGCCGTGTCCAGTCCGTAATAGGCCGCGGCCAATTCCTTCCCCTACGCCTCTCCCGCTCCCCCCTTTTCACAGACCCCGAGATCACGCGGATACTCCACGAAGGCAACCTCCTACAACCCCCACCTCGATGTCGCTCCCATCCCTTAGCTGCGGCTGTAGAGACCCCAAGTGCGGGAGTGAGTATAGTCAGGAACGTCTATGATACCCGGATCCTTGTGCCGCCGGGGGCGAGTGTCATGTATTTCCACCCCGGAATGGATGAGTATATAGTCTTCAACCCTGCTACCGTCGATCGAACAGAGAATATAACGGCTACACGGGGGAGCCGGAGGGATATATATACGAACGTCCTAGAGAAGGGGATGGAAATTATGGCTGGTATTTGGCGGAGGATGCGAGAGTTCGGGAAGAGATTGGGGCATCAGGAGGAGATTGCTATCGTGGAAATGCAGAATAATAATAGTTTTACCACGGTAGCGGTGTCTATCATATCGACATCTTTGGTTTGTGTTCTGGTCCTGGTGGGAGTTATTTTGATTGTGTTGGGGGAAGGCTAATATAGTAGTTGGTGTATAGAATCCATTGAAGTTTGCGTTCACAAAGCTTTTTAATTGGTGGTTTCCGGAAAGTGGGTGGGGCTCGAGAACGGATAGTATGTTACTACGGTTTTCGATGATTGTGTTGGCAGAATCGTGAAGATATTCGATTTGTATATAGGAACAAGATCCAGGTTGTGATTTATTAGATACTACCAACGCCACCTCCATGAGAAAAGGTATTTGAATTGTGATCATTCGCCGCGAAAAGGCTCTTGGGGATTTAATTATTAGCCAAGGCCGCAGAGGAAAAATATCTCTGTGGATGTAAAGGTTTTTGGTAGGGGATGCCGTGACAGCGGGCTCAATTTATCTTTCCGCCGGCAGCAAGCTCGGAGGTCTCTGTTAAAGAAGCGGAGCTTCCTCACAAATTCTAACTACACTTTAGTTAGACCTGTCTTTTCTTCCCCCTCTCTCTTCCCTCCCTTACTTCTTTGTTCATCTTGATCGTCAGTTTCTGTTCCTCTCCATCAACGACTTGTCAGCAGAGTCTCTATCTTCAACATTGTTGAAAGTCTTGATGTTCAATGCCAAGCTTCGAGCTAGTTAGACAAACACTCTAGAAAGGAAACATGGTGCACGAATAGACAGTTTCGTCACGGCTTTCCATACATAGAAATTTCCTTGCTAGAAAGACTTTCTCGATGAAATGGTTAAACGTTACAGATACACCTCTCACTGTCAGTCCATCCTGCTTTGAATCCTGCAGCGAATTAACCGTAGTCATCCGGATTCGTGACTAGATGAGCCAGGTTTGTCGCAGAGCTAGGGATAGCTACTTACACTGTTCTGGTTGGTGATCCATGAACCTGTATGAAATAATTCAAGTTCGAGTCTTGGGCTCGTCCGGAGCTACATGTAGTTAGCTAGCTTTACTATTCAACGAGTAAGCTCGAACTCGCGGTCAGACTTGATTCTGGAGGTATTCGCTCTTGATTGTAATGTAGTAAGTTGTGGTGCCTATGGAGTGGAAGGCTTTACAATTAAACCATATGCACAGTCCAACAAACCCTGAAACGCAGTAGGTGCAGTGTTAGGGTTAGGTGTTCCAAGGAGTTACCATTGCAGAGTCACAGCTTACCTCACCCGGTTTAGAGTTTTGAGCATAAAACGGAGGCCAACTTACAACTATACAGTTCTCCCTGGTCTTAGGTGCCCCTGATTGACGGGTAATACAGTTGAACCGTTCTCGGAAACGAGGTTCGAATCCCTGTGTCCATCTATGCGCCTCCCGGAAGACTCAAGGTCAACACCTACTCTACTCTGTTTCTGCCGCGGTCGTACAGGACCCAGCTCTCAGATCCTTCTTTAAGAATTCTTGGGACATAGTGCCCTTTCCGCCAAATCCACCAGGTGGGGGGAGATGCTGACAGGTTCATGGATCATCACTCGGCGTCGACCGGATGCATTTGTTGGTCGTGCAGATAGCCTTATAAAGGGAGGCGAATGTTCAAAAAGGTCTCAGGACGATTACACGGTAAGCTCAAGATCTAGAAGCCATAGAAAACGATCTTGGCTCGTATTGATGCATGCATGTCATTTCAAATCCCTTGTCTCAAGAACTGGCCCAATGGCGTCAACTTTAAAGTTCATTGCAACTGGAGCTGTGTTACGTGTCGGATGCGATGCAGCGGCAGAGATTCTGAGCTCAACAGAGGGCAGTCTGGGTTCTTTTACATACTTCATGCATCCTACCTTCAAAGTGGGGGTACAGGTAGCTGGGAACGAGCCTGGGGGTTCATGTATGTAATCCTCATCAGGATTCTCCTCATTGCACGTACAGCGACGACTAAACTTCGTGCCACTATCCGTTGCTACTAGAGAAAATATAATTCTTTTCAGTGGTTGGGTTCCTATAGGTGTTCATACCTGTATGCATCATGTAGGTTCGATACCGGTGTCCTTTTCAGCTGATAATCTACATTCACGTATTGATGTTAATCTTCAAATCTCACAGATAAGACCTAAGGCTGAAGAGGACTGGTCGCACGTGTTTTTCGATTATGGCAGTACAATACACCGGCCCTTTCTATATTTCCATTTCGATATGATAATCTAGAAGAGATCGAGGTGGCTACCCGTGGAATCACCCACACACATCACCACCGAGCATGATCCGTAACCTGCGTATAATCTTTCAAAGTGGCTCATGGATGAGGACGCACGTTGTTTTCATCTGTTTATTGTTCAGGCTTTAAATGAGTTAATCCAGACAAGAATCACATCATCATCGTAGCCTGTTAATAGATTTCACAAAACGGTCAGGAAAATGCAGCTGATCGAGTTCATCTCTGAAAGTCCGAAAGTTGTTTGAAACATTCAATCAGCGGCAGCCAATCAAGATGTTACCCCACAAGTACATACGTTCAAACGGGAGTGGAGGGTTGACACTTAACGCGTGGTTTTCATGTGTACGACGGTGGTCCATACAATATGTTTCCAGGTTACCAAAATGTTTCAGTGAGGGTGTGATCATGGATTCTGACTCGGCGGTGTGGGCGTGGGCGCGAAAGATCGACCCTACCGGGTGAAAGAACATTGGCATTTCACAAGTCATTGATCGTTGCCTACAGTGATTGGCAGCGGGGTACGTTACTTGGAGTACGATTCGATTCGATCCGATTTCAGCAGCGGTTGATAATGGTCCAATCAGGTCGTGTGAGGGCCATTTGAAAACTTATGATTATTTATCTAGCTGTTGAGGAAACAAATAATAATCAGCGTGGTTGATCGACTGAATAGATTAATCCGGCTCATCTCCACTCCACCATCATAACGGCTTTTTGGGGGAAAATTGCAAAAATTCACCATCGGCTAAAAGTCATTATTCTTATCCCTATGAAAAAAATTTGTGTTTCGCCACGAGAAATATATATATCATGATCAGCTGTCTATCAAGACCGATTAACTACGATTTCGATTCAGCGGTTCCAAAGAGATTTGAATGGATCTATGGAATTAATGCTGCATACATGATATATACTAGGTTAATCATTAAAGCATCGCAACCCTTTTAGGATAATTATTTGGTGTAGCCCCTAAACAATTATTCTCATGATGTCCTGAAACCACATTTTATTCTGTCCCGTTTGGGCTTTGCTCTCCCCCTTCTGGGGGGATAGACCAAAAGGACAAGACCCCTCCTAGCTGTTATCAAACACGCCCAATTAACATGCAACCTCACCAACGTGCAACACCAACACCACCAACACCACCACTACCATGTATCACTCAGTGTTCTCACGCTCTCCCCCCCCAAAAAAAAAAAAAATTCTTTCCTTAACTAGCATTAATTAATTGGGTAATAGTTTTCTCTCTACTTTACAGATCTCTCGATCATACACCACCAAATAAAGAAAAATTAAATCCCGAGAGAAGGGGGATGGACATTACGAGGATCCAGAGAGGGGTATCGACCTATCACCGGTGATATCATTCCACAGGAGTATGTAGTCTTGGACCTGAGCCGCAGCAGGTCAATTCCCAACTGCTTTGGAACCTCCGTGGTGGAAATACCGGCTCATGTTGGGTGATGTCGCCGCGATTGGAGGGGGGAAGTAGGCACGTACTCCTCACTCACTAATCAGGTAGTCGTATTTGATACTGTACCCATGGAAGATAGTCCCACGCTCAGATTTTTTTTTCGTTTATTGTAATTAGGAAGGAGGTTTCGGTAAATGCTCGTACATTGAAGATCAGCGGGCGGTGGATAGATGTTCTAAATAAACCCCTCCAATAACCGCGTGTTTTTGAGGACGAGATGTCACATCTCTTTTTATGGTCTAAACCCTCAAACCTCAATGTGTGATGAACCGTTTCACTCGGGGGTGGTGGTTAATGCTATGTTGGTAAAGCAGAAAGAGGTAATAATCCACGACGTTGGTATGCTTTTTCTTACACCAAGTTGCATTGTGCATAGTTTGGTACTTATATACCAAACCTGGATAGAATATAACTTTGATGCAGGGTCAATGCATATATCTGCAGTAATATTAATATTTACTCTGGATTGCTAGTACTAAGTAATGTCAGCTTCTGGCAATAAGCACTAATTGCGTGTACTTTTGTAATCATTGTAATACCCGGCTCACATTGGTCGCTGCAGATATACGGTCAATGCCATCATTGACCGCGCAGGCATGTAGTAATCATTGACCATGGTAAATATGCCAAGCTTGATATCGATAATGAAGTTCAAATGAAAGAGATTGACTAAGCTGCTAGCAATACCTGAATTCAGACGATGACAAGCTAACAAGTATTTACAAACACACGAGTATAGAACAAATACCCAGTACTGGCTTAAATAAACATTTGAAGCCCTTTCTTCTTTGGGTCCTTCATACTCCTCGCCCATTCACCCCCATCAACCAATTTTTTCCCTTCGAGCTTGATGCCCCCGACCCTAACCCAGCCACCTCCGACCTTGCACTTTATCGCCAATAGCTCTTCTCCATGCCTATTCTCGCCCTCGCCTTCACCTTCCATTCTGAGATATTGAAATGTTCCCGGCGGAACCTCGACACCATCGATATTCTCCTCCGGCACATCCAACCTACGGATATCTGACAATATCGCCCTTTTCCTCCTCAACATCTGTGGCTCCTCGGGCGACCCAAACTTGCACCACAGGCTCTTCAGTACCCCCGCCTTCCTCTCAACCTCCTCCGCGCTAGCTGCGGAGAACTTGACCCTTGCGTCAGTCTCCGGATTGACCTTTGGCGCGTGGCTGGGCGTGTAATTGTTGGTGATGGGCTTGATGGGCGGGATAAAAAGACCCTTGACACATGTCTCCACCAGCAATTCTGCGCCGTGGACTGCGAGTGCGTCGTGGAGGACCTGGTAACTGGTCCTCGGGGGAACACTAAGTGGGGGGTCTGTCTGTATGAGGATTTCGCCCGCATCGATCTTTTTGGGGTGGAGGGTCTGGACGGTGACGCCGGTTATGGGCGTGGCGTCGAGGAGAGTGTGGTATATCGGGGCTGCTCCACGGTACCTAAATACATCCTGAGGGTTAGGGGTTGCAATATGTCGGAGATCCGGGATTCATACATTGGTAGCAGAGAAGGGTGGACGTTTATACCGCCATATTTGACTGCTTTGATGATGCGTTCAGGTATCAAGAGACCGAAGGAGGCCGCGACTAGAAGGTTTATATCTCCACTGGAGGAAGCTTCTGGGAGCTCTTGAACTGTGAGTTTTATGGTGGGGGGCAATTGTATGGATAACGGGCGCTATGTATATACCTCCCAGTCCTTAAACTTGTCGACTTCATGGATGCGGAGTCTGAACGAACTTGCCACTTCCTTGATAGGGGCTGCATAGAAGTTAATATTGTAAGACCATCGACTTCTTTATTTTTATATGTACAGACAAAATTAATAGCGAATGGCATACCCTCTTTCAACGTCCTCCGTCCACGGCCAGATAGTTTATCCTCCCTGCAGAGAACATCAATTGAAGCAATGATGTCCCGCCGCCTTTGGTGTAGCGCGTAGAGGGCCTTGAGAGAGGTTGCGCTGAAGTGATCGGAACCGAAGAAGAGAATCTTGAGGGGAGGGCGTGGAACATTCGGGGTGGCTCCCAGCGAAAATAATCGGCGGGGGACCCTGCATGATAACGGGGCAATTGACCTGTGGGGGCACAGCGACGGCCTCGCAAGCAAAGCGAGAGCAGATTGGCGTAAAAGCGACATTGAATCTCTATCCCGACTGACTCTCGAGATCTCACTCGCTCACGACTCAGACGGTGGTGAAGATGTCTGTCTGTCTGTATCTCGGTGGTGGTGTTGATCTCGAGATCTGATCCGTCCCGCAGACTCTTCCCTCCCTGGTCGATAACAATACGTGCGCCAAGCAATATGCACTCTATCATCATCGATTATCTCTCGATATCAAAATAACCTATCTGCTGCCCAACAACAACAACAACAACAACTCTCCTCCTCCTCCTCCTCCTCCTCCTCCCCTCCTCTTTCTCCCCTCCGCCCCTTCTATAGCTTCTTCACCCCTTCAGATGTACTCCCATGAGCTCCTCTTCCTCCGCCGCCGCCCAAGCATCTGCTTCTAATGCTGCTGCTGCCAATGTCCCCCCTCACCTCCCTCCCCCGTCCTCCCTTGTCACGACCGTCACCCCCGCCGCTCTCTCCTCGCTCGCAATATACAACCCGTCCCTCGGCCCCACCGAGAAGTCCGTCCATGACCAGATTGTCTTCTACACCTCCCGCAAGGGCTCCGTAAGCTCCGACACAAAGCTCAGAGAGATTGGCCTCGCCCAGGGTATTGTTGAGTTTGCCCGGTGAGCTTTCTCGACTCCCCCGTACTGGAAGCTTCCCTCCGAGACACCCTAGCTAATATAGAATGGGGGAGCTAGCGGATTCTCGAAAACCGAAAACTTGAGTTCAATAGAGACCCAGAAGTCGCGGATCGTCACGCTGGAGATTGAGGAGCCTGGATGGTGGATTCTAGCTGTTTGTCTAACTACATTCTCTCTTTCTCTGAATAAATATAGCTTGGTGGGTTATATAAAAAAAAAATAAGCTAATATAAAGCTCCCGCAGCAAATCGACTTGACATATATACACAACCCGTCCACCTACCCGCCCACCGTTGAATACTCCTCCCGCGAAGTTGCCCCCCCGCTCGTCCTCCTCGCACAGATCCGGCAGGCCTACAACCAGTTCCGCTTCCACTACGGGAGCTTCGCGCAGAACCACGCCAAGCTCGGCCGCACCGCGTTCTGCCGCCGGCTAGAAAAGTACTGGCTGCGCTGGGCATGGGGCCGGTGGGAGGTGATGCTTCACGGGTCGCCGGGGACGGTGGCGTTCGGCGATGGCGGGATCAAGATGGTGGGCGGCAGGCCCGGGAGGGAGATTGCGGAGGAGGAGAGAAAGTTCCTCAGGACGTGGGCGGAGAAGGAGAAGACAAAGGGGATGGTGGACATGGTGGTGTTTAGGTTCGGCGACTTTATCGAGGAGGAGAAGGATAAGGACAAGAACAAGAGTGCGCAGAGTGGGTATTGGTTCTGGGGGAATACCACGAAGGCTGTCGCTGCAGCAATGTCGACGACTTCCACGCTGCCAAAGGGAAATTCTTCAAAGGGCCCGGGAATCATTATGCCGCAGGATGGCTGTATTTTCCCTGGCACGGGCTCGCTGGAGGCCTGCTCAGTGAGAGATATCGCAACATATATCAGCGAGCTGTACCAGTACGGCGATGATATATCACGGAGGTCTGCAAGTGGCAAGCAGAAGAAGAACCGTAAGAGGCCAAAGGGACTATTTAACAAGACATCCGGTTCAGGATACTCTGCAGATAACAGCTCTGTAGAGAGCTCGCCGAGAAGGAGTCTCTCAACAGTTAGGGATGAAGCTAGATCTACCCCACCGCCTCCTGCTGCCGGATCAAATCTGAAGCCTTCGGCCGACGAAGCTTCTGATGAGAGCAGAGGAAGAATGGGACAGACGGCGACAGCAGAGGAGTCTAGAAAGAGCAAAATCACACTCAATTCCAATGCCAAAATCTTTAATCTTCTCACATTTGGATGGAGCGGTGGCTCGACCAAGAGCGCAGCAGCCAATGATAGTAATACCGGTACTACTAATACGCCCACTGTGGCTAGTGGTGTTACTCCTACGAGTACTACAACTGCTGCTGATGCTACTATTACTTCCTCATCTGAGCCAGAGCCCACGCCTCCGCCAATGACAAATGTAGACCCAATGGAGCATGTTGAGAGGGCCCCCCAAGAGCAGTTGGCGGAAATGATGGCAACAGCAGCAAGAGTAAAAGAGCACGTTTCATAATTGGATTCCTGGGAGATTTGTATGCGGAGGACCTTGATGACGATCTCCAGGATGCACAATCCACGGGCCGAATAACGAGCAGGACCGTCTGGGCAGAAAGAAAGAAACCACCACCATCACCACCACCATCACCACCATCACCAGAACAAGACAATGCTTCCAGAAGTACAGAAGTAGCAGTCGCAGACGCATCAGGAAAAGGAAAGAGAAAGGACAACAGCAGCCAAGGACAAACAACACAGCAGGCTAGCATAAACCTAGAAGAGTTCAGAATTGTCGTGTACACGGTAAGGATCCCATCCCCATCTCCATCCCATCCCATGCATACTGCATATTGCATATCGCATCAGTTATCAGATGATCCTACATATGGCGGGATGAGAGAGCAATTTGACTAAAACAATCTGATATCCCAGAACCATCCGTTCATCTTCGCCTTCATCTTCGAGTCCACCTCCGCGCAACTAACCTCCCCGGCCTTCTACCGGACACTACACCACCAGCTCGCCCCCCTGCACGGACCGCTGCTAAAATCCTCAAACCTCTCACCCACCGCAGCAGCAGATCTAGCCAAAAATGCCTCCTCTAGCAGCAAGCTGCACCACTCTGCCCCGCCAGCAAAACCGCCCTACGACCTCCTCTACAACCCCACCACGCTCATGATCCACTCTACCGTCCCGCCCATTCCCGAGCCCGGGCCCGAGTCGTCGCAGCAGCAGAGCGGCTGGAGCCGCGCCGAGGCCTTCCACGTGCACACGCTCATCCTGGGCATCCTGTGCGAGACCATGCGCGACCGCGCCGAGCAGGAGCGCAGCGCGCGCAGCACTCGCGGTTGGTGGATCAACTGGATGCGGCTCGACGGCGGCGAGGAGGGCATCGTGGTGAGGCGCGCGGGGGAGAAGAAGTCGGATTTGACGGGCGGCGGCGCTGGTGGCGGGGCTGGGGCGGGCGCAGGCGGCGGGGATATTAGGAGGTATTTTGAGGGCTTGGTGAGGGGCGTGCGGTAGGTTAGGGTGATCATTGACAGCAATGTGCCACACTGCTATTCTAATCATTTCCGCATCTTGTATCTAAAGCCCTACAACTATTGTTACTACTACTTACTACCATTATCAGATCACTACTCTACTACCTATCCCCTCCCCTGCCATTGCTACTCACTCACCCACTACTTCCAAGCTTTGTATCAGATTTGTGGAAGGCCCTAGCTGGAGTTCTGTAGGAGGATACGAAGCGAGTTTCATGTATCTGCAATCTTTCTCTCTCATGTCTGTGTTGTCGACCCGTATCCAGTACAGTCCAGTCCAGTCCAGTTGGTACTTTTTTTACCAAAGAAAAATTAAACGACTCCACCACCCCCCAAGTCTTGTCCCTGGCCTGCATTCCCGACTGCATTCGCTTGCCGGCCGGTGCGTGCCCTCTATCTCCTTTCTCCTTTCTGGATGGCATTGGACCGTTTATTCACCACCCCCAGGCAGACAGGGGAGTAGGGGAGTAGAGTGGTAGGGTAGGGTACGGGGAGACCACGTTTTACGTGCGTTTTATGTACCTCTATCAACAATTGATTTTTCTCTCGGTTTCTCTGCCTTCTGCTTGCTCAGCTCGGGGCTCAGGCACCATATTTGACCCAATTAATTGCAATTAATGCAATGGAGCCCAATTTATGCAACCCAATCTACACATGTTTTCCGCCGTCGTCGTCGTCGTCGTCTCGCCTGTAATGCACTCCTCTACATACAGACCTGTGCTGTTAATCCATCCATCAGGAAGGGGAAGGCCCCGGGACCGGTTATTTATATGCATTTATATGCGGCCCGATCGCAAATCGATCTACTTTACTTTACCTGCCATGCCATGCCATGCCCTCCCCCTGCCCTGTGCTTGTTGTGCTTGTGCTTGTGCTTGTGCTTGTGGGTGCTGTCGGTGGTGGGTGTTAACTGCTTTCATTACTGGATAGATAGATCTCGGTGTGCTAAAAATGGGGATGCTTATCCGGTGGCGGGGGAGTGTTAAAGTGTTTACTCTAGAGTAGGTACAGTTAGGTACAGTTAGGTACAGTAGATGGGCGAGATGTTTCTACCGGTTATGTACTGTATGGTATGCAGTAGTAGATAAAGTACAATACCGGTATGCTGTAACCCCCCACGGTTACATGGGGTTTAAACGGGGTGGATGTTTGGGGCAGAAACGGTTTTTTTGTATTTTTTATTTTTTGGTTTACAGTACATACATACAGCGGGAGATCTCTGTGTGTGGAGAGGGACTTTTGATACTTTTGATACCGGGGGCCTGGCCCGAGGGTGTTGTACCTACTCTACTCTAGATTTGTTGGTTGGTTGGCTGGGATGTGCTGAAGGGAGTTCCGAGTGAGTGATTTCATATAAGGTATGTGGTTGAGATGGAAATCTCGCTGATGTAGCAGGTAGAAGAGAGCAGCTTAGAGAGCAGAGTAGGAAAGACGTGATAGTTGCAATTGTGGCCTTTTCTTTTGGAATTGCATTGCAAATATGCAGTGACATGATTGAGGCTGCGGGTTGTGCAATTAATTGCTGTTGCTGGTGTGTTTTACGTGATCTGGATCTGGATCTCGCACTCTCACTCGCACACCCTCTATTGGGTAGGTGCGGTTTTGTTTCTTTTTTTGTTTCGCTGGCTGGGCCAGTTGATCAATTGCTACACGCCGTTACGTGATCTCCATCTATCCATCCATCCATCCATCAAACCCATCGTGTCCATACCGTCCTCAATCCGTCGTCGTCCCACTACTCTAGTCTCTAGATACTTCCACTACCTATCTATCTACTTTATCACAGGCAAAAAAGAGAATTGGTCAGTCGCAATCGTAATAAAATCTGTCGCTCGCTCGCTCGCTTCATGCAGGAACTGGGTGCGTCGCCAATTCTTGGTACGTTGCATGTGTCTTGGAATCTTTTTTTCTTTTTTTCTTTCTTCTTTGCCAAAACCATAAAAAAAATTGGTTTCATCCCCCCCCCCCCCCGGTTTCGTATTGGATTTGCTGGTATGGATAAAACAGCGGTGCATGGCCAGTCCAGTTTATTATCACCGTGAGTCTCAATTCAACGTTGGCAGGGCAGGGCATGGTATGGCATGGGCAGGAAGGCGGATGTGCGGGCTCGCCGGTTTCGGTGTTTGTCTGTCTGTCGGGTCTGGCTGGCTCTCTGTCGGGCGAGTGGTTGAGTGGTTGAGTGGTTACTACTCACTCTAGCTAGCTCCAATGCGTGTGGTGCTGCATTATCATTCACCCTCAGTAAACTAAACCCAAGATAACTCTGTGCCCAACCGCCCATCACCCGTCAACCCCACTCATCCATCCATCCCATCTCTGAGTAAGATAGAGTATGTAGGCATATAGAAAAGTGAAAGTGAAGGACAGCATACCTACTCTATCCAGATGCGCGCTTTTTTCTGCCTTCTGCCTTCTGCTGCGTGTTGCGAGATAGAGTACCTACCGGGCAGGGGAAGGGGTGGTGGGAGGGGGGCAGGGGAGGGGGGAGAGATAGAGTAGGGAGACGAAACGAGAGATCGTAATTCAGATTCTCGATTTCGATTGCGACTGCGGCTATCTTTTGTGGTACATACGGTGAGTGAGTGCACAGTCTAATTGTATGAGGAGGGCATCTAGGCCTGGAATAGATAGATAGATGGGGTTGATCAATGGTTTGTGATGGTGGTTTGTGGTGGTGGGTGGCAGAGAGATGGCAAATCTCTTGGCTGTGTAGCATCTCCATCTGTAAGTATCTGCCATCGTGAGTCTGAGTCTGAGTCTGAAGGTGTGTGTGTGTTCTGTACGACTCCTCGGCCATGTACGCGATACAATGATATCCACAATAATCCACAATCCACACTGAACTTAGAACTGTCTCGTCTAAATATACTCCCTCCCTCTCTCTCTCGCAATTAATTAATTAATTATGAGGATCTCTCGGTCCACCAACCGACCCTCCCGACCTACCTACCGACCTACCGACCGACCATCGACAACGAAAAAATCCAATCTATGGTTGTACTCGCCACATTGACTGACAGCTCCCCATCCCGGGTTATCAAACCCTCAATTCAAATTTTGCAGATTTTCAATTTCATATCCATCCACATCGACACATCGACACATCCGATCCGTCCCTCCCCTCCCCTTCCCTTCCCTTCCAGCGGCCCGCCCATTATTCTCAATCCATCTACCGCGGCCGGGAAGTGTAACGGTACTGTACTCTACTCTACCTGAGCTGCGCGCGTTCCAGGCCCCGGCTGGTTTTGTATGTAGGGGGACCTAGGGGACGTGAGAATCGGCGATGAGATTAACACTTTCAGAGATAGGGGATGGGGATAGGGATTGTGCTTCGGGAACACTTCTGCTTCTTCTTTCTTTCTTTCTCGTCTTGGCCAAGCATTGTGTTCCGTACTGTTCCTGCTTAGGGGGGAAGAAAGAAAAAAGTTATTTTTCGGATATAAACAGAATTTTTTTGTTTTTTTGTAGAGCCGCCCGATGGCAGCTGGTGAATTGATGACGAGATTTTCTCCAAGATCGATATTGTAACCTCGATTCTCCGAAACCTTCCCTCCCTCCTTCCCTCTGTGTATGTAGGCACATCTCGGTAGAGTATCGTTTTGTCCATCTTCCTTGATGTTGGTGATATGTGACTTTCTTTTTTGTGCCTTTTTTTTCTTTTCTTCTTTGCCTTGCTTGGTCAATCAATTCAGTTCAGTTACGTAGTAGACCTTCACATGGCAAGTTCGTAGATCACCGTACCGTCCCGCTGCAGTTCCTTTTCTTCTTTGCGAGGAACAGACGGACGTGGGCCAGTTCAAGACTTCTAGACTTCTAGATGGTTGAGATTGAGATATCCAAGATTCAGATCAGATGCGATTAGATCCCCTCCACACCCCTAACCCACCCTCCCACCCACCGTCGCCCCAGCAACGGCCAACACCACGCGAGCCAGGGGTTCCCGTAAACACTTTACACGCTCTCTCGCATCACCACGCATCTGAAACAAACTTCACTGGACCTCACCTCTGCACCGCACATTAACCAATCCCCCCCACAATGCCGCCCCGCGCAAAACCCACCGCGCCCGCAACACGCAGCACACGCTCGACGCGGCCGGCAGCGAAGACGGTGGTGCAGCCAAAGAACAAGACAACGACGGTAGCAGTGCCACCAGCACCCAGTACTAGTACAAAGAGTAAGAAACGTGCCCGCGACGACACAGACGACGGTGGTGCAGATAGAGGGGGGGGTAGCGGCGTGGCTGTGGCCGCGTTCTACGGAAGCGGGCATGGTCATGGGCCAGGGGGGCTAAGAAGAAGAGGCGTGCTGGACACGATGGGTGTATGTTTCTCTACTCTACTGCGTCTACTCTACTCTAGAAGAGATATCTACACACATATCTAACACACACCTAACATACAAAACCAGCAGCAGCAGTAGTAACAAAACCAGCAGCGCTGCGGTCATTACCCCCACCAAGCACCGCACCCACGACCACACCGCCGCACAAATCCACAGCGGCAGAGACACAAGCAGGGGCAGAGACATCGCCGTCCAAGCGCCTCAAGTTCGACCCCGACGTGCACGGCAAGGAGCTGCAGGAGCGCTTCCTCCAGCTGCAGGAAGACCTCTTCGAGAAACTCGTCTCGCCACGGAAGGGGTCAGCAAGCGTCGAGGTATGTCTTTCTGCCCAATGGGCGAGGATGCAGAGGGGTAATGATAGCTAACCCACAAACCCACAGCCAACAACCCACGCACCAAACCCCAATCCCAAGCTCAACGCCAAATCCAATCCCAAGCCAAAGCTCAAGTCGAAACTCAATCCCAAGTCCAAACCAAAGCCCAAGCCCAGAATCCCACCCACCACCCGCCCCGCGCCCACCCCTGCGCAGCCACTAACACTCACGGAGCGCCTCCACCGCCTCGCCGCCAACCCCGCCGCTACCACCAGCACCACTACCAGCACCACCACGACCAGCATCCTCCCCGTGCGCCCCGCCGCCGTAAAGTCCTCCAAGCCGCTCACAAAGCCGTCATTCGAGCTCCCCGGCGACGCACACATGAAGAAGCGCGCCGCCGAGCGCGAGGAGCGGCGCAAGCGCATGGAGGACGCTGCAGCGGAGCGGGAGGCCGCGAAGCGCGCCGGGAGGGCTGTTGTGGCGGGCAAAGCGGGGGGGTCTCGCGCTGGTAGCGCTGCACCGGGGAAGAGTGCTGCGACGGCGCCGGTACCAATACAGCAGCCAACGCCAGCGTCGATGTCGATGTCGTCGCTGTCGCCCGTGAAGCTGGCGTCGGCATTGATACCCTCGTTTGTGTCGCGCGGCATCACGGCCGTCACGGGACTGGGCGGCGGGCGCTCCCCCGCGCCCGCGTCCACGCCTAAATCAGCAGCGTCCCCCCCACCAACACCAGCAGCAGTGCCAGAATCCGCACCATCACCCAGGCCAGCGTCCGCGCAGCCTGACGAGCCCCCAGCAGCACAAGAACCGACCAGTACAGCGGATGCGCAGCTCAGCAGCGAGGAGGAGGAAGCGCAGGTGCTACGGCTGCGCGCCGAGGCCGCTGAGAAGGGGAGGGAGTCGGCGAGGGTGTGGGCGGAGCAGATGAGGGGGAGGCAGCTGGAGATGGAGCGCGGGGGTGGTGCGTCGTGATATGATTGATATGGTCATGGGTTGGGGTTTGGGTGTCAATGATTGCGTGACTGGGATCGCCAGGGCAGCTAGCAGGCTGGGCGGACTGGGGCTAGGGGCTAGGGGCTAGGGGCTGGGTTGGGATGGGGACGTCATATGCTGCTGCGAGGGGAGAAAAAGTGGGAGTTTTTTTTTTAGCTCTTGGTTTTGTGTTTTAGGATATTGTAACTTTGTAGTTTTGTTTTGTTTTCTTGTAGTTTGTGGTTTGGTTTCCGTTTTTTGTTTTTTTGCTCGGTTATCTGGCAATCTGGCTGAGCTGCTTGCTTGCTGCTCTTCGCCTCTACGCGTCCGTATGTAGTCGTGTTTCTAATCATCATCATCACATCACTGGGCGTCTTCTTTATTGAAATTGTCAATATTATTATTATATTATTCTGTGTTAACGGCGGTAATAAGAATATTATTATCCTTATCCTTATCCTACGTCCTACTCTAAGCCACCACAACCAGGGCACAAGTATCAGCCAGTCAGCCAGTCAGTTAGTTCAGCCAGCCAGTCAGTCAGTCAGCTAGTATGTACGGTCAGTCATAGCATGTCTGGTGCCACCGTAATGACCACTACTACTACATGTATGAGTGTATGTAGCAGGTAGTGCTACTCTAGAGCTTTCCATGTATCAGCTACCCCTTTGGTGGGGCAACAAAAAAAAAAAATATTTTTTTAAGCGAGTTTTGGGACGCAATTGCATATTGTGGGAAATCTTTTTTGCTTTTTCTTTCTTTTGAGAAGGAGGAGGGAGGCGAATGACGCCTTTTTTTTTTTTTTGCAATGGGGAATGGGGATGGGGGCGTTTCGTCTATGTATGTACCCTACAGGGAGTCTGCTCTGGGTAGTCTAGTCTGGAACTGGAACTGGATGTGGAACTGGATGTGGATGTGGATGTGGATGTATTTCTTATCCTGGCCATCATCTGATGTTTAGGGAACTCGAGGGAAGGATTTCTTTGCCCAAAGGAAGGAAAAAAATGTTTTTTGGGCCCTTTTTTAATCTAAAATATATGCAAATGTTTTAATATAACCTGGGCTGAGCCTCCATGTCGTCGCGACGTCCGGACGTCGCAGCTAACTAGGGCTGCATGAGTAGAGCAGAGTAACATGTACCTAGCTAGCGAGAACTGAGACTGGAAAATAGAATAGATTAAATTGATGAGGTTCCAAATGGAGTACGAAGATGGGGGGGGGGGGGGGGGGGGGGATGATCATGGTGGTTACTGATGTGATGTGATCTGATGTGACTATGGTGAAGGATTAGTTAGGTGGGAGGGAGGGCACGTACCTGCTTTTAGTTTTCCCAGTGCTGTGCTGATTAGAGTATTTGGCGGCTCTCGCGTTTCGAGCAGCTTTATTATAATAGCAGTAGTGAAAGTAGACAGTAGTAGTAATCATGCCAATCAGTCTGTAACCCTCAGCTTAGACAGTAGAGAACAGCACTAACTAGAGTTAGAGTGCGAGTCCTAGCGAGCTTCTAGATCCTCCTCGTAACGTCAGTCATCCATCGTATTGCAACGACAGACAGCATGGAAGAAAGTTCCGTCTGATGTTCATGTAATCACCGGTACCGAACCGTACCGTCTGGAAGTCGATTCCGTCCCGCGCAAAAAAAAAAAAAAAAAAAAAAAAAAAAGTCATTGCGACTCAAGGAGCCTCCCCCGCATCATGTCGGCCAGCTAGCTAGCCAGGTACGAGGCGCTGTGTGTTCACAATTTGGAATCATGATGTGCACAAGTGAGTACCTGGCTAGCTAGCTGTGCCGACGCCGGTGGTATACGTACTCTACCTACTACACCTGCTACAACATACAGACATACAGCTACATGTATGTATTTACCTAAGAGCAGAGCAATTAATTCTAGAGATCACAGCTCAGCTCAGCTTCTATGCATAGAGTGCAATTGATTAATTACATGAATTACTGGAAAGAATAGACGAAAAAGGGTCTCTCTCACACACACCACTACTTCAGGTCATTTGAGCCGATCACGAACCCTTTCTCTCTAGAAGGAGAGCAGTATTCCACCCCGCCCAAGAAAGAAAAAAACGCCATTGTGCTCTGTGATCTGCAGGTCAGGATGACGAGACCCTTTGTTTCTTAATTCGGGTATGAGGCATGGGGTCCAGGGATGGGGATGGGGATGGGGATGGGGATGGGGATGAGGATGGGGCAACTGTTTGGCCGTCGCCGGTATGTTGGTCGCCGGATATGATGTCTCAGTCCCACAATCTTGGAATTAATATCTATTCATCTCTCTGGGTGACCAACATACAGATAGGGCAATTAAACATTTCTTTGTTTCCCTGGTCAGTCACATTCAGTCAGTCAGTCGGGTATCTGCCAAACTGAGATATCATCTCCAGGTTAGACAATACAATTAACTGCCCCCAACTACTCCATACTTTTCCTCCCCCCGCTGCCGCCGCCGATACCGTAGTTAGATGGAACAGCATGGTACACGTGCTGAAAGGGCCTTAACTTCCCCTACCAACATGTCTATCAAATCCGGATACTCTTGCCTTGCCCTTACTTTCTGTCTGTCTGTCTGGCTGGCCTGCCTTGGACTTAACTGACGGTATTATGTATTTTGTCTTGACTGAACCAAACGTTCCCGAGACCCGCAAATTCAGAAACATGTTGGAATCCTTTTTTTTTTTTCTTCTTTCCAATAACTTCCAAGACCTGGAGAAGACAAACCACGCGGCCGGCCCGGCAAGGCAAAGCAAAGCAAGGCAATCAATGTAGAGTGGTGAATTGAATCATTCATGGATTTGATGAAACAAGACCCGCGCTACCCGCAACGCAACGCAACGCAGCGCAGCACATCAATATCCAACCATCATTACCAATCCAATGATTGATTCTACGGCGCCATCCATTCCCGGGATCCAAGCCTGTGGGCTGTTGGTATTGTTGGTGTGCTGCTGCTGCTTTGGATTCGATTGGCTTACGTTGGAAAAAAAGAGATTTGTTGTTTTTTAATTCCGATATTGGGGATTTCGGGAATATCGGTGTTGGGGTTTTGGGTTTGGGCTTGGGTTTGGGCTTGGGTTTGGGGATTTGGGGGATTTTCTGGTTTTGGTTTAGGATTAGGATTTGGGAAAGTTGGGTTGGGGTTATGTATGGGGGATAAGCACTAGCTAAGCTAGCAAGCTAGAATTAAGGAAGCTCCGGTGGGCTGTGAGTGGACGGATGGATAGATACAAGGGAAGGAAATAGAAGCTCGGTAGGGTAGGGTAGGGTAGGGTAGGGAAAAACAAGCCAAGCTCCCCCCTGTTGCGGCTGTTTCGTCTTTTGGGGATCTTTTTTATTTTTGTAGTTTTTGATAGTGCTGGTTTTTTGATAGTACTGGTTTTTTGATATTGGCCTTCAGAGCTACGTAGAGTACCCAGCTAGCTACCCAAGCACGGAATAGGGATAGTCTACTATCTATCCTACTCTACCTTACATACTAGCTTACGATAACCTCCAAACTCCTTCTCCTCAGCCCTGTATCTACCAATTCAAACACGGAAGCACCCATCACCAGTGCCAGAGCCAGAGCCAGACCTTCTGAAAAACCCACTATTCTCGGCTCCCAGCGGGGAAAAAAAGGCCATGGCCATGGCCATGTTAAAGCCGAACATCGTTCACGAACGAACCACTCACCACCAGCCAACACCTGAACACACGGGAGGATCTCCACTAGCTCTGAAATCTGAAAACATAGGCAGGCAGGTATATTGTCGTCATGTAAGTTTTTTTTTTTTTTGTTCGGAGTTTATCACGAGTAGTGCGGTTACCTGGTTGGCTGTGCATATTGGCAAGGCATGACAGGGCAGGGCAGGGCATACATACACTGGTAGTCATGCATGGAGGGAGGCATAAACCCAACCCAGGGAACCGAGCAGCAAGAAAAGTAAAGTTGATCTTTCTCGTCTCGTGACTTTACTTTGAACTGGCGAACGAACAGGAGAGAAGAACACCGAACCTCACACTCGTCCAAGGCCGGAGTATGAGGAGAAAAAAAAGAAAGCAAGAGAGTGAGGAGTGACAAAAAAAACGTTGCGTAAGGAAAGTGGGAAAGAAAGAGGAGTAAAAGAGTAACGTGCACCAATGGACAGACCTAGAGTATGATGAACTAGCAAAAAAGCAAAAAAAAAGTGCGGAGCTTTTCCCCCCAATTGTGTCCTCTGAACGGTCTGGCTGTATGGAAACCCAAAGTAACCGGCGAGAGCCGAGTGGTGATCTGTGTGCACAGTGCAGTGGTGTCGTAGAGGTAGATACTCTAGGTGTATTCGCTCCACCTATCGATGAGACGAGTTGCGAGTGATAGCGGGAGGAGAAGGCGAAGAAGCTTTTTGGTTGGTTCTAGGGAAGCTGCTAGGGAGGGTTAACCTTAAACTTCCTAGTCCAACTAACTTGTCAACGGACGACACTTGCTTGTATCATAACCCCAACGACATGAACGACAACGACAAATGTCGCGGTGGTACATGGTACATGATACATAGAGTTCCAGGATAACGATTCGACCGGAACCCGAGGAGGCGGTTGGAGAGGAGTATGAATAGTATCTACTAGTAGAGTTACTCCTCACTCTAGAGTAGGTGCTAGTATATAGCTCTAGCTAGCTAGATAGATAGCTTGGCCGGTAGGTAGAGTACTCTGAGTTACTTACCTGTCAATCATAATTTGGACTGCCTCAGTAACTAACTACATACTGTAGCTAACTACTCTTAACTCAAGAGGGGTCGGTTAGTAAGCGATACAGTGACTTTCAAATATGGTTCTCCATCCCAGTCGAGTCCCCCATGATAACGAACGTTAAACCAGTACAGTTACAAATACTACTCACTATCCCAGCCGTACTGACTGCCGAAACGTCGTCGGTAGAGTAGAGCAGATTAGAGAGAAAAGGGTTCTATGCAACGGATACCTGCATCAACAGTCCCCTTCCAAATCCAAAGCGTTCTATTTTGAACTCTCT